GGTGGATGCCCTCCGCACGACAGAAGGCCCTTAGAAGGTCGGAGGAAAACTCACCACCTCTGTCTGAGTGCAGACGCAGAACAGGAAGGTCCGAGCCGAAACTCTCGCTGAGCTGGCGACGGGTACCGCGGATCCAGTCGATCAACACCTCAGGGACCTCACCCTTGCTGCGCAAGGGGAAGACTGTGGTGTAACGCGAGTAGTCGTCTACAACCAGCAAGAAGTAACGCTCGTGACCCTGTCCACGGACGCGGGCTGGGCCCCACACGTCCATGTGAAGAGTCTGCAGAGGAGCCTCTGTCGGAGGGAACTCGGAGGAGTGAGGAGCGGCGCGCTGCCGGCCCTCGACACAAGGAACACAGGTAGGGGCAGGCCCCGGAGGAAGGGGAGGGAGGGACCGAGGGAGACCAGAGACAAGGGTACGGGAGGCCATACCTCGAAGACGAGGCAGGGAGGGGTGACCAAGGCGGTGGTGCCAAAGGAGAGTCTCGTGTGCCAGAGGACGACACGAGCAGGGGGCAAACACTGGACTAAACCTGGACGCGGCAGAAAACACCTGACCAGACGCGGCTACCTGACCAGACGCAGCAACCGGAGGAGACGCAGTAGTCAGTGTGTACAGACTCGACCCAGGCCGACGGGTGAACGTGGCCAGGTGGCGGCCCGTCCGAGAGCAAGTGCAGTGGGTCACACGCTGACCTCCAGGGGTGAACTGGTCAACCCACGCGTCCTGGAGGTCAGCTCCACTCACCAATTTCGTAGAGAACGAGGGGAGGTGGAGTCCCGGCAGCAAGCCCGACGGGGCCGCAGGACACGGTAGAACCGTGGAAGAGTGCGCAAGGACTGGGCCCCCAGAGGGGTCAGCCAGGGAGACTGCGACAGGCCGACTGAGCAGCGTGAGTGTGGTGCTGTCGCGAAAGAAAGAGCGCGAAGCACCAGAGTCAAGTGCGAAAGTGTGCAAGGCGTCAGTCAGGCGACCGAAGCAGCGGTGTGCTGGTGTGTGGCAGCCCGCACGTCTCCCCACGACGCCCGCTGGTGCGAAGAACGTAAGTGCAGGGTCCAACACCCCCAGACCTCCCACGCCCAGCGTACCACTCACGAAGCTGCTGGGCCGACGGGGTCTCACGGGAACGCGGCTGCTGCTAGCGCTGGCTACCACCAACGCCTCCACTCTGCGTGGCTGCACCTCGACCAGCACCACCGCCGCCGCCACCTCCACCACCACTGCCGTTGCCTCCACCGCCGCTGCCGCTGCCTCCACCACCCTCACCGCCGCCACCGAAGCCTCCACTCCCGCCACCACCCCCACCTCCACTGCCACCCCCTCCGCCTCCTCCACCGCCTCCACCGCCGCCCCCACCGCCCCCTCCACCACCCTTGCCCCCCTTGCCCCTGCTGGTGCGGCGCCTCCCACTAGGAGCAGACGCAGCCCCGACCTCCTCAGTGCCAACGAGGTCGACAGCAGCAGCAGAAGCAACAGAGGGGAGAAGGGGGACAGGGGAACACCCCTCAAAGAAGGGGCGCGACGGTCACCGCGAGAAGCACTTACAGCTAAGATACTCTTCTCAGCCGCAGTGAGGCGCTCCTCTAGCAGGTCGACAGTGAGCTCGGTGGGGCAAAGGGAGAGAAAGTGGTCCCTGACTGAAGCAAGGGAGTCAGGGAGGCGGGTGACTAGGTAGTAAAGGGTGATGTATATGGGGGGGGGGGTTCTTGGCACAGAACTCAGTGGGAAGCGCAGCGCGGTAGCGGGTGTCACTAGTGCGGAGGTGGGTAAGGAGGTCAGCGACTGTGGCAAAGGCAGCAAGGTTAGGGAAAAGGTACGGCATCATGAGGCGGCTGAGGGCAGCAGTGGCAGGGGAGGAGTAGCGCGCTACGACAGCGTCGTACAAAGATTTAGCAGTCTTGTACTGGCCAAAATGCGCGCGCTCAGCAGACGGAAGGTGACTACAAACAGCAAGGCGAGCAACAGCGTCACGAGTGGTCCACTGCGAGCGAACCGTACTGTCAGCATTGGCAGCAGGTGCAGTAGAGAGATCGGACGTGTGATCAAACAGAGATACCCCATCCCTAGAGTCACACTGAAGAAAGAGCTGCAGGTCGTCAACCCACACGTCAAAGTCAACCGCACGCCCCTCAGCATCAAAGGTGAGAACAGTAGGGCTAGCCATAGTAGCAGTAGCAGTAGTAGCAGCAGTAGCAGCAGTAGCAGCAGTAGCAGCAGTAGCAGTAGTAGCAGCAGTAGCAGTGCAAGCAGAAGGGCAGCGCGGCTCGGCAGGGCGGCGCGGCTCGGTAGTGCGGCGCGGCTCGGCTAGGCGGCGCGGCTCGGCAGGGCGGCGCGGCTCGGTTCCTGGCGGAGCGGCGCCGCAGCAGGCGGAGCGGCGCCGCAGCAGGCGGCGCGGCGCGGCAGGGCGGCGCGGGTGCTTACCAGGGGCGGGTGTAGGGCAGGGCCGCAGCGGGCGGTTTAGGTCAGGGCCGCGACTGGGGCGGCAGTAGGGCGGGGCCGCGACAGGGGCGGCTGCAGGGAAGAGCCGCGACTGAGGCGGCAGTAGGGCAGGGCCGCGACATGGTGGCTACAGGGCAGAGGCCGCGACTGGGGTGGCAGTAGGGCAGGGCCGCAACGGGCGGCTAAGGCAGGGCCGCGACTGGGGCGGCAGCAGGACAGGGCCGCGACAGGGGCGGCAGCAGTGCAGGGCCGCGACAGGGCGGCTGCAGGGCAGAAGCCGCAACAGGGCAGAGGCCGCGACGGGCGGCGAAGGCAGGGCCGCGACTGGGATGGGCCAGCGACGGGCGGCGACGGGCCGGCGACGGGCGGCAACGGGCCGGGACGGGCCGGCTACGGGCCGGGACGGGCCGGGTCGGGCCGGGACTGGCCAGCGACGGGCGGCGAAAGGCAGGGCAGGGCCGCAGTGGGCGGCTAAGGCAGGGCCGCGACGCGTGGCGACGGGCCAGCGACGGGCCAGCGACGGGCCGGGACGGGCCGGGACGGGCCAGCGACGGGCGGCTAAGGCAGGGCCGCGACGGGCCAGCAAAGGCAGGGTCGCGACGGGCCGTACTAGGGCAGGGCGCGAGGCGCGCTTCGGGCAGGGCGCGAGGCGCGCTTCGGGCAGGGCAGGAAAAATTCGTGGTGGGCCCTAAAAAAACGTTCCCACTAGGGAACCTGCTCAGAATACCATGTCAGAATAGTGAACGAATTAATAACTGAACTAGCAAGCAGGTGGGTACAAGTAGGAAACCTAAAAGTGTTGTACCCTATATGAACTACCCCACTACAGCCTAGATAGACTATAGCATATGAGTTTGACATGTTCTACTTGCAGGGTTGCACGCCCCAAAGGGCAGTTAGTGGTCGACTTGTGACCAGCCCTTGAAGAATTTCAGCACAGTTACCCTGTACTATTTCGTCTTGACTGAATTTGCATGTATGTTATCATTAAATATGTCTCATAAATCAATATTAGTTGAGCCTTATTAGCGATATGAACGCCTGGGAATTTAAACCTGCACTGTAGTTCAGCAACCGCATGATGGAGAGTACCACACTGTACGTATGTTGAATGGTCCACCAATGCCCATCGATTTTTCCAAATGCAACAGGATAACCAGATTGGTCCACAGGGCAGGCTCTGATTCGCTCCCAGGTTTTTGGAAAAGCCAATTTATTTCCAGACTTTTGGGAGCTGGCTGTCCACGTGGCACATGTGACAAAAATGTCACCTTTTCGATGCTGGAGATGTCACATCTACGTGACTCGGACGATGCTTTATGTCCACTTGAATGTCACATCTTCGATACTTTGCACGTAACATTGCCCGTGTAGCTTTTGACCATGACTGGAAAGCTACTTGGTTTTCGTATCTGGAAAGTGGCGTATATGTCACATTTTCGTAGCATTTCTGGCTTGAGTTTTCCGCGATGCTGGACCGAAATGAAGAACTAGCGTACTACCGAGTGAAAACCGTTTCTATGATAGCGCGACCGAACGGCGTCTGCTCTGCTGCCCTCGGTTTTTACAGTTTGAACAATGTTTCGCGCTCGATTTGATTCTTTTTTGCAATTGCCGCGATAGCGACTCCGAGGTGTGTGAGAGGACTGAGCGCCTTCCTGTGACATTGTCTCATTATATGATATCATGAGACGACATTGGACTCAGGCACTCGGAGTGGAGACTTCGGAATACGACGTGGGTAACCCTCGGAGGGTTTCGTGACGACCTCATTGCTCTGCCGTAGAGTGACTATGAGCGTTTCGTCGACGTGAACGTTCAGTCAGAGCATTACTCGTTGTGTCAGAGGTCCACTGAAGATCCCCGATTGATCCTAGGGAAGGGTTATAGGCTCGTCTTCCCAGGGGGTTATGGGCGCACTGACCTGCTACTTAACAAGCCATTTTATCCCAGTGGTCTAGTGACTAGGATTCTGATATGGTATCGGAGCGAAGGTCTCGGGTTCGAATCCCAGTGTGTGCACTTCGGGCATCCCAGTGCGGGGGGGTGTCAGAGATCCACTGAAGATTCCCAATTGATCCTAGGGAAGGGTTACATGCCTGTTGTCCTGGGGGGTTATGGGCGCACTGACCCGCTACTTAACAAGCCATTTTATCCCAGTGGTCTAGTGACTGGGATTCTGACACGTTGAACCTCGGAGGTCGCAGGCCTTCCCATCAAACCCGATACCTCAACAACCATCGACTGGCCTGTAGCTGCTGCTAAGACTGCTGCTGGGAAAACACAAATGTATGATGAAAGACGGGTTCGAATGCGCCGAGTCGGCGATATGCTACTACAACCTGTTGGTGTATCGAATGGATGAAATCGACTCTGGTTTTTGCTGTGGAACTCACGGGGGAGAGTAAAGAATTGGCGTGCTATGCGATTCGAGCCGACATTTGGGAGGAGAGGCACGGGACAGATGATTACTCGTTAAGACTGGTTCGTTACAGGGAAAGTAGAATAATCTATAATGACTGGTTATTTAGTCACAAGAAGAATTGTGATATACAGCCTATAGCAACTCATCTACAGCCTTGATATTCTTATTGAGAGTGCCTTTCCTTCCCGAGAAACACCCCTTGAGTGAGAACACTCAGCGTGAATTTCTGTCACTGCATGCACAGGCAGCGAAACATCCATCGCAGTCCAAGGTCTTATTGTAGATGGCGCTCCAAATCTCGATGCACCATCTTCATTCTCATCAGATGGACCTGCCTCTATCTCCCCGGAAACCACATGCTGGGTCAACAATGATGGGCCGGAAACCCTAGCGCTGCTGTCTCCCACTTGTCCCTGCTCAAGTGAGTTGTTGTGAGACTCGGTACCATTTCGATAAGCATCCTCCGGACACAAATTGCTGTCTTCCACTTTCACATCTCCTCCTGGCACTGCCTGTGGCAGCAGCGTTGCGTGACTCTTTCTCTCATCCTTCCCTACAGTCCCCAACCCATCACCGAAACCCAGCAACCGGACAAATTCCGCCGCCTCTCCCGCAGCTTGCCGCCCGGTGGAGAACGCACCGTGAACAGTGCCGGGGTGGGCGCGGGAGGTGGCTTCCCCGGCAAAGAAAAGAGGAGGGAGGGGGGCGCGGAGGGAGTCGTAGACGTCTGGAGGGGCGTGCACTGCATCGTAGGAGTAGGATCCGAGGGAGAATGGGTCTGACCCCCATGTGGTGATGCGCGCCTGGATCTGCGTGGTGGGGGTGAGAGTGAAGAAATGGAGGGAGAGAGAGGAGCGTTGGAGATATCATGAGGCGTGGAAAGCCTTTTCGAATAAGAGAAGGTCAAGAACCCGAGGGCGGTGAGGGAGGGGAGCACAGAGGGAGTGATAAGCGTGGGGAGAGGTGTGCACTACATCGAAGGCGTAGGCTCCGAGGGAGAAGTGGTCTGACTCCATGTGGTGTTGCGCGCCTGGATCTGTGTGTGGGGGGTGTAGAGTGAAAAAAGGGAGGGGAGAGTGAGTAGGCCAATACGGAAGCTGGTAGGGCGTAAACCTCCCCTTACGGGAGTGAGGGCACTCACAGGTTGAGGCGTGTGGAGAAGGATCTTCCTGAGCTGCAGCATGGTGAACGCCACAGCCTCTTTTGGGGAGCCTCAGAAATAGGCACTCACAGGTTCAGGTGCGCGGGGAAAGAATTTGGAGGCACCTCAAAACGAAGCACTTACTGGTTCAGGCGCATGGGGCAGGATCTTCCGGAGCTGCAGCATGGTAAATGCCACTGCCTCTTTTTGAGGCACCTCAGGGGAGAAGAACCTGGTGCTTCTGAAGCAAGCACCGCTGGCTCTTCAAAGGAGGGAACTCACAGGTTCAGGCACGTGGGGCAGGATCTTGCTAAGCTGCAGCATGGTGAACGCCACGGCCTCGCTCTCCCCCATCCCCTCCATCTCCTCCTCTGCCAGCTCGCCCCAGCTCGCCTCTACAACAAACCTCCCTAAAGGCGTAAACCTCCCCTTCTCACTCACCACAAAAACAAACCCGTTCAGAGACAAACACGGTGAGAGGAAGCCAGTGCTTCAGGGGAGAGTGCTCACAGGTTCAGGTGCGTGGGGCAGGATCTTCCTAAGCTGCAGCATGGTGAACGCCACAGCGTCGCTCTCCCCCATCCCCTCCATCTCCTCTGCCAGTCTCCCCGCCGGCATGGACACCAACACCGCCCTCTCGCCCCGGCTCGCCTTGTGCAGGTTCAAAAAGTAGCTGCACGCGTAGGCCGTGTCTGCTACAACTCCCAGGAAATCTAAGCCACACCTTCTTGCCCGCTTCTGAAGAAGGAGCTAGTGCATTGAAGAGGAAACTTACAGGTTCAGGGGCGTGCGGAAGAATCTTTCTGAGCTGCAGCATGGTGAACGCCACGGCCTCGCTTTCCCCCATCCCCTCCATCTCCCCCGCCAGCCGCCCTGCCGGCATGAACACCAGCACAGCCCTCTCGCCCTGGCTCGCCTTGTGCAGGTTCAAAAAGTAGCTGCACGCGTAGGGCGTGTCTGCTACCACTCCCAGGAATTCCACTGACGGCCAGAAGCATGAGGGGAAGAGGAGGGCGATTTTATTCTCTATTCCGACTCCAATGGAGTGGAGAGCGGTGCATTTGGATGCGGGGAGAGGAGGCGAGAAGTGGATGCGGTTGGGGTGGGTGGGGGTGGTGGTGGACGGATGGGTGCTGCTGCTGCTGCCTTTTCTGCTGCTGCTACTGCATTTACAACTGTTACTGCCGTTACCGTTACTGCAGTTGCTGCAGTTGCTACAGTTGCTGCGATTATCACCATTGGCTGACTCAGCTAAGGGAATCTCCTGATTTGAGCTGCCTACGTGGCCCACAGACAACCGCAGAACGCCAGCTGGCAGGGTGACAATCGCCACGTCAGCAGAGAACATGGCGCCGTCGGCTGTGGTGACGTGGACACCGGGTCTACATGGTATACTGACGTCAGCTACAGCTTCACTAGTGCAGAAACCAGGATTCAGGGACGTGTGACAGCTAGGCAAGCAGCGTGCATCAGTAGCAGCAGATCCGAAGGGGTTGCACGTGCTGCTAATTCCGCTCCTGGTGTTGTGTATACTGTAATTACTGCCTAAATCACATGGTCTACATCCAGTGCACCTGATACTAGCACATGGCATGCAGTGGGTAGAAGAACCCTGCTTGGTAAGTCTGATACACTGATGACTGCCCTGCTGCTGCTCTGTCGCCCCTCCACCTATTGCACGTGCCTCCTTCGATTCACCAACCCGTGTTGCCCCTATCTCTCTTGCTGTATTCATCCCTCTGTCTACCGATCTGTCTACCTCCTGTGCTGAGGACCAGTCAATGTTGATCACTCTGTGGGCAGGAACGGGGAAAAGGGAAATCAGGGCAGGAAAATGAAAGCAGGTGGGAAAAGGGATACACTGTGAGTGCATCTGAAGTGTAAAAAAGAAAACAAAGAACGTGACCAAAACGCCATGTGTTGTGATTATATCAAACGTGCATACTCACATCACATACATGTGCTTCAGGGCCACCACAACATCACATCACACAATCACCTGTGATTAAAACGAATGTCCAGCCCAGCCGCAAGGGCGTCCAGCACGGGGAGGTAACCGTTCACCATAAGCCCATGACCCCCCTCCACTAGGTCCTCCTGTAACCATACCATACATGATGGGATGAGAGGCATGATGGGATGAGAGGCATGATGGGATGAGAGGCATGATGGGATGAGAGGCATGATGGGATGAGAGGCATGATGGGATGAGAGGCATGACGAGATGAGAGGCATGATGGGATGAGAGGCATGATGGGATGAGAGGCATGACGAGATGAGAGGCATGATGGGATGAGAGACATGACGAGATGAGAGGCATGACGAGATGAGAGGCATGATGGGATGAGAGGCATGATGGGATGAGAGGCATGATGGGATGAGAGGCATGACGAGATGAGAGGCATGATGGGATGAGAGGCATGATGGGATGAGAGGCATGATGGGATGAGAGGCATGATGGGATGAGAGGCATGATGGGATGAGAGGCATGATGGGATGAGAGGCATGACGAGATGAGAGGCATGATGGGATGAGAGGCATGATGGGATGAGAGGCATGACGAGATGAGAGGCATGATGGGATGAGAGGCATGATGGGATGAGAGGCATGACGAGATGAGAGGCATGATGGGATGAGAGGCATGATGGGATGAGAGGCATGATGGGATGAGAGGCATGACGAGATGAGAGGCATGATGGGATGAGAGGCATGATGGGATGAGAGGCATGATGGGATGAGAGGCATGATGGGATGAGAGGCATGATGGGATGAGAGGCATGATGGGATGAGAGGCATGACGAGATGAGAGGCATGATGGGATGAGAGGCATGATGGGATGAGAGGCATGACGAGATGAGAGGCATGATGGGATGAGAGGCATGATGGGATGAGAGACATGACGAGATGAGAGGCATGACGAGATGAGAGGCATGATGGGATGAGAGGCATGATGGGATGAGAGGCATGACGAGATGAGAGGCATGATGGGATGAGAGGCATGATGGGATGAGAGGCATGATGGGATGAGAGGCATGATGGGATGAGCGAGATGAGAGGCATGATGGGATGAGAGGCATGATGGGATGAGAGGCATGACGAGATGAGAGGCATGATGGGATGAGAGGCATGATGGGATGAGAGGCATGACGAGATGAGAGGCATGATGGGATGAGAGGCATGATGGGATGAGAGGCATGATGGGATGAGAGGCATGATGGGATGAGAGACATGATGGGATGAGAGGCATGACGAGATGAGAGGCATGATGGGATGAGAGGCATGATGGGATGAGAGGCATGACGAGATGAGAGGCATGATGGGATGAGAGGCATGACGAGATGAGAGGCATGATGGGATGAGAGGCATGATGGGATGAGAGGCATGACGAGATGAGAGGCATGATGGGATGAGAGGCATGATGGGATGAGAGGCATGACGAGATGAGAGGCATGATGGGATGAGAGGCATGATGGGATGAGAGGCATGACGAGATGAGAGGCATGATGGGATGAGAGGCATGATGGGATGAGAGGCATGACGAGATGAGAGGCATGATGGGATGAGAGGCATGATGGGATGAGAGGCATGACGAGATGAGAGGCATGATGGGATGAGAGGCATGATGGGATGAGAGGCATGATGGGATGAGAGGCATGATGGGATGAGAGGCATGATGGGATGAGAGGCATGACGAGATGAGAGGCATGATGGGATGAGAGGCATGATGGGATGAGAGGCATGACGAGATGAGAGGCATGATGGGATGAGAGGCATGATGGGATGAGAGGCATGACGAGATGAGAGGCATGATGGGATGAGAGGCATGATGGGATGAGAGGCATGATGGGATGAGAGGCATGACGAGATGAGAGGCATGATGGGATGAGAGGCATGATGGGATGAGAGGCATGATGGGATGAGAGGCATGATGGGATGAGAGGCATGATGGGATGAGAGGCATGATGGGATGAGAGGCATGACGAGATGAGAGGCATGATGGGATGAGAGGCATGATGGGATGAGAGGCATGACGAGATGAGAGGCATGATGGGATGAGAGGCATGACGAGATGAGAGGCATGATGGGATGAGAGGCATGACGAGATGAGAGGCATGATGGGATGAGAGGCATGACGAGATGAGAGGCATGATGGGATGAGAGGCATGATGGGATGAGAGGCATGATGGGATGAGAGGCATGATGGGATGAGAGGCATGATGGGATGAGAGGCATGACGAGATGAGAGGCATGATGGGATGAGAGGCATGATGGGATGAGAGGCATGACGAGATGAGAGGCATGATGGGATGAGAGGCATGATGGGATGAGAGGCATGACGAGATGAGAGGCATGATGGGATGAGAGGCATGATGGGATGAGAGGCATGATGGGATGAGAGGCATGACGAGATGAGAGGCATGATGGGATGAGAGGCATGATGGGATGAGAGGCATGATGGGATGAGAGGCATGATGGGATGAGAGGCATGATGGGATGAGAGGCATGATGGGATGAGAGGCATGACGAGATGAGAGGCATGATGGGATGAGAGGCATGATGGGATGAGAGGCATGACGAGATGAGAGGCATGATGGGATGAGAGGCATGATGGGATGAGAGACATGACGAGATGAGAGGCATGACGAGATGAGAGGCATGATGGGATGAGAGGCATGATGGGATGAGAGGCATGACGAGATGAGAGGCATGATGGGATGAGAGGCATGATGGGATGAGAGGCATGACGAGATGAGAGGCATGATGGGATGAGAGGCATGATGGGATGAGAGGCATGATGGGATGAGAGGCATGATGGGATGAGAGACATGATGGGATGAGAGGCATGACGAGATGAGAGGCATGATGGGATGAGAGGCATGATGGGATGAGAGGCATGACGAGATGAGAGGCATGATGGGATGAGAGGCATGACGAGATGAGAGGCATGATGGGATGAGAGGCATGATGGGATGAGAGGCATGACGAGATGAGAGGCATGATGGGATGAGAGGCATGATGGGATGAGAGGCATGACGAGATGAGAGGCATGATGGGATGAGAGGCATGATGGGATGAGAGGCATGACGAGATGAGAGGCATGATGGGATGAGAGGCATGATGGGATGAGAGGCATGACGAGATGAGAGGCATGATGGGATGAGAGGCATGATGGGATGAGAGGCATGACGAGATGAGAGGCATGATGGGATGAGAGGCATGATGGGATGAGAGGCATGACGAGATGAGAGGCATGACGGGATGAGAGGCATGACGAGATGAGAGGCATGATGGGATGAGAGGCATGACGAGATGAGAGGCATGATGGGATGAGAGGCATGATGGGATGAGAGGCATGACGAGATGAGAGGCATGATGGGATGAGAGGCATGACGAGATGAGAGGCATGACGGGATGAGAGGCATGACGAGATGAGAGGCATGATGGGATGAGAGGCATGATGGGATGAGAGGCATGATGGGATGAGAGGCATGATGGGATGAGAGGCATGATGGGATGAGAGGCATGACGAGATGAGAGGCATGATGGGATGAGAGGCATGACGAGATGAGAGGCATGATGGGATGAGAGGCATGATGGGATGAGAGGCATGACGAGATGAGAGGCATGATGGGATGAGAGGCATGATGGGATGAGAGGCATGATGGGATGAGAGGCATGATGGGATGAGAGGCATGATGGGATGAGAGGCATGACGAGATGAGAGGCATGATGGGATGAGAGGCATGACGAGATGAGAGGCATGATGGGATGAGAGGCATGATGGGATGAGAGGCATGACGAGATGAGAGGCATGATGGGATGAGAGGCATGATGGGATGAGAGGCATGATGGGATGAGAGGCATGACGAGATGAGAGGCATGATGGGATGAGAGGCATGATGGGATGAGAGGCATGATGGGATGAGAGGCATGATGGGATGAGAGGCATGATGGGATGAGAGGCATGACGAGATGAGAGGCATGATGGGATGAGAGGCATGACGAGATGAGAGGCATGATGGGATGAGAGGCATGATGGGATGAGAGGCATGACGAGATGAGAGGCATGATGGGATGAGAGGCATGATGGGATGAGAGGCATGACGAGATGAGAGGCATGATGGGATGAGAGGCATGATGGGATGAGAGGCATGACGAGATGAGAGGCATGACGGGATGAGAGGCATGACGAGATGAGAGGCATGATGGGATGAGAGGCATGACGAGATGAGAGGCATGATGGGATGAGAGGCATGATGGGATGAGAGGCATGACGAGATGAGAGGCATGATGGGATGAGAGGCATGACGAGATGAGAGGCATGACGGGATGAGAGGCATGACGAGATGAGAGGCATGATGGGATGAGAGGCATGATGGGATGAGAGACATGATGGGATGAGAGGCATGATGGGATGAGAGGCATGATGGGATGAGAGGCATGATGGGATGAGAGGCATGACGAGATGAGAGGCATGATGGGATGAGAGGCATGATGGGATGAGAGGCATGACGAGATGAGAGGCATGATGGGATGAGAGGCATGATGGGATGAGAGACATGATGGGATGAGAGGCATGACGAGATGAGAGGCATGATGGGATGAGAGGCATGATGGGATGAGAGGCATGACGAGATGAGAGGCATGATGGGATGAGAGGCATGATGGGATGAGAGGCATGACGAGATGAGAGGCATGATGGGATGAGAGGCATGATGGGATGAGAGGCATGACGAGATGAGAGGCATGATGGGATGAGAGGCATGATGGGATGAGAGGCATGATGGGATGAGAGACATGACGAGATGAGAGGCATGACGGGATGAGAGGCATGATGGGATGAGAGGCATGATGGGATGAGAGGCATGATGGGATGAGAGGCATGACGAGATGAGAGGCATGATGGGATGAGAGGCATGACGAGATGAGAGGCATGATGGGATGAGAGGCATGATGGGATGAGAGGCATGACGAGATGAGAGGCATGATGGGATGAGAGGCATGATGGGATGAGAGGCATGACGAGATGAGAGGCATGATGGGATGAGAGGCATGATGGGATGAGAGGCATGACGAGATGAGAGGCATGATGGGATGAGAGGCATGATGGGATGAGAGGCATGACGAGATGAGAGGCATGATGGGATGAGAGGCATGATGGGATGAGAGGCATGACGAGATGAGAGGCATGATGGGATGAGAGGCATGATGGGATGAGAGGCATGACGAGATGAGAGGCATGATGGGATGAGAGGCATGATGGGATGAGAGGCATGACGAGATGAGAGGCATGACGGGATGAGAGGCATGACGAGATGAGAGGCATGATGGGATGAGAGGCATGACGAGATGAGAGGCATGATGGGATGAGAGGCATGATGGGATGAGAGGCATGACGAGATGAGAGGCATGATGGGATGAGAGGCATGACGAGATGAGAGGCATGACGGGATGAGAGGCATGATGGGATGAGAGGCATGATGGGATGAGAGACATGATGGGATGAGAGGCATGATGGGATGAGAGGCATGATGGGATGAGAGGCATGATGGGATGAGAGGCATGATGGGATGAGAGGCATGATGGGATGAGAGGCATGACGAGATGAGAGGCATGATGGGATGAGAGGCATGACGAGATGAGAGGCATGACGGGATGAGAGGCATGATGGGATGAGAGGCATGACGAGATGAGAGGCATGATGGGATGAGAGGCATGATGGGATGAGAGACATGATGGGATGAGAGGCATGATGGGATGAGAGGCATGATGGGATGAGAGGCATGATGGGATGAGAGGCATGATGGGATGAGAGGCATGCGGAAATGAGCAGCAGTATGGGAAAGCGAGCACAGGATGAGGCCAGATGGTCAGTCATGACACAAGTCATTTACTAGTACAGGCGCTCGCATCCATCAAAGGTACCCAGCAAAGGCAGCCCGGGTGTCCGGCATTTGGCAGAGAGTTTCTTCAAGTCCGTGGCGAACCAACCCTCCATGTGGCATAGGTACCACTGCAGCACCCCTTGTAATAGAGACCTGCCTCCTTTCCCCCAACTCACCTCCTCCCGGCATTTGGCAGAGAGTTTCTTCAAGTCTGTGGCGAACCACCCCTCCATGCGGCACAGGTACCACTGCAGCACGCGCCGCTCCACCCCCTGTAGCATGAACTCCGCCCTTCGTAGCTGTAACCCTCTCCCTTGTAATAGACCCCTGCCTCCTTCCCCCCCAACTCACCTCTTCCCAGCATTTGGCTGAAAGGTTCTTCAAATCTGTAGCGAACCATCCCTCCACGCGACACAGTACCCACCAGACAACCCCCTATAGCCTCAACTCTGCCCCTAGTTGCCTCAAATCCCCTCCCGCATCCTCCTGTCCTGTATCGCTGCCCTTCATCTCACCTCCTCCCAGCATTTGGCAGAGAGGTTATTCAAGTCTGTAGCGAACCACCCCTCCATGCGCCACAGGTACCACTGCAGCGCACACCAATCAACCCCCTATAGCCTCAACGCTGCCCCATGTAGCTGTAACCCTGTCCCTTGCCACACTCTGCCCCGTGTGGTAGACCCCTGCATCCTTTCCCCCCAAACTCACCTCCTCCCAGCATTTGGCGGACAGGTTCTTCAAGTCTGTGGCAAACCACCCCTCCATCCGGCACAGGTACCACTGCAGCACGCGCCTCTCCACCCCCTGTAGCGTCAGGTCCGGCCTCCGCTGCTCCACCAGAGCCAAGGCGTGCTCCATGTTCATGTCCTCGCTTGAGTTCATGCATATTTTACGAGTCTGGTGGTGAGGAGATGGGATGAGAGACAGAAAGGGGTCAGAGGTACGCTGTTGCCGCACGCGCCGCACCACCCCTTGCAGCCTCCTCAAATCCGGCCTCCGCTGCTCCACCAGAGCCAAGGCGTGCTCCATGTTCATGTCCTCGCTTGTACTGGCGCATACCTTCCAAGTCTGGTGTTTGGTCAATGAGATGAGATGACAGGGGGAAAGAGGTCAGAGGTACCATTGCTGCATCCGCTGTTCCACCATCTGCCTCCGCTGCTCCACCAGAGTCAAGGCATGCTCCATGTTCATGTCCTCGCTCGTGTTCAGTTCATGCATATTCTTCGAGTCTGGTGGTGTGAAGAAGAGATGAGAGAGAGAAAGGTGTCAGAGGTGCCGCTCCAGCAAGACGTGCCTCTTCACCCCTTGCCTGCAGCAGCCTCAGGTCCGGCCTCTGCTGCTCCACCAGAGTCAAGGCACGCTCCATGTTCATGTCCTCGCTCGTGCCGGCGCATAATCGACGAGTATGGTAATGGTGAGGAGATGAGACGATAAAGAGCAAGGGGGTCTACCTGAGGTGCCCTGGGAACAGCTCCACCAATGCCAAGTCACGAATCAAGTTTTTGGCGTATCCTCAAACAACAAGACTCAGTCGGATACTGAAATGCCGGATGGACACTGTCCAGAGGACCCCAACGTACTCCAGCATAACCTCGAACACCCACTCCCCACGTTCCACCTTGATATCATGGTCTTGGATCTTCGAAAAGACTTTTGAGGCGCCTCAAAAGCCCACTCCCCACGTTCCACCTTGATATCATGGTGTTGGATCTTCGAAAAGATTGACAGGCAGCATGGAGATGACTCACCTCCTCCAGCATCTCTTCGAACACCTGCTCCACTCGCTCCACCACGTCACACCCTCATGGAGTAGGAGTTTTACAGTTTGACTGAAAGCACATAGATTTCCCAGAGGACCCTCACGACTCACTTCCTCCAGCATCTCTTCAAACACCCGCTCCACGCGCTCCACCACGTCCTGGGGAATCTTCACCCCATCCTCATCGTACAGTGCATAGCTGAAACGGACCAAGGAGGAGGGGGGTGTGGGTTTATGAAGGAAACAAAATTAAAAGAACACCACTTTCCAGCAGTGGAAGGCATTTCACGGCTGCAGTTTCCAGGTGAGTTTTGAGCTGACTCAAAGAACACTATCTCCACGCGCTCCACCACGTCCTGGGGGATCTTCACCCCATCCTCATCGTACAGCGCGTAGCTGAAACGGACACAGGAGGGGTGTTGGGATAGCACGATCCGCAGATTGCGTTTCGAGAAGTTTCAAAGGGAGCGGGTCCGTTTGCATCAAAGCAACGCATGCTTTTGAGGGTTGAAGGGGAGGTTGCACCTTGGGATTCAAGAAGGCGTATTGGAAACAGAGAAAGAAAGGAAAAACGGACTTACAAGTCAGCAACAAACAGAACCATAGAGCACCATACAGCACTGCACACCACCATGTTAGACGACACAGCACCACACCTCACCACACAGCACCAAACAGCACCATGCCACCTACCCACCTCTCCAGGTCGTGATCGTAGAGCACTGAGTCGTCTCCACTGGTTCGGTAAAGCGGAAGCTGGAGGTCCGCGATCAGCCGAGCCAGCGGATTACTCTCAGAAACACCATGCAGCCTGGAAAAGGGAGAGAAAACAGGAATATTAGAGGGACAGATAAGCCGGGCGAGGAGTAGATCTGAGAGGAAGGTGAGATGGGGCGGAGGAGGGGGGGGGGGGGGGGGGGGGGGGTAAGCAGGTTTGAGAGAAACAGTGGTCGGAAAGCTGTTACAATTATTGTCACGGTAATCGCAAAGCAGCGCAAGGAAGGACTGGATAAGGGACCAGCTGGGTGTTGGTTATGAACTCACAGACCACTGTTAGGAACAATCGCTTACCAGGCAGCACCTAGATCAAGCGGAAAGCCAAAAGAGTAGTCTGTGAATGCGCGACCTCCGATGCGATTCCTTGCCTCTAGCACCACCACCTGCCGTAGATGGGGAGCAGCGCAGGCCAGAGGAGATTTCACGTTGTTAGCAATAACAAAACTTCTCAACCTTGCCTCTCTCACCACCATTCGTGGTGTCAGCAGAGAAATTTGTGGAGCCAGTAAGTTAGACGTTCCAGACGGAGGGATGGAACAATAAGAGAAAGAGGATGAAAGAGCCTGATAGTTCAAATGCATGGTGGCTTTGACGATGTTGCAGATCAGGCGTCAAGGTGCAGAACAACCATTAGACTGCAGGAAAACCGTCATGATGAGTTCCATGATGCTCTCAAGAGCGTTGGAGGAAGATGAACCCTTTGCATGCATGAAACGATCAAGTTGCAGAACCAACCCCCCTGGGATGTGAACTGTGTAGATTCTCGGTGCTGCTAATCAAATAGCACGACAGGCTCGAAGACACATCCTGGAACCATCACGGACGAAAATATCGCACCTCAAACGATGCGTGATGCAGCGCATGAGCTGCTGCCAGGCCGGAGAACCCGCTACCAATCACGATGACTGACGGCCGACGAGCTCCCTGGCAATTGCTTGTGCTACTGGTAACAGCGGCGCTGTGCGGGGTGCTGTTATCATCGATGGGGACTACTGGAATTAGAGAGCTACACTGCCTCTGATTCTCCATGATCCTCAGAAAGATAGACAACCAGCTCTAGCTATCCTTCGGGAGCCTGGCTTGCTGACACGGTATTTGAGAAAAATCTAGCTAGCGCGACGAGAAAAACGGTGCTGCCTTGAGATTTGAGCAAAGGAAAGCCTCACAACGAAAAAGTTATAGCTTACGTTCAAAGATTCCCACAGCTGGTTCAGAGATTCCAACGGTATTGCTGTGGTGATGGCTTGCAGGTGACTGAAGGCACTCTTAGGGAATCTGTGGTGAAGTGGACTTTCCAAGGGGATTTCTGGGGGAGCGATGTGGGTTATCTGTCAGACGGAAAATGTCAGGTGACATCTTCCTGATAAAGTATCGGATGCAAACGATTTCGTCTGGTTTGACACGGTCCTCAGCGTGCTGGTCACTTCAGATATTGTCTTCGTGTTTTCATATCAGACAGGGATGAACGGCTTATATTTACCCATCCCATCAGGATCTGAGGATTTCATGCACGCTATTGGCCGACAATGAACTGACTGACCAATAGTATTTCTAGTTTTGCTTGATGCTCCGAATGAAGATGTTACAGACTGCTTCGACTCTTGTGTTTGTGAGTTGCTAATGTCGACATACACTTAGCTACTTCCACTGACAGTTACATCCCTATAGGAAAGTCCTCGGAATTATCACCACAACAGGCACTTCGTTTGCGTAACACCCTCTCCTAGGTTCCTCCTCACCTGGCCTTGGCTCTCTTGTTCCTCCGTTATTGTCAAGCGATAGACCGCCATACTACTCTCACTGCTGTGCTGGGTTCCGAACCCCTCTCATGTCCCGTGCTCCTCCTCACCAGCAGCTAGCGACATTTTCAGCACCAGTTTCCGGGAACGTTTCGTCATAAGCTGCTTTGCCACCTGCTCTTTTGGTAACATTTCAGTCTCTGGCATGTAGTAAAAAACCCATGGCAGGACACCAAACCCGAGGCACCCCCCCTGTTTCACCTCCAACTCCCGGTAGGACCGTCGGAGAAGCGGCGGTAGGCGGCATGGCCGCTCAGGCTGGCGGAAACGGCGTAAACGGCGGAGCGGGAGGCTTAGGCGGAGGCGGAGGCGGAGGGGGAAGCGGAAGCGGAGGCGGAAGCTTAGGCGGTCGTCCCGTGGGGGATGACTATGTTCTGGAGAAGCAGATAGGTTCGGGGTCGTTTTCCGTGGTGTGGAGGGGTAGGAGGCGGTCGACGGGCGACGCGGTGGCGATTAAGGAAATTCCGACGGAGAAATTAAGTGCCAAGCTGCACGAGAGTCTTGAGTCGGAAATTGCGATTCTGAAACGCGCAAGGCATCCCAATATCGTTCATCTATTGGACATAGTTAAGGTGCGTTGCAAATATGCGTAGCACCTTATGTTTCCCTCTGCAGAGGCGCGAGGCATCCCAACATAAATAAACCACCTGTTGGACATAGCTAAGGTGCGTATGACCGTCCGTGCATGCTTAGCACATGTTATATGACTTCTAGCGGTTCTATGTCGAGCTAGCCACCCAACGTCCTTTTTGGCGTATGGTATTGAGGTGGTTAGCTTAGCGCTGTCCGCTGAGTATATGCTATGCTATCCTGAAAGTTTTCTAAGGCCCTCAGCTGTACTCTGGGAATGTTTATTCGTGCGAGGCAGCTCAAGATGATAGCAGTAGAACCTCAATTGCTTGCTTATGAGTCGACTTACGTCACACTTAATAAATTAGACGGGCGTGACTTTTGAGCGGGCATTGTGAAGTTCTGTTGCACTGTTCAGGCATTTCAAAATGTGTGGTAAGGGTCATTTCTGTTGAAGACGTACTTTCGAAGTGCGTCACACAACGGCAAATAAGCTGTATGGCGTTAGGAGGCGAAGTGAAGTGAATTGCACTGTGCAATTATTCCCGTGTTTTGTTAGATGTTGTTCTTCTGCTTTCCCACATCCTTTCTGCTTTGTGTTTTGTTATTTTCCATGTCCTGCCTGTCCGCAATTATGTCTATCCCTCTCCCCCCACTCCAGACCTCATCGCGCATGTTCCTTGTCCAGGAGTACTGTGCGGGTGGTGACCTCTCGCACCACATCAGACGCGGCGGGGCGGTGAAAGAGGCGGCAGCCCGGCACTTTATGAGGCAGCTGGGTGCGGGGCTGCAGGTGCTGCGAGCAAACAACCTGATCCACCGGGACCTGAAACCCCAGGTAGGTATGATAGGACGTGATACGGTGTGATGTGAGTGAGTTGTGAGATGGGTGGGGTGGTGAAGGAAGCTGCAGCGAGACACTTCATGAGGCGGCTGGGAGCAGGGTTGCAGGTGCTACGAGCCAACAATCTCATTCACCGGGACTTGAAACCCCAGGTGGGTACGGTGGGATATGGTGAGTTGAGTTGTAGGACGAGTGTGGCAGTGAGGGGGGTCTCTCACACCCCATCAGGCAGGGGGGGGGGGCGGTGAAGGAGGCAGCAGCGAGGCACTTCATGCGGCAACTGGGAGCAGGGCTGCAGGTGCTACGAGCCAACAATCTCATTCACCGGGACCTGAAACCCCAGGTGAGATTGGCTTCACCTGATGAGCGTGAAGTGCATTCTGTGTGGAGGTGGTGGGGATCAGGCGATTCAGTATAGTACTTCTGTAACGTTTCTTTGTGGGGTGTGTGTAGTTATGCCACCCAGTGCTGGTCGCGCATCTCATATTTAAACCGTATCTCTCAATTTCAGGTCAGCTGCTATCTCTGACTTCTATGCCATCTCACCTCACCTCATCTCACCTCACGTTGCCTTGCCTTACCACATGTTATCCCTGTCAACCGTGCCCCTTCTGCATCCTGCCTCACTCCTCAGAACCTCCTGCTATCTGAACGCACGTCTGCTGCAGTGCTCAAGATTGCTGACTTCGGTTTCGCCAGGTCAGCTCTCCTTTCAGGCAAAAAGCATTCGTTCGTTTATTGCATGCATCTGGCAGCAGGCAACGTTTCAATCTCTTCCACCACTGCCGCCGTCTGCGTTACATGGCTTAGCGAAAATCTCCCCCCCCCGGCTCTCTCTCTCTCTCTGTGACTCCCTGTCTTATGGCAGGTCACTGCAGCCACAGGGACTGGCGGAGACGCTATGCGGGTCCCCCCTGTACATGGCGCCAGAGATCCTGCAGTGCCAGCGATACGACGCCAAGGTGGGTGTGGTGCGATATGGCAGAGTGGCACAAGCACCACGTATGGTGAATGGGAGGTAGGTAGGTAGGTAGTAGGCATGGTATCACTCTCCCCTGTACATGGCGCCAGAGACTCCTGCTGTGCCAGCCAGTGATACTTCGATACGACGCCAAGGTGACACTAGTGCAGATGGTGTACCATAGGTAGGTAGGTAGGTAGGTAGGTACGGTATCAATCAGTCGCTGTCGCACACAGCAGTCACCAGAGATATCCTGAACCTGAAGTGACTTTTGAGGCACCTCAAAAGTCCTGAACCTGAAGTGACTTGTGGTGTGGAGTGTGGGCGCCATTCTCTTTGAGCTCGACGTGGGGCGACCCAGACCCACCCTTCAAGTCGACTCAAGTGAAATCCTTTTCTCTACCTCACCATCCTTCTCCCTACCTCGCTCACTGTCTCCTCACTTTCCACCAGGCGGATCTGTGGAGTGTGGGCGCCATTCTCTTTGAGCTCGTCGTGGGGCGACCCCCCTTTGGCGGCCAGAATCATGTCCACGTGAGTATTTAGTTAGTCCCTGCCCTTGTGCAGATTTTTGAGACGTCTCAAAAGTCACCTAGTTCCTGCACTTGTGCAGATTTTTGAGACGTCTCAAAAGTCACCTAGTTCCTGCACTTGTGCAGATTTTTGAGACGTCTCAAAAGTCACCTAGTTCCTGCACTTGTGCAGATTTTTGAGACGTCTCAAAAGTCCCCTAGTTCCTGCACTTGTGCAGATTTTTGAGACGTCTCAAAAGGCGGTGAGAATCATGTCCACGTGAGTAATTAGTTCCTGCCGTTACGCAAGTGGTCCTTTTGTGTTGTCCAGATATATTGAAAATATTACATAAAAAAGCACCATCACTTAGCTGGTTGGTTCCATTCCAGCACTTTTCTTGTTCTGCTCCCTGATGCGCCTAATGCTCATCGGATGTGGCTTGTTGTGAGTCGAGTCGATTACTCTCCCCCCTTGTCTGTCACCACCACCACAGCTGCTGCAAAACATCAAGAGGAGCGAGGCACGTGTACCGCGCGACATTGCCGCAACTCTCTCTGACGACTGTCTCGGGCTCATCCGCTCTCTGCTCAAGCGGAACCCCGGTGAGAGTCACGGGTGAGGTGAGGGTACCCCGCATTTCCCCCCCTTCCCTTCCCACACCTCGGGCTCATCCGCTCTCTGCTCAAGCGGAACCCCGGTGAGTTAACCACCTTCGTTTTTCAACTTCAACCACGTCGTGTTGCAAGTAGACTCTGCAAGCAAGATTCAGTGGTGAGGCGAGGGTGCCACGTGACATATCTGCTACTCTTTTGGACGACTGTCTCGGGCTCATGCGTTCTCTTCTCAAGCGGAACTCTGGTGAATCTAAACATGATCAAAATTGAAAATTCTCAAAAGAATTCTCAAAAGAATTCTCAAAAGAGAATTCTCAAAAGAGAATTCTCAAAAGTGAATCTAAACATGATCAAAATTGAAGCGCCAGAAAATGCCTTCAATGCCATTGCCTCTATCACCGTTTCTGTGTGAAGCTTCCTGTGTTGCAATAGTTCCCGGTAGATGGCTAAAACTTCTCATGTTTGTTTGTGTGAAATTCGTCCTTCCCACTGTTACTCTTTGCTCCGCAGTGGAGCGGCTGTCGTTTGAACAGTTCTTCAACCATCCCTTCCTTGGCTTGGCAAGGTAAGCATGGGGGAAGGGGGGGAGGGAGGGAGGGAGGGAGGGAGAGAGGGGGAGGGAAGGGGGGTTGCTTGAATCTGCTGCAGCTAGATCCAGACATAGCTCAGTGAGCTGCGTGCGTGCAGTATGCTTAAAGCAAAGGAAAAAAACAGCAGTAGATTTCCGCTCTTGTGTACAACTAAGTGCTCAAAACGATCTCAGAACCTGCTTGAATCTGCTGAATCTGCTGCAGCTATGAGGACTTGTCCCACCCGCGTGCTGCTGCTGCGTCTAAGCAAGCAATCCTCTCCCGTCCTTCCCGCTTTTTAATCCTCTCTCCCCCCTTCCTTCCGCTCCCCTCCTCCTCTTTCCCCTTCCCCCCCCCCCCCGCCCTCTCCCCGTCCCCGCATGCTCACGCATCATCAGTTCCCCACAGTCTATCTGGCAACCACCAGCATCCTTCACCAACCCAGCTACTCACGCCGAACCTCTGCCACTCCGGACCGAACCGCCACCCTTTCCTGCCGAACCTCCATCATCCTCTGCCGAACCTCGCCAACTATCGGCCGAGCCTCCGCCACAGAGTTCCAGGCCTCCTGCGTCTGTTCCTGCCACGTCAACTCCTGCCAGTGCCACCACCCCTTTGGCTCCTGGTGCTGCCCCTGGTGCTGCAGGGCACGTTGTGCCTGCTCCCCCAACCTCCCCCTCCCTTACTCCCCCTGCTCATACCCCCCCGCCTCCCCCTTCCCTTACCCCCCCTGCCCCTGGTCCCTCGCTTCCCCCTCCCCTGACCCCCCCTGGCCTGCCTGCCCCCCTTGCTTCCCCTTTATCTGCCCCACCTTCCTCCCCCTATCGCTCTGCTTCCCCCCACCTCACCCCGAGCCCCACTTTTCCTACTGCTTCTAACCCTGTTTCAGCTACCACTGTAAATAGTGTTGTAACGGGTGCTGTTAGAGGGGATCCTTATAAGGAGGATAGTGATCCCTGGGGTGTGGTTGCTGTGGGTGGTGGTAGTGGAGGGGGTGGAGGGACAGGGAGTGGGGGAAAGGATGGAGGGAGTGGGAGAGTGGGCGGGGGTGAAGGGAGGGCAGCGGGAGAGAGAAAAAGTGTTTCTGCACCTGCAGCAGAAGAAACAACAGCAAGTGCAGCAGCAGCAGCAGTAGCGCCGGCGTCAGCAGTAGCGCCGGCGTCAGCAGTAGCGGCAGCGGGAGAAGCAGCAGCGTCAGGAAGTGCAGCAGCAGTGGTGGCTGCACCTGCTTTTCCTCCACCTGCAGTGGTTGCCTCCCCTGCCCGGACTGCTCTTTTGCCAGCTCGTTCAGTCACTGCTTATGAGGTCAGACCCTCGCCCACCTACCAGCATACCCACCCACAGCAACAACAGGGACAACAGGGACAGCAGCAGCAGCAGCAGCAGCAGCAGCAGCAGCAGCAGCAGCAGCAGCAGCAGCAGCAGCAGCAGCAGCATCAGAATCAGTCAGCTTTTGTGTCAAAATTAGAGAGAGGAACAGAGGCGGCAACAGGAGCGGCAGCAACAGCAAAAGCAGCAGCGGCAGCAGCAGCAGCAGCAGCAGCAGCAGCAGCACCAGCAGCAACAGCACGTGTACCACCACCAGCAGCAGAGACAGCTCCGCTGCGAGCCACACTGGTTGGACCATCACTGGCAGCAACCGTTCCATTCTCAATGGCAGTGGCGCCAGCAGCAGCACCTACATCCATGCCTGCACCGCTGGCCCCACCAGGAGATGAAAGAGGTGCGTGCAGCAGTGCCCCTTGATTCTCTATCCCCCTTTCTTTTTGAGGCGCGGGCCTCTCTGCCACTTTGGTGAACGTGACATGTCCCCGAGTGTACCATCTCTTCTCCTCCCCACTTGCCTTTTTTCCTTCCTCCCAGGCGGCACAGACTCGTTCGAGATGCTTGAAGGGGACTACGTCGTCGTGGACCATCCATCCGAACCTTCTCTTTCCCTTCACTTGAACTGAAACGTTGCCATATGTGTTTTCTCCTCCCCACTTGCCTCTCGCTCCCTGCTCCCATCCCAGGCGGCACAGACTCATTTGAGATGCTCGAAGGGGATTACGTCGTCGTGGACCATCCATCCGAACCCTCTCTGTCCGCCGACCAATCCGCCTCTGCCAACTCATCTCTCGGCCAGTCGAGCCGATATCATCAAATGAAGTCAGCAGGCTCTGCCTCGACATTCCCTGCTGCTGCTGCAGCTGCGCTGTCGGCTGTTGTAGGGGCAGTGGGGGCTGCAGCAGCTGCTGCTGCCGCTACAGCTGGTTCTTCGGCCCACCCGGCTGCTTCGGCCCGGGTTCCCACAGCCGGTGCTACAGGTTCTTCTTCTACTGCTGCTACAGCTTCTGCTGCTACAACTTCCGGTGCTACAGCTGCCACAGCCATTGCTACAGCCTCTGGTGCTGTTGCCGGCAGCCCGTTAATTCCACCTGTAGAATCCCCACCGTTATGTCCCCTGCCTCCTAACCACCACCACCCTACGTCTGCAGCTCTTGTAAATAACCCTGCACGTGTACATTCATTCCCAGTAGAGTCACAACATGTACAGTCACACTCGTTACAGTCACAACCTGTACAGTCACACTTGTCGTTACATTCAACATGTGTACAGCCACACTCGTTACAGTCACCATCTGTACAGTCACAAGTGGTATCAGCAGCACCTGCGCCTCTAGTTCAAGTGAGTGGTTTCTGTCCCAAGGTCCGTACAGGTACAGGAGGGTTCACCAAGACAGCAGACGCACCACCAGTTACTGGAACCACTGCTCCACCGTTTTCCACCCTGCTGTCTTCCACCCCACCGTTTTTAAACACTACCGTTACCACTAACAACTCTTCAGCAGCCGCCGCACCATCCGCCTCTGCACCATCCCCCACCACCGCACCATCTCCCAGTTTACCACCCCCCACTTCACCAGCACCATCCCACGCTCGTTCCGGCTTGGCTCTAGCTGTTAGCCTCGGCACGCCCCGCACAGACTCTCTTCCTACCAGACCTGTGCCTGGTAGCCTCGGCAGCGATGTGGGTGTGATTGTGGGTGTGAGTGTGAGTGTGAGTGCTACATCATCATTAGGTGCAGGAGTTTCGCCTGCTGGAGGGAAGGAGCCCAAGGCTCTGCTGGACGGAGATCCGGACACAGGCGGACTGGTGCAGAATGAACAGCAGAAAGGACAGACGCAGCAGCAGATGCAGGTTCAACAGGAGCAGCAGCAGCCGCAGGAGCAGGTGTTTCAGCTGCATCCTCAGGAGCGAATTGCTTTTCTCAGGCAAAGCGTGCGCTACATTGCAGAGATTGCTGCCAGCAAGGTGAGCCCTGCTAGTACATTGAAGCAAGCAGCTGTTGTCTCTGCTTGTTGCAGTAAAGCAAGCAGCAGTGCCGCTCGCCCTGCTCCTCTTCCACTTCACCGTTCTTGTACTGTCGAGGGAAGAGAAAGCCTTCACTCCCTTCCACGAGTGTGCCACTCTTCCTTTTGATATATTTCCTTTCCTCTGCTCGTTTTCCCATATTTTTCTCGTGTCAGCTGGAAGCAGCAGCACCACTCGCCTTGCTCTCTCTCCACCTGGTTGCTCTCGCAGTGTGGAAAAAGGCAGTCACGCTCTCACACGAGCTCTCCCCCTCTTTTCATACCTTTCCTGTTCTCTGCTGGCATTCCTGTCTTCCCTCGTCTCAGCTGGAAGCAGCAGCACCGCTCGCCTCGCTCTCCCTCCACCTGGCTGCTCTCGAAGTGTGGAAGGAGGCACTCACGGTCTCCCACGAGTGTTTGTCTTCCCATCTTTCCCCCTCTTCAGCTGGAAGCAGCAGCACCACTTGCATCGCTCTCCCTCCACCTGCTTGCACTCGCGGTGTGGAAGGAGGCACTCACGCTCTCCCACGAGTGTTCCTTTCCTCCTCTAATATCTCCACGTTCCCTTATTGTCTTCCTGTCCTCTGTCTTGTCTTTCTACCTTTCCCCCTCTTCAGCTGGAAGCAGCAGCACCACTTGCATCGCTCTCCCTCCACCTGGTTGCACTCGCGGTGTGGAAGGAGGCACTCACGCTCTCCCACGAGTGTTCCTTTCCTCCTCTAATATCTCCACGTTCCCTTATTGTCTTCCTGTCCTCTGTCTTGTCTTTCTACCTTTCCCCCTCTTCAGCTGGAAGCAGCAGCACCACTTGCATCGCTCTCCATCCACCTGGTTGCACTCGCGGTGTGGAAGGAGGCACTCACGCTCTCCCACGAGTGTTCCTTTCCTCCTCTAATATCTCCACGTTCCCTTATTGTCTTCCTGTCCTCTGTCTTGTCTTTCTACCTTTCCCCCTCTTCAGCTGGAAGCAGCAGCACCGCTTGCATCGCTCTCCATCCACCTGGTTGCACTCGCGGTGTGGAAGGAGGCACTCACGCTCTCCCACGAGTGTTCCTTTCCTCCTCTAATATCTCCACGTTCCCTTATTGTCTTCCTGTCCTCTGTCTTGTCTTTCTACCTTTCCCCCTCTTCAGCTGGAAGCAGCAGCACCACTTGCATCGCTCTCCATCCACCTGGTTGCACTCGCGGTGTGGAAGGAGGCACTCACGCTCTCCCACGAGTGTTCCTTTCCTCCTCTAATATCTCCACGTTCCCTTATTGTCTTCCTGTCCTCTGTCTTGTCTTTCTACCTTTCCCCCTCTTCAGCTGGAAGCAGCAGCACCACTTGCATCGCTCTCCATCCACCTGGTTGCACTCGCAGTGTGGAAAGAGGCTCTCACGCTCTCTCACGACTGGGCTGCCACTAGTGCCACCAGTGCTAATAGCGCCCCCAGTGATACTTATAACGGTGGTGCTTATAGTGGTGATGCTTATAACGGGGGTGCTTATAGTGGTTCTGGCGGAATGATTCCGGTGCGCAGGAGCAGCAGCGTGGGGGGGCATGGGGGCGGCATGGTTGGGCATGGGGGCGGCATGGTTGGGCATGGGGGCGGCATGGTTGGGCATGGGGGCGGCATGGTTGGGCATGGGGGCGGCATGGTTGGGCATGGGGGCGGCATGGGTGGGCATGGGGGCGGCTTGGGGGGGCATGGGGGCAGCATGGGTGGTCATGGGGGAGGGGAGGAGGCAGCAGCAGCGATGGCGTGTGACTTGGTAGAGGCTGAGTTCCTGGCAGCTGTTGAGACGGCAGAGGTGGTTGCTGCTGCTGTTGACAGGGACGGTGAGTGCGGTATAAGGAAAGAAGTGGGAAATAAGGTCATGTCATTCAGTATAGGTAAGCGGGCAGCAGCAGCGATGGCGTGTGACTTGGTAGAAGCAGAGTTCCTGGCAGCTGTGGAGACAGCAGAAATTGTTGCTGCTGCTGTCGACAGGGACGGTGAGTGCGGTACGGATGGGTGGATGGGATTGATGAGGTGTGGTATAGGTAAGAAGAGGAAGCAGCAGCAGCAGTGGTGGCGTGTGATTTGGTAGAAGCAGAGTTCCTGGCAGCTGTTGAAACAGCAGAGACGGTTGCTGCTGCTGTTGACAGGGACGGTGAGTGCGGTATGGGGAGAGACCGTGGGAAATAATGACATACTACTGTACTGCATAGGTACGTAGAGCAACGATGGCATGCGACTTGGTAGAAGCAGAGTTTGTTGCAGCTGTGGAGACAGCAGAGGCGGTTGCTGCTGCTGTTGACGGGGATGGTGAGTGCGGTATAGGTGGATGGATGGGATTGGTGATGTGTTTGTGGTGTAGGTAAGAAGAGAGGGAGGCAGCGGCAGCAATGCCATGTGACTTGGTGAAGGCAGAGCTCCTGGCAGCTGTTGAAACGGATAGCTCTGCTACACAGAGGCTAAACAGCACCTCAGTGAGACATATCTGTTTCCCCACCTTCCCCCCCCCATCACAGACCCATCACCCGTGCCTGATGCTCTGGAGATCGTCTATCAGACTGCCCTCATCGCTGGTCGCTCTGCTGCTGTGAGTTCCCCTTCCCACTTCCCTGTCCCCAATGTGTCTTTTTCCTGCCTCTATGTCTCTGATGTTTTCTCGTTTCGTATTGGGCTACACAGCATCCGCAGCATGCCAGCAGCGCGTATACAAAACCCCCCTGCTTCATTTTTTGCTGCTTGCTTTCCATCGCTCTTCTCAGGTGGAGGAGCTGATGGGAAACATGGCATCAGCAGCAGCAGCCTACGCTCGCTCCGCCACCCTCCTGCACGTCTCTCCATGGCCTCTCACTAAAGCACTTCCCTTCCCAATTCCTGCCTCTCCCCCTCTCAGGTGGAGGAGCTGATGGGAAACATGGCATCAGCAGCAGCAGCCTATGTGTGTTCTGAGTCGACTCAAAGCTCTCTCCCCCTGTTCTTCCTCCTCTGTATTTCTACCTCTCCCTCTCAGGTGGAGGAGCTGATGGGAAACATGGCATCAGCAGCAGCAGCTTACGCTCGCTCCGCCACGCTCTTCGCCTTCCTCCTGCACCTCGCCCCTCGCCTCCCCATCTCCCCGCCCCTCCGCCTCTCCCCTGCCGACCGCCACCGCCTCACCAAGTACCATGACGGGGTGTTGGCCCGCCAGACACACTGCTCTGCTGTGCTGCACTGCTGATTGCTAATAGGCTAGCAGCCTAGCATTCCTTACTACAAGCACTGCACTACACTGCTGTATTCTTCTCCTCCTGCTCCTCGCCCCGCACCTCCCCATCTCCCCTCCCCTCCACCTCTCTCCTCCCGGCCGCCACCACCTCTTCAAGTACCACGACGGGGTGCTGGCCCGTCACAAGCACTGCGCTGCTGCTCTGTTCTATTCTAAACCTTCGCACCCCCGTTTTCCCACCCTCTGCCTCTCCCCTGTGGACCACCACCGTCTTTCCAAGTACCACTAGGGGCTGCTGGCCCGCGACAAGCACTGCACTTCTGCGCTGCACTGCTGACTCGAGCTGGATAGCAGCCCTCCCTACAAGCACTCTACCACTATCCTGCACTTCTCACCCCGAACCAACCGCCACCACCTCACCAAGTACCACGGCAGGTTGTTGGTCGGTCACAAGCACTGCAGTGCTGCACTGTACTGTCTCCCCCCTATCCCTACCCCTCCGCCTCCCCCCTTCACTGTTGAGCTAACCCCCAGCAAGCTAGCACCCCTCACTACAAGGCTGCAAGCACTGCACTGCTATATCATCTGTCTCCTTCCTCCCGCACCTCGCCCCTCACCTCCCCACCTCCACCACTTTCCCTTGAGGGAAGTCACCTGAGAGTTGTGTTGTAACAGGATGACTGACACACGCCATTTTCTGTCATGTGACTTGCGAAATTGCAGCATCTACTGATTGAAACCATGCAAAGTTCCACCTGGTGCTATGATAACCACTTCACTGTAAGAAGAGAAAAGAAAACACCAGGATATACCAAGCATTACAGTTGGGCTACTGTAGTAATCTTGATGGTTCCAGTAACTGCAACTGCTTCTATAGCTCATTGTCAGCTGCAATTACAGCAGCACATGTTTGCAGATGAATCAAATTATTAATGAATCCTCCTTCGCCATCCAGTCCAGAGTTCTTACATTCATCCTCACACAAGCTAAGTGCCACCAGCAGCCGGTGCAGCTCCAACAGACCCCTGACCAGCAGTTGCAGATTGAGCACGGAGTAGTGCTTCCTGGATCCTTCCTTTCCACACCAGCCCCACATCCGAGTTCAGCTTCTTTTCCGGCGTGTGCAGAAGATACTCGTCGATGCCGCCCACCTTGTCTATGCAGCGGAGGGCATATGTGGTAACCCGAAACTGGATGAATTTGTCGAGGGCGAAGCTGTAGAGGCGCTTGTACTGCACGTTGGGTTTCCACATGCGCCGTGTTCTGTGCGGTGCGGAAGGGGAGAGGGTGGGGAGGGAAGGGGAAGGGTGGAGCAGTGAAGCAGAGGGAGGGAAATGGCATGGCAGCACAACATGGAACTGGATGAATTTGTCGAGGGCGAAGCTTTAGAGGCACTTGTACTGCACGTTGGGTTTCCACATACGCCGCGTTCTGCCCATGGTTTGGGAGAGTGGGGTTGGGTTGGTTGGGAGGGCGTGGGGGAGAGGGAAGCGAGGGAAGGGAGAGACGGGAGGGTGAGAGTGGGAAACAATGTGACAGCACAGCACGCAATTCGATGACAGTATCAAGGTGAATCTGTGAGGACGTTTGTTCTGCAGGCTACAGGGATGAGGGATGATGGGAGAAGTGAGACGAGAGACCGTGCACGGGTCCGGATAGGAAGAGGGGATCAGTAGGCAGGGGAGGGCGAGGGGACGAAGAACAAAATCCAGCAGTACTTGACCTGAGAGAAAGCTTAGAAGTACTGGACTTTTACTAGAAGGATGTGAACCCCAGAAGTACACAATCCGGCAGTACACGACCTGGCAGTACACGACCTGGCAGTCAGTACACGACCTGGCAGGCAGTACACGACCTGGCAGTACACGACCTGGCAGTACACGACCTGGCAGTACACGACCTGGCAGTACACGACCTGGCAGTACACGACCTGGCAGTACACGACCTGGCAGTAAACAACTCACGGTACCCTGGGCAGTACAAGTCACTTTTGAGAATTCTCAAAAATAACCTGCCCAGTGCAAGTCTTATAGTTGAAGGAAGTGCGGAAGTCATCAAAGGCAGGTGCAGACGGAGCGACCAAGGACGTGCTGTGCTGCCAAGTAGCACATCATCTGATGCATTTGTTGCCTCCGCATTCGTTGCCTTTGTTCCCGATCCGTTATTTAAGAATTCTAAAAAAACTCATGCAGGTGCAGACGGAACGGCCAAGGACGTGCTGCGCTGCCAGCCAAGTATAACACTGACTGATGCATTTGTTGCCTCCCCGTTCGCTGCTTTTGTTCCCGAACTCGACCCGTCCCTGTTAGCGACGGAATACCTTCGTTCCCAACCTTAACCTCTCCCTGGTGTGCAGAATAAACGGTTGACTTACTCATTCCCTTAAACGGTTGACTTACTCATTCCCTTAAACGGTTGACTTACTCATTCCCTCCGTCCTCGCTAGCTTTCTTGGAGAACCGTTGGTTTTCTAGAATTCCCAAAAACGCTAGCTGAAATCAACTGGGTCATTTACTGTCGATTTTGACATATTCCCTGACACACTAGGTCGGATCCTCGCAAAAATTGTTGCCGAACTTGACCCCCTTGCCCGCTAACAGCCCTTGACACACTCTAGAGAGATTCCTGAGTCTCAATAGTTGACTGGTTTTATCCGACTTACTTGTTCCCGCCGTCCTCGCTGACTTTGTTGCCGAATTTCACCTCCTTGCCGGCGAACAGCCCTCGCCGCGCGCGTCGCATGACGGCGCGGCCCACTAGCTCCAAACCTAACGGCATTGCTTCCGTGCCGAGCCAAGCGCGCAGCGGCGGGAAGAGAGAGTATGTGTACAGACGCTCCCTTGGCTAAGGAAAACACGAAGGGTTGATTAGCTGCGGAACGCACGCAGGTTCGGTATCGAAGCAGGTGCTTCAATAGGAAAGGAAGCTGGATTATTCACGCCAATGCAGATGACCTACGGCGGAAGTTTAAGTTGTTGATGGCGCGCGTGCGGCATCTGACAACACGCCGCGGAATCAGCTATTAGCACCGTTTCGATGAATTAGGACGAGGCAGTTCTATCATTGCTGATGCTGATCAGTAATGATGATAATATTTAAAGGAGCTGGATATGGCGCTGTACAGACACGTTCATGCAAAGTCGGGTGCCGTAGTAGCGAAGATATTATGTGTTTTGTGAAGAAATGATTCGTTTTGCTGTGAATAGGTGACATACAGGATGGAAGTAGCAAAGCTCCCGTTGGTCAGAATTGCAGCGATATTCGATCAGCAATCTAGAAGTTTGATTCCAGACCAGAGCTTGTGCCACTAGCGAAGCGAGCCCCAACAGTAGTCTCCAAGGAGAAGTTATTTCCTGACCTGATGGAAGTGTACCGTCGGTGTCGGTTTGCAGCTGGGAATACACTTCTGTTCCTTAGAAATTCACGACAGAATTGCTTTGTGCTGTGCCACCATCAGCTTAAAGAGGCTAACTTAGAAAATATTTCAGATTTCTTTGCCAGCACGACACGGCATGATTTTTTTACGTGTTGTGCCCCTCTGGCTCGTGGTGTCCCCATTGGTTAGCGGGAGATTGTCAACGGTCAATCAATCCATTTCCCATCCCATCCCATCCCATCCCATCCCTCCCGCCCTCAACTTTCACACAGCCATCACGGACTGTGCTAACCAAATGATTCACTTTACTACGGTTCTGTAAGTTGAATAGCATCTGTAACATTACTTCAAACGGTTGAATAGGGTTTGAATGGAAAATCTACCGCAAAGAAATCGTGCCGTGTCGTGCTTAGGGCGCGTGTCGTTTGGTGTAGATTGTCAAAGTTCGAGCCTAATACCGCTTTGTACCGTGGCGACACGTCTCTTAAACGTATCCTACCGTGTACAACCTTTCTAGAAGATCGAACTCGGCAAAAGTTCGACCTCAAGGACACGCGCCCTAAGCACAGCACCACCAACCTTCGCCTGCAAAGAGCCTTTCCCCTTGGTTCTGTTTGTGAAAAGCTGGCACTTCACTCTTGGAAGCTCTGCGATTCTGTTTCATAAGCGTCGCAGTCTCCCTTCCTGGGTCTCGGGTCGCTCCCTCCCAAGGTCCTCTGGGAACTGCTACGCACCATTGCCATATAGCTATCAAATGTGAGAAGCATTCAACCCTCCATTTTCGAACAATTTGACATAGAAGAACCAAGCCGTTGCCCTTCGTACGAAGTTCTGGTGCGTGGTTCTCAAGTCGTTAATTTTGGCATGAAGCAATGTGCGGGTGGCAACCAGAATTTCAGCGAAACCAATTTACATTTTTTTTTTGTCAGCCTATAACATCGTGGCTACAACTAGTTTAGAGAGGTCAATGCGAGTTAATTGCACCACATTGCGTCTCTCGTAGCTGATCAGCTTCTCTCGCGATTTTATTTTCATCGTCTCATTATCTCGTCTTCCACCCTAGCGCAATGTTTCCTTAATTCGCGTCAGCAGACTCAGATTGTACAACCCCTCCGAGGTTTGTTGTTATCGCTCAGCCAATGTTGTCCATTGAGAGTGCTAGCTTCAATCAATTCACGCCCATCGCATTTCCCTCCCTCTCTCCTACGCCAAGTGCATTCTCTCTAACATTTAATAACATATTCGTTTCCATCATCTATCCCACCCAACTCCCTCCCTCAGCCTTCCCCGTCCGAACGTGATCCGGACTTCAACGCGTGACAGGAGCGTCACAAAAAATACTATATTTTTTAATTAATAAAAAAACAGAATAACAATGTTTCTCCGCAAGAAGAGCTCGCTGACGTCCAACATCCTGGGCCGGCCGCCGGCGGACATCCGCGACAAGTTCCTGATGGGGAAGGAGCTGGGCAAGGGGCAGTTCGGCGTGACTTACCTGTGCACGGACAAGGTCACCGGCGAGCAGCTCGCGTGCAAGTCGCTCGCCAAGCGACGGATCGGGTCGAAAGAGGAGGTCGAAGATATCAGGTAAGGCGGACGCCTCATGAGGTCGAGGACATCAGGTAATGCTGACGTCTCATGAGGTCGAGGGCATCAGGGGGGTGAAATGTGCGCGTCGGATGCTGGACATTGAACGGCTGAGATTGCGTGTGGGGCATGGCATTGCATGTGGGGCATGCGGGGTAGGACATCCGCAACAAGTTCCTGATGGGGAAGGAGCTGGGCAAGGGGCAGTTCGGCGTGACGTACCTGTGCACGGACAAGGTCACCGGCGAGCAGCTCGCGTGCAAGTCGCTCGCCAAGCGACGTATCGGGTCCAAAGAGGGAGGATATCAGGTGGGTGAAATTTGCGCGTTGGATGTTGGACTTTGAACGGTTGAGATTGCGTGATGAAGGGCTTTGGGCGTTAAGTTGACGCCAGACAAGGTGAGAATAACGGGTGGGCTGACGTCCTATGAGGTGAGGAGAACGCGTGAGGGTGACGTCACAATAGGTGAGGATAGTGGGCGAGGTTGATGTGACATCTGGTCGAGGATGTCAAATGTGTATGTGTTGGTCGACATTTGCTGGATTAACATTTTTACGCGTGGTTTACTGCACGACAGGTTTCCCATGTCGAGGCGAGTGATGCGGTGTGTTGATCCTGGCATTGCATCCGTAACGGCATTGTCACACATTTCATTCTTCACATTGCATCGTCCTGCCATGCCCTCCCTGATTCCTCCCAGGAAGGAGATCGCCATCATGCACCATCTGGCTGGCCACCCCCACATCGTGCAGCTGAGGTCCCTGATCCCCCCTCCCCCCTTCTTTCCTTCCCTCTCCCTCCCTTTACCCCTGTTGCCTGTTCCCTCCCCTGTTCCTCCCTCCGTCCTCCCAGGAAGGAGATCGCCATCATGCATCACCTGGGCGGCCACCAACACATCGTGCAGCTGAGGGGGGCATTCGAGGACAAGCACAACGTGCACATCGTCATGGAGCTCTGCGCGGGCGGCGAACTCTTCGACCGCATCGCCGCCCGGGGCCACTACAGCGAGCGGGCGGCATCGTCCCTCTTCAAAACCATGATGGGGGTGGTAGACCACTGCCACCAGAATAATGTGATCCACCGGGACTTAAAGCCCGAGAATTTTCTGCTCGCGGATCGGAGGGAGGATGCGCCGCTGAAGGTGGCGGATTTCGGGCTGTCGTCGTTTTACAAGGAGGGGGAGGTGTTTACTGAGACGGTGGGGAGCGCGTTCTATGTGGCGCCCGAGGTGCTCAAGGGGAAGTATGACAAGGCGTGTGACGTGTGGAGCTGCGGAGTCATTCTCTACATCCTGCTCAGCGGCACCCCGCCCTTCTGGGGAGGTGAGCTGCGTTCCTGAGAGGCACCCGGCCCTGGGCCCCGTGTTATGTGATCTTGTATGTACATGCATTCCCAGTGAGGGGTATGTGCAGAAACGACAAAAGAGTGGGTTTTGATTGAGAGGTTTCAAGGAGGGGTAGCTGACAAGGAGGGGGAGGTGTTTACTGAGACGGTGGGGAGTGCGTTCTATGTGGCGCCCGAGGTGCTCAAGGGGAAGTATGACAAGGCGTGTGATGTGAGGAGCTGCGGGGTCATTCTCTACATCCTGCTCAGCGGCACCCCGCCCTTCTGGGAAGGTGAGTTCAAAATTTCTGAGAGGCATTCACTCTGGGGACCCCTTATACCTGTGTACAGTGTACTGTTTGCTCGCTCTGTCCCCCTCCCCTCATTCTCAGTCCCCCGTTTTCCTCCCCTCCTCCTCCCCCTTCTTTCCTCACCAGACATGGAGAAGCAGATCTTCCACCCCAGCCTTTGCAGCGGACCCCTTATCTCCCTGTGCTCACTGCTCGCTCTCTCTCTCCTCCCCACCCACCGTACCGTACCCCATGCCCATCCCATTCCTTTCCACCCCACCAGACACGGAGAAGCAGATCTTCCACCAGGTGCTCAAGGCGACCCCGGGTTTTGCAGCGGACCCCTCATCCCCTGTGCCGGCTGCCCTTTCCCTGCCTCTGCCTCCCACCCTCCCAACCCCCTTCTCCTCGCCCCCTCCTAAACCCCCCACCCCACCAGACATGGAGAAGCAGATCTTCCACCAGGTGCTCAAGGCGAGTCTGCACTTCGCAGCTGACCCCTCGTTTTCCTGTGCTGACTGCTCTTTCGATCCCTCCCTCGCCGCAACCCCGTCCCGTTCCCTCCCCTCCCACAACCCCTCCACCAGACACGGAGAAGCAGATCTTCCATCAGGTGCTCAAGGCGACCGCAGCAGACCACGCAGCGGACCCTTATCCCCCTCTGTTGACCCTAACGACCCCCCTGTCTCCTCGCACTCTGCTGCCTTCTGGCTTCTCCGATTCCCTCTCCACCCCACCAGACACGGAGAAGCAGATCTTCCACCAGGTGCTCAAGGCGACCCCGGACTACACAGCGGACCCCTGTTCCCCCGTGTTGACTGCTCTTTCCCTGCACCTCCCTCCCACCCCTGACATCCCCCCTCCTCCCCTCCTTTAACAACCTCCACCAGACACAGAGAAGCAGATCTTCCACCAGGTGCTCAAGGCCACCCGTTCCCCTGTGCTAGGGATGAGCAATGTGACGAACTCCTGTTCGGTTCGCCTCGAGGATTTTTTTTTGGCCTAAATTGTTCGGGGCGAACGTGTTCGGTGTTCGCCCGAACACGTTCGCCGTTCGCCCAACTCAGCTGGCCGAGGCGCGTCGAACACGAACGTGTTCGTGTTCGACACGGGCCTTCGACGAACACCAATGTGTTCGTCGACGAATAGGCCCGCGACCAATTTTTAGGTCGCGGGCCTTGGTGTTTAGGCTCAGATCTGGCATTTCGAAGTTAGTTAAGTACAGATCTAGCATTTCGCCGTTGCTTAAGTGCGGATCAAGGCATTTCGCCATTGCTTAAGTGCAGATCTAGCATTTCGCCGTTGCTTAAGTGCGGATCAAGGCATTCGCCGTTGCTTAAGAGCAGATCTAGCATTTCGCCGTTGCTTAAGAGCAGATATAGCATTTCGCCATTGCTTAAGAGCAGATCTAGCATTTCGCCGTTGCTTAAGAGCAGATATAGCATTTCGCCATTGCTTAAGTGCAGATCTAGCATTTCGCCGTTGCTCAAGTGCAGATCTAGCCTTTCGCCGTCACATGCTGGCACTAGCATGGATGAAGCAGGGCGGGACTGGCTTGGGGGGTGGGGGGAGGGAATGTGCAACGATTTGAATTTTACTCTATTTGGAGCTTACAGCCACCTAACAAATGTCAACAATGCACAATTCACAAACGTGTGAATGTAGTCCTGGGGCGAACACGAACGTGTTTGCCACGAACACGTTCGTGTTCGCCTGCGTCAACAAGGTGTTCGCCTCCACAGGCGAACGGCGAACACCCTTTTTTGGGAAAGTCGTTCGGCGAACCGAACAGTGTTCGGTTCGCCGAACGGCGGTGTTCGTGCAGGGGCGAACGCGAACACGTTCGTGTTCGCCTCTTACTCATCCCTACCCTGTGCTGACAGCTCTACTCCACTTCTTACCCCCCTCTCCCCCCCCCATATTCCACCCCACCAGACACGGAGAAGCAGATCTTCCACCAGGTGCTCAAGGCCACCCCGGACTTTGCAGCGGACCCCTGGCCGCAGGTGTCAGACTCCGCCAAGGACCTCGTCAAGCGCATGCTGCACCCCGACCCTGCTGTGCGCATCTCCTCCGCTGACGTGCTCCGTGAGTGGAGGAAAGGGAAGTGAAGGTTGGCATGTGGCTGAAGGAAGGGAGGCTTGGGCTGGGCTGGGATGGTAGGGCTGCAACGGACCCCTGGCCACAGGTGTCCCCCTCGTGAAGCGCATATTGCATCCCGGCCTTGCCCTGAGCATCTCCTCTGCTGACATGCTTCGTGAGTGGATGAGCTTTTGGTGCCAGAAGGTTGGTTTGTTCTGTAATGTACGGTATGGGCCTTGGCCTCTTTGGCCTTGATGAGAAGGAAGGAGGTGAGGGACCTCGTGAAGCGCATGCTGCACCCCAATCCTGCCCTGTGCATGTCCTCTGCTGACGTGAGTCAGCTTGCCAGAGGAGCGTTCCTGGGTTCAGGGTTTTGCGGGTGTATTTGAAGGGTTTCAGGGTGTTTGTGGTTGTGGAAGGGGTGCTGGGGACTGTGGAGGGCCAAGGACCTCTTTCGAGGCGCATGCTCCACTCCACCCCGACCCGACCCCGCCCTGCGCATCTAATGAGTCGTGTGATTTGAGTCGACTCAAAACACGACCTCGTGAAGCGCATGCTGCACCGTTGCCTGACCTCGAGCTCGCCGCCATGGATTTCTTCAGGGTCTTTAACCCAGCATTTCGTGAAGCCTACATGTCAGCTGGTCTTGTGAATCACAGCATTGTACTCGCGTTATCGCGACGAAGCGATTGGTACACTTATTATGTCCATCAGGCGGACATCGTAACTTTCGTTTCTCGGGATCTGCTGTTATGGTTTCAAGATTCATCCAGTATCAAGGCATCACATTCTGTTATCCTAAAGCTCATCCAGCGGGACTATCACAAGGCTAACACGCAGGTCCAGCTGTCAAAGGGAAGGAGGTGGAGATTGACGAGCAAGCTGAGGTTATTCACTCGGAAGGAAGCAGACCAGGCTTGTCCTTGGAAGAGAAACTGACTGCGCTTACCTTCGCGCGTGTTGAAGAGGATGAATTCACCGATGATGACTCAGATGACGAGCTTGAGTTTGACGACACGAAGGATCTCGTCGCCAAGCAGCGCTTCACGGCTATCCTGCTGCTCCCCTTCATTCTGCAACAGGAACTGGCCGCAGTCATTTTGACCGTGCGAATGTTGCTGAAGCGTGTTTGGTCTTCCTTACTCTCTGATGGAGCTAACACCCAAGTGGGATTTCAGGAGTTGCTCCCTGCTTATGTCGCGAAAACGAAGTATAGTCGTCTTCAAGTCTCGTTCCTGAAAGAGGAAGATGTGACGAATGTGTGTCAGGCATCATTGGAGTATCAGCGCGCTAATGGCCCAACGCTTAAGCTTCACTGGTTGCATGTTGAAGACGCGGCCTTCACCCGTACTAAAGCGACTACCCTGCGAGCTGTGGAGGTGGTTTTTAAAGGCGTACCTGCAAACATCACCCCTGAAGGGTTGGAGGAGATGCTAATGAAACACAGGTTGAAGATCCGCCAGGTTACGCCATTCCTGGAAGGACATTGCTTTCACAGGGTGTCGCACCCGGTTTCTGGAGCGGATACAGACATGATTAAAGGACTGGTGATACTACATCTGGAGGAGAAGAAGCGTCGCTGGATCCATCAGATCAACCATCCCCTGGAGCATGGCAAGAAGCTCCTAATCCACTACCCTGTGCTCTCCTGTCAGCTCTGTGGGGGATGGCATTATGACAAGTATCATGATGTCTTCATCACAGAGTGACAGAATAACATAGGGAAGTGGAGTTTGAGTTTGAGCCGTGTGCATAGGATCAACGGTAACGGAGCTGCAGTGCATTCGGCAGATGTTTGTCACTTACCTTCTCATACCATCACTAACCCTCTGGTCGTCTGTCGCAGCCGCATCCTTGCTTGCAACGCGCTTGATACGGCCGATTCTCTTGGACCCTGCGATTGTGCTTGTATCCACTGGAAGTGCCAGGGAAGAGTGGATCTGCACCCAGCTGGGTTGCGGGAAGGCTCATGGAAAGCTATTTGTTGCTGCAGCAGAACATGTCACCTCCGCTCGTCACCTCCATGGTCAGGAGCAACTGGGTGCTATCACTCGTGCGACCCTGGAGAAAGTGAACCTGCACGTGATACGCAAGGAGTACGGACTTTGACTGCTTTGTCCCAGCTTTCAGCAGCTGTAGCGGCTGGCTCGATGATGGTTGCCGTGATCTGTTTTACTTGCCTGTGGATGCGTAGAGGCAATCAAGCAGTGATCAAATGAATACACGGAATACTCTTTCGTTTGCGGGCGTGAATGTGAACGGCCTGGTGGATAACATGAAACGGAAACGCACAACGACATGGATTTCCAGCAGAAAAGGAGCTGATGTAGTGATCTTATCAGATACGCGTATAGCAACGGATGACCCCTACTGGTCCACCCTCGATCTTTCTTCATTTGCCGCCACCGCATATGTGAATAGGGCTGGAGGAGTTGCAGTTCTCAGCCGCCGAACAGATCTCTCTTTCCATAACCCATTAGCTCACCCTTCAGGACGGTTAGTCAAAGCCGACATCCACTGCTCCAACCTTCAACTTACCCTAATAGCAACTTATCTCCCTGCAGACAAAGCGGAAAAGAGAGCATTCATTAGGACTGTACTTGGACCAGTTCTAAGCCTTATCCCACCAGGCTCTCACCTGCTTGTCATAGGAGACCTCAACACCATCGAAAACCCACTGTTAGACAAGACATCTAGACATGGTTCAACTAAAGAGAATGACTTCCTTTACCATCACTGCAAAGGCTTTGACATCTCCGACGCCTTTCGCTCTCTCCACCCCTTTGAGCGGGAATTCACATTTTACTCACAAGCGCATCAGGAGAGCTCACGGATTGATCGAGCGCTGGTCTCTCAGTCCCTGCTCCCGCGCCTGGTGTCAGCCTCGCATGTTATGCCGGATGAACCAGTCTCGGACCATGGCTTTGCTATCCGAGTGGTCATCAAACTTAAATCGTAGCTGAAACTGGGGCCGGGGATTTGGCGACTCCATCCTTCGTTGCTTCACAGACCGGTGGCTAAGAAAAGAATCGAGGAGATTGATCGGTTGGTCACGCAGAACGGAGGTGGTTTCACCACCCTTATCTCCTGCTTGAATGCTAGTCTACGGACGTATGCAAGAGAGTAGAGTAAGAGGATAAGAGCAACCATCGCCCATCTCACCTCGGCGGTGGCTACCCTGAAGCAGGAGTCCATGTGTAATCCAAAGGACCAGATGTTGAGAGAGTTGCTCAGGAAGCGGGAGCAGCAGCTTAAAGAATATCATGCATGCCGGAGGGAGAGAATGCATACCATGGCTGGGGTTGAGATGGCGCTGACGGGTGAAGTCCCCTCACCGCATCTGTCAGTGAGAATTAAGACGCGGAAAACCAGAACTCAGATCGCGGAAGTAGCAGTGTCAGGCGGGGTGGTTTCTAAGCCGAAACAGATCTTGGAAGCGGCGCCTTGCTACTTCCGAAATCTTTTCGGGGAGGATAAACGGACGACGGTAGCGGATTGGGTCCAATCCTCGGGAAAGAAGCTGATGTACTCTGAGGCGGAGGACCTGCAAGGGGATTGGACAGAGAAAGAGGTCAGGCAAGCACTGCGGGAAATGGCAAGCAACAAAACGCCAGGGAAAGATCGTTTACCGAAGGAGGTTTTCGAGCTGCACTGGGACGTTCTTGGGAAGCACGTCATGGCGCTGGTGCGGGACTTCACCTCCTCCTCCTCACTCCCTACCAGCGTCAAGGACGCGGTGACGATTCTCCTGCATAAAAAAGGAGCGAAGGAGCAGTTGAAGAACTACCGTCCCATAACGTTGCTGAACATAAGCTACAAGGTGCTGGCGAGGGTCCTGGCTAGCAGAATCAAAAGGATACTTCACAGGGTGATCTCACGAGAGCAGTTTCGCTTCATCCCGGGAAGGAGAATGTAAGATGCGGTGGGGCTGGTCGCGGATGTCATCGATGCAGCTAAGAACGGGAAGGAAGACTGGTTCATGCTGCTCTTTGACTTCAAAAAAGCATTTGACTTGGTGTCGCGTGACTTCATCTTCGAGGTGTTGGAGAAAATGGGATTCCCGGCTCGTTACATCGGTTGGGCGAAAGGCCTGCACATGAACACACGAACAAACTTGCTGATCAACGGCTGGCTAGGGGAAGCGGTGGAGGTGGTCTCGGGGGTAAGGCAAGGCTGCCCTTTAGCGCCTTACCTTTTTCTCTGCGCGGTGGAGCCGTTGGCGCATAAGGTTGCAAAGCGGAAGCTAGGGATCACCCTTACCAGCTGCGTGGGTCAGAGGTTGGCTTATATTGGTTACGCGGATGACACGGCACTCCTGCTGCAAGGGAACAACAAATTGACAGGGCGGAGGAAGTCTTGGTGGAGTTCGAGAGCATCTCTGGGCTGGCGACAAGCAAGGAGAAATCGGTGGTGATGCCACTTGGCGTTAACTTGGGGAAGAAAACTTGGCGTTCGGATGGTTTCAGGTGGGCGGACGCGGATGAAGCGGAGAGACTCCTCGGGGTATGGATTACGCCAAGCGGGTGCTGCGAGCCGACGTGGGACAAAGCGTTGCAGAAGATGGCCGGGAAAATGACGCTGAGGCAGCCGCAGCACCTCCCTATCAAGGCTCGAGCGGTGGTGATGGACGGGTACATCCTGCCGATTGCATGGTCTCAGGCCCAAGTTTACCCACCTCCCGCGAAAACCTGGGGTGCGATCACGAAAATGACACACAATTTCATGTCAGCCAACAAAGTGACATCGGAGAAATGCTTTCATCTATGGAGCAAGGAGCTGTTTTTCACGCCGGTGCTCGAAGGAGGGGTGGGGGCGAGAGACCCGGAGGTGATGCTTACCTGTCTGACGGCCAGGAGAGTCGGGCTGATACTCACAGAGACGGAACAGCTGAAACAGCACCTGATGCGTCTAGCAGCAGATTTACCGTTGGGCCTGGATTCATTCCTATCACATGAGAAGCTGCTGAAAAACAGGGAGGGGAAAAGTCAGAGATGGAAACTCGCATGCGCAAACTTCATGCGCTACCCGTTGGCGGAGTCCACGGAAGGGCGCAAGGTGAAGGAGGTGTTGCTGGAAAGATTGGTGTTTAATAGACATATCCTCCTGAAGGGAACCACGCCGGTAGGAGGACAGAAAGCAGCGAAAAGGCTCTTCGATGTCAGGCTCGGGGACCTTATCGGAAGGGACGCGGAGGGGAGAGGTGTGTTGAAAGGCCTTGCAACCCTGGAACGAGAACTGTGGAAACGACTTTTGAGGCGCCTCAAAAGGTGTGTTGAAAGGCCTTGCAACCCTGGAACGAGAACTGCGGGGGAGAGACTCTGCAAAACTGGCGCTCAGGGCGTTTGCAGTGGCACCAGAATCATGGAGGAAGCAGATCCTCTCTGCCAAGCTTCCTCGCGTGGAGTTTGCAGAGGTGTTGGAGGTGAGAGAAAGGGGCCCCCAGCAGCTCCGGGCGAAACTTCTGGCGGAGGGGGAAGCGGTGCCGCTGAGGGCACTCAGAAAACACTGGAGGCATGGCAACAGCGGAAAGATCAAGCGGGAGAAGTGGGCGAGCAGGTGGGGTGGTAACATCGATTGGAAACAGGCGGTGCAAATCCGTGAATCACTAGTGGAATTCTTACCATCTTGACACGCTACGAAGTAACGGCTGAGAGAGGGGAGGACCTCCACTAATGGAGAAATTAGGCTAAGGGAAGAGAAAGGAAGAAACTGAGAGGGAGGGGGCTCTTCAGCTGTAGGGAGGTGAGTCAAGGGGACAGAGCAGGAAAGAGGGGAGTCGGGCGAGGCGTGGAGGACGAGGGAGACGAGGGAGGGGAGCTACGGGAGGCATGGGAGGGACAGAAGGCACGGCACTACAGGCTCGGGAGGCCCAGCTTGCACAGCCCGGACGAGGAAGACGGGCGGCTGCCGGCCGACAGAGGCCGCCCGGAGGAGGAAGAAGGGCGGGCGCGCGGGAGGAGTGGTTTTGCGTGTTGGTGCATGTGGGGCGGTAGGGAGGAGGGGACGGGGAGAGTGGGGGTGGAGGCAGGTCCTGCCTCTGTGTTCGGTGGAGTGGGAGTGTTGGTGGTCACGCCCTTGCTTCCTTTCTCCTCACCGGGTACTGCTGCTGCACCAGCACCGGAAGCAGCAGAGGCAGCAGCAGTGGTTGCAGCAGCAACAGTGGCAGCAGCAGCAGCAGCAGCAGCAGCAGCAGCAGCAGCAGCAGCAGCAGTGGTAGCAGGCGCGGGGGAAGCATGAGGAAGGGGCTTGACATCGGTACCTGCCGTGTCATTGGTACATGCAACGTCCTCATGACCAACATGTGCCCCAGGACTTCCACCCTCACTCGCCACCATCTCACCCCCATGCCCTGGGCTGCCACTGTTCATGCTGCTGTCGCAGCCCCCATCACCACCACCGTCACCTCTGGCTTGCTTATCACCCTTCTGGTCTCCACCGCCTCAACCTACAAGTTGGGGAGAGACTTGAATTTCTCAGCAGCAAGCCAGTCTGCCCCTACTGTAGCGGTTTTGAGACATTGGAGCACTGCCTTCTTGAGTGCCCGCGGACCCAGGGGTGGTTTCGGCGGTAAAAAAAGCCCTTCGCATGATCAACCCAGCCAGGCGTAATGAATCGCTTGGTGACTGGCTGTTCGGGAAGGCGGAATCCTTGTCAGCATTCCCGGAGGCATCACTGATTGCCATTGCCCTTCATCAGCTGTGGGCGGAACGGTGCGAGGGGGCCTTCAGGGGCTGTAAATTCCGCACAAGGAGGGTTTTGCGGAGGATTGAGTCGGCCTTTCGCATGCATGTGAATGTTTACATGCGGGCCTCGGTGACAAGGATGCAGCAGCGAGAAAAGCGTCAGCAGGCCAGGTGGCAAAAAATGACGGAACAAGAGCAGCGTCTTCTGAAACGCATCAGAGTGGTGGATGGCAAAAGTTGGAGGTGGGCCAACAGCTTTGCAACCATTTGGGCCAAGCCACGTAGGCCCTGGATCCATGTCTGAGGATCGTATATTTTGAGGCGGGTCTTCCCGTCTCTCATGCACAGTTACGACTGTTTATGCGTTGTACACTTGTGTCTCGGTGTATAATTCATATAAGCAAAAAAAAAAAAAACATGCTGCACCGTGACCCCGCCCTGCACATTCCAACGCGCCATACGATTTCCCCACCCCCATGTTCCCCTCCCCACCTGCCAAACCTCCCGTGGTTGTCCCATGAGAAGCAGTCCGACCAGCCACTGGGAGAGGCTATGCTGAAGCGAATAAAAAAGCTTCTATTCTGAGTCGACTAGAAATTTCCTTTCTACTTTCTCCCCTCCCCTCTCCCCTCGCCCCTCCCCCTTCCCTCCTCTCACCTGTCAGGCCACCCGTGGCTGTCCCACGAGAAGCAGTCCGACAAGCCGCTGAGAGAGGCAGTGCTGAAGCGAACCAAAAGAGCTTATGAGCCGAATCACCTCTCCCCCCCTTCTTCTCCCCTCTCCCCCCATCTCTTTCACCTATCAGGCCACCCGTGGCTGTCTCACGAGAAGCAGTCTGACAAGCCGCTGGGAGAGGCGGTGCTGAAGCGAATCAAAAACTTCTCTGCTGCGAACAAGATGAAGAAGCTGGCACTCAAGGTGAGAGAGAAGTGCGAGTATGAGAGTTGACTGACTGACACGGGAGGGGACCCGAAGCTCGCCCAGTCTTCAATGCTTACCTGAAGCTAGCTGCTTGGAGAGGCGGTGCTGAAGCGAATCAAAATCTTCTCTGCTGCCAACAAGATGAAGAAGCTGGCGCTCAAGAGAGAAGTGCGAGTATGAGGGTTGACTGGCAGGGGACCTGTGGCAAGCTGCTGGGAGAGGCGGTGCTGAGCGAATAAAAATTTTGGGGACGCTCCATTTCTTACCTTCGCTGCTTCTTCCCTCCTTATTCCCTCTGAACCCCTCCTTCCCCTCTTCTCCCTCCTGCCCCCGCTCTCCCCTTCTCGCCCCCCCATCCCCCCTCCTCTCTCCTTGCCCCTTTCCCCCTTCGTCCCTTCCAGGTGATTGCATGCAACCTGAGTCGGGAGGAGATCCTGGGGCTGAAGAAGCTGTTCAAGGGGATGGACAACTACGGCTCCTTTCGTCCTCTGACTACCCCCCTTTTCGCCCCCCCACCCCCCTCCTCTCCCCTTGCCCGTTTCTCCAATCCAGGTGATAGCATGCAACCTGAGCCGGGAGGAGATCCTGGGGCTGAAGAAGCTGTTCAAGGGGATGGACAAGTACGGCTCCTTTCGTCCTCTGACTACCCCCCTTCTCGCCCCCCCCACCCCCCTCCTCTCCCCTTGCCCCCTTCACCGTTTCTCCAATCCAGGTGATAGCATGCAACCTGAGCCGCGAGGAGATCCTGGGGCTGAAGAAGCTCTTCAAGGGGATGGACAAGGACGGCTTCCTTCCTCCTCTGACTGGCCTCCCCTTTCCCCACCATCCTGTCTTCTCTTACAGGTGATAGCGTGCAACCTGAGCCGGGAGGAGATCCTGGGGCTGAAGAAGCTGTTCAAGGGGATGGACAAGGACGGCAGCGGCAGCATCACGTTTGCTGAGCTCAAGACTGGCATGCAGAAGCTGGGTAACCCCATGTCGGAGGAGCAGCTGCAACAGATCATGGAAGCGGTAAGCAAGTGCATGAGTTGAAGCTGCTGTTTGATGGTATTGTGAGGTAGTATATTGTACAAGCTGGGCAACCCCATGTCGGAGGAGCAGCTACAGCAGATCATGGAAGCGGTGAGAATGGGCGACGGGATGGTGGGATGAGGTACAAGGGCAGTAAGAATGGGGCATGCAGAAGCTGGGCAACCCCATGTCGGAGGAGCAGCTTCAGCAGATCATGGAGGCGGTAAGAGAAGGTGGATGGTATGGCAAGAGAGAGAGACTGAGAAAAAAAGCGGAGATGGAAGGGTGATGCTGAGGTGTGGGTCTGCTAGGAGCAGCAAGAGCCTAGGTGGGCATGCAGAAGCTGGGTAACCCCATGTCGGAGGAGCAGCTGCAGCAGATCATGGAGGCGGTGAAAGTGAAGGGATGGGATGGGTGGTTCATGCATTGAAAAGTGTGGAAGTTTGTCAACTCCACGTTACTCCCTCCCTCCCAACCCACCCAGGCGGACATGGACCACAGTGGCACGATCGACTACACGGAGTTCATCACAGCAACGATGCAGATGAACAAGGTGGAGAAGGAGGAGCACATCTGGAAGGCCTTCCAGCACTTCGACCGTGATGGCAGCGGGTGAGCTGAGGATGAGGTGAGGTGAGATAAGATGAGAGGCACTTTGACCGCGACGGCAGCAGGTGAGATGCGATGAGATGAGAGGCACTTGGACAGACAGGGACTACAGTGGGTGAGTGGGACGAGAAGGGAGGCACTTGGACAGGCGATGCAAATGAACAAGGTGGAGAAGGAGGAGCACATCTGGAAGGCCTTCCAGAACTTGGATTACGACGGCAGCGGGTGAGCTGAGACGAGAGATCTATACAACTCTCAACACTTCGACTGCAACCACAGCGGGTTTCACGAGAGAAGATGAGAGGAGACTTGTATTGCGTTTCAATGGCACCTCCAGTGTTAGTTTATCACGGTGAGCGAGCTGAGGGACGCCCTGCCCTGGTGAGCGAACTGCTCCAAGTTGCATATTATTACCTGGGGTGGTTCCCCTGTGTCACCCCACAAATACCCCCCCCCACACATGGCAGGTTCATCACGGTGAGCGAGCTGAGGGACGCCCTGGCGAATGAGGACATGCTGGAGGTGGGCGAGCTGGAGCAGATCATTGAAGAGGTGGACACGGATAAGGTGCGTTGGTGGAGTGATGGAAGGGTGTGGTGCATGGGGTGTTGAAGAATGGTGGGAAGAGAGACTGTGAAGGGGCCACTGATGTGAGGGAGATGGGCGAATGAGGACATGCTGGAGGTGGGCGAGCTGTAGCAGAACATTGAAGAGGTGGCCACGGATAAGGTGCGTTGGTGGAGTGATGGAAGGGTGTGGTGCATGGGGTGTTGAAGAATGGTGGGAAGAGAGACTGTGAAGGGGCCACTGATGTGAGGGAGATGGGCGAATGAGGACATGCTGGAGGTGGGCGAGCTGTAGCAGATCATTGAAGAGGTGGACACGGATAAGGTGCGTTGGTGGAGTGATGGAAGGGTGTGGTGCATGGGGTGTTGAAGAATGGTGGGAAGAGAGACTGTGAAGGGGCCACTGATGTGAGGGAGATGGGCGAATGAGGACATGCTGGAGGTGGGCGAGCTGTAGCAGATTTTTGAGGAGGTGGACACGGATAAGGTGCGTTGCTGAGGTGATGAAAGGACATGGATAAAGGTGAGGGGGGTGATGAAAAGGTGGGAGGAGAGACTGTGAAAGGCCACTGAGGTGGGGGGAGGGGAGCTGGGGAATGAGGGCTGGAGCAGATTACCGAGGAGTTGCAGATGGATAAGGTGAGTTGTTGGGGTGATGAAAGGACACGGATAAGGGGTGTGGGGTGTTAGACGGAGAGTGGGAAGAGGGGGATGTGTATGTGGGGTTGGGTCGAATGAGGAGATGCTGGATCCGGGCGAGCTAGACCAGATCATTGAGGAGGTGGACGGATAAGGTGGGTGATTGGGTTGATAATAAAGATTACTTTCGAGACGCCTTGAAAGTGGGCACAGGGTTGAGACAAAGAGGATGAGCGAAAGTTTGATGCTGCGGAACACTTGGCCATGTTAGAGGGAAATTGTGATGTGTTTGAGAATGATTTGCTCATCAGCCATGATGAGGTGTAAAGTCAGAAGCACGAGCTGTTACCAACATCCAACTCTTCTCTCATGCTCATGTGCTTGCGCACACTGCACACCCTTTTCTTCGCCTTTGTGTGCCCGTTCAGAGTGGCACGATTGACTATGAGGAGTTTGCAGCCATGATGAGGAAGCAAGACCAGGATGTAGCCGGCGCGCAGAAGCAGAGGCGGACCCGTAGCATTGGTGCTGACTACTACTGATTCCGAGAAGTGCCAGATCCGATAGAAGAGTCAAATCTGATCTCTTGATGTGCTACAATTCAGAAGCAGAGGAGGACCCCACTGCATTTAGCTCGCAAGAAATCCAAATTTTTGTACGACTAGTGCAAGATGCAATTGCACTTTGCTCTTGGGTGCTTCTAGGACTCAAGTGCATGTGTACAAATTGTGGCACTTAGATATTGATATTGAGGTTATGCCTTGCGAGTGACAGGCCCAACAACAAAATTTCCGTTGCCGGGACTTGAACCCGGGTCTCTCGGGTGAGAGCCGAGTATCCTAACCGACTAGACTACAACGGATGTCCTCAATGTCAGTGCTAGTAAATGTATTTTCGTAGAACTTTACTACGTACTTATTAGCTGGTTCACTGTAGCCTTGTCGTCGGGATGTCGCGATGGCTCATAAGCGTCAAGAAGCAGTCGTTGCGGCGAGCTAGAAGGCTCCTAGTCTCCGCGGACAAGCTAGGTAGGCGTGTGCGAAACCTAAAGCTCATCTGGAAGTTCGGAGCGGTCTGCGTCGTCATTCTCCTTTTCCAAGGGATCGCAGGCCCTCGGGAACCATACGGGGATTCTGGACCGATCGTTAGCTCACACTTCTTCGCAGAATCGGACGGTCGGGGTAGGGATGATTATGGGAGAGAGTTTGGGCGGCAGGCGAGGGAACAGACGACCTGGAGTTTTTACTCGAATGCGAGAAGTGGGAGATACAATAACGAAAATGCGGTATATGCGGATGCAGCGGGAAGGCATAAGTTTCAGGAAAAGCAGCGGCTGCAGCAGCAGTTTAGCAACCAGGCGGATACAATAACAAGATACGCCTCTACGGCGGCGCAGCATTCCAAGCAGCAGATAGAGTCACACCCCGGTATTGTCACACGTCTGGCGACTTTAATATGGCGTTCCGTGTTCAGACCGGCACCCCCTCCTGTCGACCAGGCCCCTTATTGCCACATTCACAGATTACAGAGCCAAAACGGCACGGAAACCAGCAGCACGACCAGTACCAGCAGCAGCAGCGACGGCAGCAGCAGGAATGCAAATGGTTCTGACTCGGAGGGTAGCGGGAATAGAGGGGAGGATGAGGAGGAGACGGAGGGGATGGAAGAGTCAGAGGGGACTGCAGAAGCAGACAGGGAGAGAAAGAAGCTTCAGGAGTTAAACAGAAAACGCGAAGCGGCCCTTCTCAGTCGCGATCCGTCCACCCTTCGCTACGCTTACGTCACGCTCCTCTGCGATGACGTCATGGCGCCGGGAGCCCTGGTGCTGGTGCACTCGCTGAAGCGCACGCGCACGCCGCACGACGTGGTGGTGCTGACGATGAACGTGAGTGACGGCACGGCGGCGCGGCTGCAGCTGCTGGGAGCGAGGGTGAAGCAGATCGAGGAGGCGATTCCTTATCCCTTTCCAGCCACTCCGAACCGAGTCGCCATCAACAAACCGTGCAGGTGGGTGGAGTGGGACGGCGTTTTTTGGTAGATATTGGGTAGTGGGATGGTTTCCCCTTGCAGCCCATCACGCACGGGCACACCGCACGACGTGGTGGTGCTGGCGATGAACGTGAGTGACGGCACGGCGGCGCGGCTGCAGCTGCTGGGAGCGAGGGTGAAGCAGATCGAAGAGGCGATTCCGTACCTGTTTCCTGCGACGCCGAATAGAGTCGCCATCAATAAGCCATGCAGGTGGGTGGGGTGGAAAAATGTGGTGGTGCTTACGATGACCGTGAGTTCAAGTGGGTGGGAGAGGCGTTGTGCTTACAATGAATGTGAGTGAAGCGCACGCGCACGGCGCACGACGTGGTGGTGCTGACGATGAATGTGAGTGAGGGCACGACGGCGCGGCTGCAGCTGCTGGGAGCGAGGGTGAAGCAGATCGAGGAGGCGATCCCGTATCCCTTCCCTGCCGCGCCGAATAGGGTCGCCATCAACAAGCCGTGCAGGTGGGTGGGGTGCAGTGCAGGTGGGTTTTGAGTCGTCTCAAAAGTCATCGAGGCTGCAGCTGCCGGGAGCGAGGGTGAAGCAGATCAAAGACGCCATTTCGTACCCGTTTCCGGCCACTCCGAATAGGGCCGCCATCAGCAAGCCGTGCAAGTCGGTGGGGAGGCGTTTTTTGGTAGTTAGTAAATATCGCCTGGTCTGCGTTGATGCCGACCTGCTCGTGCCAAGCAGTCTGGACGAGCTCTGTGCTGCATCCCCCCACTGCTCTCTCCCCTTTCGCCTCCTCCCCTCCCCTTGCTCCCCATCAGGAACTCCAAGCTGTGGATGTGGACTCTCACGAAGTACCATCGCCTCGTGTATGTATGTAGTGTAACCTATGCTTGGAACAAGCCGAGGCTTGGAACAGTCTAAGCAGGCTCCTTCCTTTCTCCATCCCTGTCAACACCCATTCGTGCATGCCCCCCACCCGCCACTCCCTCCCCATCAGGTATTCCAAGCTGTGGACGTGGACGCTCACAGAGTACCATCGCTTAGTGATGGCCAGCTGACTGCCCCCCCCCCCCCCCCCCCCCCCCCCTTTCCTCCCACCCCCCTCCCATCAGGTATTCCAAGCTGTGGATGTGGACGCTCACAGAGTACCATCGCTTAGTCTACGTCGATGCAGACCTTCTTGTAATGAGCAGCCTCGACGACCTCTTCTGCCGTGACGAGATGACTGCTGCGTTGCCTCACTTGTCATCCTTCTCTTCCCCCTCTTCCCCCACCCTCCCCCATCCTCATCAGGTATTCCAAGCTGTGGATGTGGACGCTCACAGAGTACCACCGCTTGGTGATGGCCAGCTGACTGCCCCCCCCTCTCCCTTTCCCCCCACCCCACTCCCCTCCACCCCCATCACCATCAGGTACTCCAAGCTGTGGATGTGGACTCTCACAGAGTACCATCGCCTGGTCTACGTCGATGCCGACCTGCTCGTGCTGAGCAGCCTCGACGAGCTCTTCTGCCACCACGAGAGCTCTGCTGCATACCCCCACCCACCCCATCTCTCGCTCCCCCCTCTTCCCCTCCCTTCCCCCATCCCATCAGGTACTCAAAGCTATGGATGTGGACGCTAACGGAGTACCACCGCCTCGTGTATGTGGATGCCGACCTCCTTGTGCTCAGCAGCCTCGACGAGCTTTTTTGCCGTGATGAGCTGACTGCTGCGCCGGACACCATCCCTCCTGACCGCTTCAACAGTGGACTCATGGTGGTGGCGCCTAGTGACGACACGTTTAGGGATATGCTTAGCAAGGTGGGTGGTGGTGAGGAAAGGAAAGGTGAGCAGTAGTTCAAGGGAGGAAAGGGATTGGGGGTTATAAGAAATAACTCTTTCTCTGCTGCACCGGACACCATCCCCCCTGACCTCTTCAACAGTGGGCTCATGGTGGTGGCGCCTAGTGACGACAAGTTTAGGGATATGCTGAGTAAGGTGGGTGGTGGTGAGGAAAGGAAAGGTGAGCAGCCGTTGGGCAGTGGGTGAAGGGAAGGGATGAGAGAAGAAGAGCTGACTGCTGCACCGGACACCATCCCTCCTGACCGCTTCAACAGCGGCTTGATGGTCGTGGCGCCTAGTGACGACACGTTTAGGGACATGCTGAGTAAGGTGAGCAGTAGGTGGGGGGAGGAAGGGGATAGGGGAGGAGTGTTAGTGGTGAGCCCTCTGTGCCTGACGATATTCCCACACCCACTGACCGCTTCAACGATGGGCATAACCTGCCCTACACCCTCAGATACAAACAAGGCTGTCAGAACCTCCGATTCAGTACCCCACTCACTTCAACCGTCCCCTCTCTCTTTCCTCACTTCCCTCCCAGGTCGCCACAACCAAGTCACCCAACGTGGGCGATCAGGGCTTTCTCAACAACTATTTCTCCTACTGGTGGTACCTGCAAGGCCCCTCACACCACCTGCCCTACGCCTTCAACCCATGTGTTCGCCCCAGCCCATTCTCTGGCCCTGCTGCCCCCTCTCCTGCTCCTTGTTCTCTCTCCCTCTCCTGCTCCTTCTTCTCTCTCCCTCTCCTGCTCCTTCTTCTCTCTCCCTCTCAGGTTGCCACCACCAAGTCACCCAACGTGGGAGATCAGGGCTTTCTGAACAACTACTTTTCCGACTGGCACTCCCAAGGCCCCTCCCACCACCTGCCCTACCTACGCCTTCAACCCGCTCGTGCACCTCAGCGGGTGGGAGGGGTGGGATAAGTTTGTGCAGCCACAGCTGAGGGTGCTGCTAAGGGTGCTTCATTTCGCTCACTTTTCCCTGTTTCCCACCCCCTCCCCTCCTCCTTCCCCCTCTCCCCTCCCTACTTCCCCTCCTATTCAGGTCGCCACCACAAAATCACCCAACGTGGGCGACCAGGGCTTTCTGAACAACTACTTTTCTGACTGGTATTCCCAAGGCCCCTCCCACCACCTGCCCTACGCCTTCAACCCACTCGTGCGCCTCAGCGGGTGGGAGGGGTGGGATAAGTTTGTGCAGCCACAGCTGAGGGTGCTGCACTTCTCGGGGAGCACCAAGCCTTGGAACACCATGGAGGACAAGCAGGCAGGTGACTATAACGGGAGGGAGTGTAAGAATTTATTATAAGGTCGTGTCCTGCAGTGCATCAAAACGTGTAAGGGAGTGGCTGGGTTGGGTTGAGTGGGAAGGAGGAATGGGTAGGATGGGAAGGGTGGGAGCGGTTTGTGCAGCCACAGCTGAGGGTGCTGCACTTCTCGGGGAGCACCAAGCCTTGGAACACCATGGAGGACAAGCAGGCAGGTGACTATAACGGGAGGGAGTGTAAGAATTTATTATAAGGTCGTGTCCTGCAGTGCATCAAAACGTGTAAGGGAGTGGCTGGGTTGGGTTGAGTGGGAAGGAGGAATGGGTAGGATGGGAAGGGTGGGAGCGGTTTGTGCAGCCACAGCTGAGGGTGTTGCACTTCTCGGGGAGCACCAAGCCTTGAAAAACCATGGAGGACAAGCAGGCAGGTGACTATAACGGGAGGGAGTGGTTCAAACAAAGTGGTCAAACGGAGGTGACAGTTCTGCGGGGCAAATTTTTTTTTTTTCGGTGGGGAATTTGAAAAAAAAAGCAGCGGATGTGCTGGCTCGCTGCAAACACTGTCACCCCTCTTCTCCGCATTGAATCCCACTCCACCCCTCTATCTCGCCCCATTTCCCCACTATTCGCAGCTTGGACCACATCTGGCTCGCTGCTCACAACAAGATGCTGAAGGCCCTTGTACAGGCCGTTGCCACTCCTCTCCACCGCACTCATTCGCTCTCCACCGCATTCAATTTCTCTCCACTGCATTTAATCCTTCTTGCCCCAGTTCCCCACCACTCGCAGCCTGGATCACATCTGGCTCGCTGCTCACAGCGACATGCTGAAGGCCCTTGCACTGGCCATGGCTACTTCTAAGGCAGCTGGGAAGAGTGGTGGCAGCAGCACTGGCGCAAGGGAGCTGTCTGGTGGGGATGCAGCAGCAGGGGAAGGGGATGGTGGAGTTGAGACCCTCGGGGCGAGCGGTGAATATGCCCCTCTTTCTTCCATCTGCCAAGAGGAGGGGGCGACCACCAATGGCAGGTGCGCATTTCACATGATGCTACAAGTGTCTGGTTTTCAGGCGCCTCAAAACTAGAGAGCGTTGGGGCGAGCGGTGAATATGCCCGTCTTTCTTCCATTTGCCAAGAGGAAAGACCGACAAGTGTCAGTCGATTCTTTGGAGTTGCTTCAACTTTCTCTTTCTCTTTGGAGGTGCTGGCCAGCCAGTGATGAATCGTCTCGAGGTTTCTGTTTCTGCTTGTGTAGTTAAGGTGTGCTCATGTGTGCGTACATGTGGTTTTGAGACGTCTCAAACTAGTTAAGGTGTGCTCATGTGTGCGTACATGTGCATTTATGCGTACATGTGCATTTATGCGTACATGTGCATTTATGCGTACATGTGCATTTATGCGTACATGTGCATTTATGCGCGTACATGTGCATTTATGCGTACATGTGCATTTATGCGTACATGTGCATCATTCCATCCTTCCGTCCGAGCATTCATCCATCTATCCTGCTGCTTCTTTAGCTCTTTCATACACACGTGTTTATCTATTCCCACCCCTGCAGTGTGCGCTACGATGGGCTCACTGTGGTGCTCACAGCAACAGGCAGCACACGGCAGACCATCCAAGCCATACGCCACTACGCCTCAGCGCCTGTTGTTCGAGACATTTTCGTCCTTCTGTCCAATGACAGCCCGCTTGCCGCAAGCAGAGACAGCAGCACGTTTCCTCTGGTGCAAGGAGACAGGCCCGTCGTTCTTCTCCCTCTCCGCAACCCACCAGCAACTGCTCGCTTCAGACCCGTTCTGTATGTTTCGATTCTGAAAAGTTTCCACATGTTTCTCACCTCCATCTTGATTCTTTCTCCCCGTCCACCGCTTTCCTTGTCTCCTCTTGTGCCCTCTACCCGTTTCCCCCATCAAACCTCTTTCCAGTGCTGCAGTCTTAGTAACCGACGACACCTTGCTGCTGCCGCCTCCTCCGTCCTCTCTACTCTTTTTCCTCAACCTGATGCCTCTTTCCTTTTCCTTCTCCCATCAGGTCACTCACCACTGCTGCTGTCTTGGTAATTGAAGACACCATGCTGGTGCCCCCTGCTCTCCTCACCACATCCCTCCTGCGATGGCGGGAAACCCCCAACCGCCTCCTCGGTTTCCTCCCCTCCGCCCACTTCCGCCTCTCCAAGGGAGTCCTCAAAGGGAGACTGGCCGTGCATGTTACCCTATGTCTCATTCTCATGCTGCCCTCTTCTCCTCGTCCACCCTTTCACTTCTCCCACCAGCTCCCTCACCACAGCGGCAGTCCTATTAATCGACGATACCATGCTGTTACCCTCTCCTCTCCTCGCCACGGCCCTGCTCCGCTGGAGGGAAGCACCCAACCGCCTCCTCGGCTTCCTCCCCTCCGCCCACTTCCGCCTCTCCAAGGGCGTTCTCAAAGGGCGACTGGCTGTGCACTGCACGCTTCCTTGGGACCGGGAGGGGACTACTCGGCTTTTGAGGCGCCTCAAAAGCTTTTGAGGCGCCTCAAAAGGCGTTCTGAAAGGGAGACTGGCTGTGCACTGCACACTTCCCTGGGACCGGGAGGGGACTACTCGGTGGTTACTAGTCGTGCGTGGATGGATGCTACCCTGGTCCGGGAGGGGATTGTTATCCCTTATTTTCCCATGCACCCTTCTCCTTTCTTCCCCTGTTTCGCGGTGCCCTTTCCCTCACCAGCTCCCTGACCACTGCTGCAGTCCTGGTTATTGAAGATACCATGCTAGTCCCCCATACTCTCCTCGCCACATCCCTCCTGCGATGGCTGGAAGCCCCCAACCGCCTGCTCGGCTTCCTCCCGTCCGCCCACTTCCGCCTCTCCAAGGGCGTCCTCAAAGGGCGACTGGCCGTGCACGCTTCCCTGGGACCAGGAGGGGACTACTCAGTGGTTACTGGTGCGCTGCTGCTGCATAGAAATTACATGCACTATTTTAGCTGCACTATGAGAGAAGAGGCGAGGAGGTATTTGGAGGGGGGGAGCGAGGGAGACGGTGGGGGAGAGGGTGGGGGAGAGGGTGCAGGAGGGAGTGAGGGAGGGAGTGGGGGAGGGAGTGAAGGCGGTCTGTCCAATCCGGCGGCGAGGGCGTGTGCTGATGTGGCAATGAACATGTTGGTGACTCATCTGTCTGACCTGTCACCGCTGACTGTATACGATGCAACACAGGAGGTCCAAGGCCCCTTCCCGTTGCCGCCTGCTCCTGCCATGTGAGTGAGGCGTGTGAGTGGGGCATGTGAGTGGGGCATGTGAGTGGGGCATGTGAGTGGGGCATGTGAGTGGGGCATGTGAGTGGGGCATGCGAGTGGGGCATGTGAGTGTGACATGTGAATGTGACATGTGAATGTGACATGTGAGTGTGATATGTTGACATGCCAATTTCAGTCCGCCATGCCCATTTGTGCTCTAAAGCGTGCGCCCTTGGCTGTTCGATTCAAACCAATTTTTGCCGTTTATGGTGTTGGCTGTATTCAGCTGTTTGCTCTGCGTTGCAGGATTTTTTGAAAATTCTCAGAAAAAACTCTGCTCGGCGCCTCTGCGGGATATGACTTTTGAGGCGCCTCAAAAGGAGACATTCTCAGAAAAAACTCTGCGCCTCTGCGCTGTTTGGTTCGCATCGCACGACTCAAGTACCTGAGAGTGCCGATTGCTATTCTGGTCATTAAGCCAATTAATGCTCTGTGCGCCTTCTCCACACAACCAACGCATTTGTATCACCATTCAAACGAACTTCCCCTCCCCCCCCCACCCCCTCTTTCCCCCCCCTTTTCTTCCGCCCACCGTCCACCCTACACCACAGGGGGAGGTGTTTCAATGATCTTGCCACCCACATGGGCATCAAGACTTTTAATTCGACTAAAAAGTAAACTCGGTTTATTGTCACTCCCGTCCCACCCCCCCACCGTCCACCCTACACCACAGGGGGAGGTGTCTCAACGACCTTGCCACCCACATGGGTCTCATGCCTCTTAAGAGCACAATCGATGCAGTCACAGTCATGCACAAGGATTCATACATATACGTGAGTGAGTCCTGATTTATACTCATGTGAGTGAAGAAGTGTTTTGAGACGTCTCAAAACACTTCTTCACTCATGCATGTACTTCTCCTTAGTGTCTTCTAAATCTTTCTTGCGTCCTTCCAAGTAAGATACCATTTCCCATGTCCCTCTAAATCCTCTTTTGTTTCCCCCCATCCCAAACGCCTCCTTCCCTCCCATCCACTCTCTCCACCCTCGCCGTGCACCCTTTCCTCCGTTTCCCTTCCAAGCAGGAGCCCAAGGTTCGTGTGCCCCCGGCTCCTCCTTTCCCATGCTTATTTTCAAGAAAAAACTAAGTTCTGTATCTGTCTCACTCCATCGTGGTTTCCCCCATTCCCAACATTTGCCTCCCATCCATTCTCCTCCACCTCCCTCCCTCCACCCTTTCCTCCGTTTCCTTCCAAGCAGGAGCCAAAGTTTCGTGTGCCCCCGGCGCCCCTCCTCTTCTCCCCCATACTCAACGCCTCCCTCCCAACCACCCTCCTCCACCTCATCCCCCGCCGCTACCGCCGCTTCCTCCCTTCCTTGGGGGACAGTGACCCGCGTGTGCTATCAGTTCCGGGAGATGCTGCTCCCAAGCACGCCGTGTGCCTGCGGGTGAGTCGTCTACGCCACCTGCAATCCGACCGGCCTAGAACAGGTTAAATTGCCATGCCCAACCTAGACCGAGACTTCTTTCCTCCCTTCTTTGAATAGCACCCACACGCGCGTGTGCTATCTGTTCCGGGAGATGCTGCTCCCAAGCATGCCTTATGCCTGCGGGTGAGTCTTTGAAACCACCCGCTCGTGTTTTCTGTTACCAGTGCCGACCATTCTCAGTGCACTCGCACACGCACATGCATGCACTCTTACCTGCGTGCATACACACACATCCCAGGTCTTCCTCGTCCTGCCCTGCTCATCCTTTCACAGGTTGCTGAGGAGTCTGAAGCAGCAGTGGAGCTCTCTCTTTCCGAAGCCATTTCCTCCCCCGTCACCGCACTCCACCTCTCCGGAACCACTGTGTTCGCCTCTACACCCTCCACCACCACCATCACAAGCCCACCCAACAGCAGCACAGGGAAAGAGGATATCGCTAATATGCACAAGGGGATGGATGGAGATGGAGGTATAGGGGCGCTGCTAGGGTTTGAAGATCCGTTTGCAGTGTTCCATCTGGCAGCGAGATTAGCTGCATGGAGGAGGTCAGAAGGGTGCTTTGCTCCCTCCCGCCTCCTGCTCTTCCACGGCGGCCGACTGCAACCAGCAGTGAGTGGGAGGTGGAGGTTTTCCCTCTAGTCTTCAGATGTAATCCTTTTAGCTCCGCTGATGGTTGGGTTCCATAACGACAAGACTGGCTGCATGGAGGAGGTCTGAAGGGTGCTTTGCTCCCTCCCGCCTCCTGCTCTTCCACAACGGCCGACTGCAGCCAACAGTGAGTGGTCATGCGCCGTTGGAAATTCTCAGAAGCGGCTCCTCCTGTCTTTCGTTTCCTGGATAAGCATTGCTTATCCACCCTCGTGTAGTGAGTCGATTTTTGAGTCGACTCAAAAATCGACGCATTGCTTATCCACCCTTGACCACCCTCCCCTCCTCCCTCCTGCTCCTGTTCAACCCCCTAGCCGCAGCTGTGCCACTTCTCCCAGTGGGCATCGCTGCTGCTCCAGGCCACCCTTGGAAACACCGCTTGTCCCCCTGTGCTCCCTATCTCCCTCTTCCCCTTCCGCCTCTCCCCCCTGCTCTCAATTCCCAGCTGCCCCACGCCTCCCCATGGGCATCGCTTCTGCTCAAGGCCACCCTCGGAGACGCCGCCTTTCCCCCTTCCCTCCCAATCGCCCTCTTCCCCCATCCGCCCCTCCCCCATGTTCCCCTTCTCCCAGCTGCCCCGCGTCTCCCCATGGGCATCGCTTCTGCTCAAGGCCACCCTCGGAGACGCCGCCTTTCCCCCCTTTGCTCCGCCCACCACCACCACCGCGACTGCCACTGCCACCAGCACTGCAGCCGATGCCTCTTCTGCTGACACCAGTTCTTCCATGGTGTGCTTTGATCGCGTGGTGCTGCTGCGAGACCCTGTTCTGCCTGCTGCTGGCGATGATGCAGAGCGGGCTACAGCTGCTGCCAAACCAAAGGGGCAGCGGGGCGGCAGTGCTGATGGTGGTGGGGGCAGCAGTGGCAACGGGGATGGCCAGATAGGATCCGGCTGTGACTGCCGTGCTGCCATCGTCCGCTCTGCCCTGCGCCATACATGCCGGTGTGTGCATCTCTGCCATTAACCATCGATTGCTGGTAGAAATATGAATTCTGAGGAGCCTTAAAAGATTCAGCTGTGACAGCCGTGCTGCCATCCATCATCCACTCTGCCCTGCGCCATACATGCCGGTGTGTGCATCTGGTACCCATGTCTTCGGAGATCTCTCAACAGTGATACAACCATACATACACGCGAATATGTGAATCCGCCACCTATAGTTTCTGAGAGCTCTTAAAAGTGATACAGCCATACATACATGCCGTACGTGCGACTCAATAGCCACCTTGATACAGCCGTACATGCGGATACGTGTATCTGTCATTCATCAATTGCTGGTAGGGAGTAGAATTTTGATGTGCTTTTGAAGATCGGGCTGTGACACCCGTGTTGTGCATCATCCATCCGTCCCCCCTCTGCCTCCACCCTCCCTTTACTCCCCCCCATCCGTTGTTGCAGTTGTCTATCCCCATCCCCCCAGCTGCACTTCTTTGGCCTTTCTCGTGTGAACCTGCTTTTAAACTTACCCCCCTCCTTCACCCTGCTCCCTCTCCTTCCCACCCCCTCCTTCACTCCCCTCCCTCTCCTTCCCACCCCCTCCTTCAATCCCCTCCCTCTCCTTCCCACCCCCCTCCTTCACTCCCCTCTCAGTCTCCAGCCACCCGTTCGCTCCTCTCTTGTCATCCTCATCGCGGGTTCAGACGCCGCATGGAGACAACACATGCCGCCCCCCTTGCACCCCGCCAACCTGACTGCCGCCCTGCACAAGGAGTGCACCCGTGCACGTCTGCCCTGTGAGGTGTTGCGAGCACAAGAGGACAAAGACCCATGCACTGATCAGGTCAGTGGTTTAACACAGCTCACATACCACTGCAGGCACATTTCACGCAACCCAAGGCGGCCATTTCCTGTGAAATGGTGCGAGCACAGGGGGACAGTGACTCGTGCACCATTAAAATTAAGTGTTTTAACATCAACCACACAAATTTCTGACTTTGGAGTCAACGCAAAAATGGAAACCCATGCATGGAATAGGTTAGTCCCTTAACACCTATCTCTCCATCACACTCCCATCAACTTTTGTCTGTGCCCGTGTCCAGAGCCTCAACGCTGCTCACATACCACGGCATGACCCCATCCTTTCCAGAGCCTACAATCATGAAACCACTCACTGTTGTTAGTCTGTTACGTTTCCCGTGCTCCTTTTTCCTCGTCTTTCATTTTTCCTTGCTTCATTTCTGCTCAGGTTCCAGCGTGGACACAGGCTGATCTTGTGCTGCTGCCATGGGTCCCTGCTCCTCCCACCTACTCCACCTGTTCCTCTGTGAAAAAGAGATTGCTGTTGTTCTCATTGTTCTCGTGTGCTCTATTTCTTTGCTTGTGCTTCCAGGTTCCTGCATGGATGCAAGCTGATCTGGTGCTGCTGCCATGGATCCCTGCTCCACCCACAAATAGAATTTGTGTTTTTTTCTTGTTCTCTCGTGCTAATTTTCTGTCCCTGTTCTCCAGGTTCCGGCATGGATGCAAGCTGATCTGGTGCTGCTGCCATGGATCCCTGCTCCACCCACAAACACCCACAAAGCTATGGATCTGAACAAAGCCAAAGACAGAAAGCTGCAGGAGAGGCAAGGAGAGGAACTGGAGAGACACTACACGCCAGAAATGCTACAGTATTCCATGCTGCTGACACCAGGATCCTCTTTGGCGCATCTTTACCCTGCCCGGACCCCAAAAGTGCCGCTCCAGTTTGCCCAGAAAAGGCTAGGGTGTTTTGGGATTGTGTACTCCCAGCTGCCCGTGGGCCAGGGTTCTAGCTTGGGGTTTCAAGGGGTGTTGAAATGGATAAGGGAGCAGCTGAAGGGATGGGAGGAGAGGGGGAAGAGCAAGGGGGAGGGGAGGGAGATGGGAAGAAGATTTATTGAGGAAGTTGAGTATGCTTGTGCGAGAAGGGAAGTGGAGCATGTGGGCGTTCAACATGAGGAGGATGAGGAACTTTGGGAATCCGATGAGAATCCTGCAAGTGATAAGAAAACTTAGGAACGGATGCTAGGTACCATACTGTATGTGCTCTGCGAAAACTTAGTGGTTATTAACACATTGTCACTAGCTACTAATGTAGGGGGTATTTGTATCATCATTCATAACAGGATGTTACACAATGAGCTGATGTTGACATGGTCAAACACACGCAGAATCACCATGAGCCCGAATTGGTCCACAACAGCAAGCCTCACTGCCCAATGGGGAAATCGTTAAGGCGGCTCAAAAACATGCATACCATCATGAGCTGATGTTGACATGGTCAAACACGCGGAGAATCACCATGAGCCCAAATTGGTCCACAACAGCAAGCCTCACTGCCCAGCCTGGAAACTGTTCGCCCTCAGGCGAGTAGAATGGAACAACCTGCCCCTTGGAGGAACAACTGGACACGTTTTCTATACCACTGCTGCTGCTGCCAGTCTTGGCGGGTGGGGTACTGGTGATCCTTTCCCTAGCCTCAAGATCACTGCTGCTGCTCGTGGGGAGTGGAGCAACATTGATTCTTTCTTGAGGTGGCTCAGGACTATGGCTGCTGCTCGTGGGGAGTGGGGTGCCAGCGAGCCTGACAATCCGAGAGAGCCTGATAGCAGGGTTTGTTGCATGGCAGAGAGAATGTCGAGGGAGAAGGCGTTTTTCCCCCTTTTTTCACCCTATGTTGATGTAGGTATTGGGAGTCCAATACGGGTTAACACGCCATGCTAGAGGGTGAGAGCGAGAGGAAACGAGATCGGGAGAAATGGCGTACGGTGCCGTACGATGAACTTGGAGATTCTTTTGAGAACTCTCGAAAAGTGACTCCGATGAAGTCCCATGTGGTGCGAGTGACCATTGTGTACGGACGAGTTCAATAACACGCAGAATGTTTAGTGTAGTGACATGCCTAGCGATTAGTGTGAGGTGCCACGTACCATGCAGGCGTTAGCTCTTGTGATGCGCTTACAGGAACGACCACTTCAGGCTGCAACGAGAGAGAGAGCGTAAAGAGAGAAGGGAAAAATAGTGTGTGGGTGGGTGGGTGGGGCAAAGCGGGGGACAGCAGCTGAGGAACGATCGCAGCAGAGAAGATGGAAGCATGCGGTGCCAGGAGACGAGGTGAATGTTAATCGTGACTTTTGAGTTGACTCAAAAAGACTTGCACTCGCATAATGACTCTGACAGCCCAGCAGCATGGCAACATGAGCACTACACAGCAAGCCTCTGAGAGCTCTCACAAGGAACCCTACACAGCGTACCTTGTCCGGGTGCTAGTTTTGTCAGCGTACCTTGTCCGGGTGCTCCCCTCGTTTGTAGCACATGATAGCAAGCAGACTCAATGGCTGCTGCTGCTGGGGTTTCTGAACGGCCTCTGTGCCCGACTCCTCTTGCTGCTTCTCCCCCTCCCTCTGTCTATCTATATGCCGCTTCTCCTGCGGCTGCTGCTGATGCTGCGCGTGCTCCTTGTCTACATTTTTCTCTTCCGAATGCCCTTCTACGCTTTCCCTTTCTGAAAGCCCTTCTCCAGAGATTTCCCCTCCAAGTGTAGCGCCTCCCTGCCCCCTCTCCATCCGCCCCTCCTTCTCCGCCTTCCCCTCCCCTTCCGCCCCCTCCCTTTCCGCCCTCTCTCTTTCCGCCCTCTCCCTTTCCGCCCTCTCTCTTTCCGCCCTCTCCCTTTCCGCCCTCTCTCTTTCCGCCCTCTCTCTTTCCGCCCTTTCCCTTTCCGCCCTCTCCCTTTCCACCCTTTCCCTTTCCGTACTCTCCCTTTCCATCCTCTCTCCTTCTGCCCTCTCCCTTTTCGCCCCCTCCTCCCCCACGCCCTCCCCCCCACTTTCTGCCAGGAAAACTACCTCCACTCGTCTCCACCAATCAGCGGCTGCCAGCTTGGACAGCGCCATGTAAGCTTCCAGAGGCGAGGCGGGCCAATCATGGGCCTTGATGGAATGAGGAGCGGAAAGGGGAGGAGAGGAGGGATGGGTGGAGGGATGGAAGGAGGGAAGGGGAAAAGGTTGGCAGGAAGGAGCAGAGGAGGAAAGAGAGGAGAGGCAGGAGGGGGGAAGCGAGGAGCAGAGGGAGAGGAACCGATGCCATGGGGGGAGAGAATCCAAAACCAACGGCCGTAAAGTGCTGCTGCCTTCGGTGCCGCTGTCAATGACCAGGAGCAATGTCCGGCATGGCTTACGAGCTTGTCCTCCTCCCCCTCTTCCAAAACCACCGATATCACCCGTACCATTACCGGTATCACTACCACTACCAGTACCATTACCACTACCCTGCGTCATTGCTGCCGCTGCTCGTTGATGACGGCGTCAGGATCGTGACAAGTTTCGTTTTTGGAGCCTGATAATGGCGTCAGATTCTGTTTCTGATGTTGGAGCCTATTCTGTCCGCCTCAAGCCATCTGTCCGTCGCGGTTTCGCCGGCCCAAAGCTGATTGAAAGTGAGCGAGTAACAAGAAAACACTGATTGAAAGTGAGCGAGTGAATCTAGTATTGTCGAGCAGGGTCGTATATGGCGGATGGCTGGGCCAGGTGCAAGGATGCTTGGTAACTCCGACTCAGGATTCTCGCGGATTCAGGATTTTCGTGATGCAGCTTTTCCGACATTCCAGCCAGCGGCGAAGCCAGTGAGCGAAACCAAACAGTGCAGTTTCGAGCATTTGCGAATTCTCGCTCCCAGGAAACACCCTCGCAATTTTTCCCTCACCAAAACACACTTACAGGAGATTCTCGCAGCTACTCGTTAAAGCTCCAGTATACATTTGTCAGCTCAAGTTCCTAAAGGGGTGTCTGAAGTGAAACGTCGACGGACACTACAATTTCGTCGGGGGATGTCGGCGAATATCCACCCTCGGATCGAGAATTCCGACCGTCAAGATTCATCGACATTCCCTGCAGTTTCGTCAGGGGATGTTGACGTTCACCCCCTAACGATTTTGAACCCCTCCTTTCAATTGCATACCGGAGTTTTAACGTGCAACCAATCAAAACAGTGTCCGACCAGTTCGATTCTGATTACACATTAGTTGCGATCTGAGTGCGACACATGAAGCACATGCAGGAGACGAAACACGTTTTAGGGTTTCCTGGAAAGACCCTCAGTCACATCGTATTCCACACTCGGTTCATAGTTCATAGAAATATAGAAATCCAGGCACTAACAATTGAGGCGCTAATGCATGCCTAACGCGCAACGCAGCAAGCGATTGGTTGTTAGAGCCCTTCATAATCGAGCCCGCTGTGGTGCGTCCAACATTCCAAAAAGCATTCTTCCGAGCCTTTCTCTCTAGCCAGATTCCGAATAGCGGCCGCGTAAACGAACCCTGGAAGATTGAGAAGATGTCAAACCAGAAAATGAACACCTGGGAAGGGAGATGAGGGGGGGAAGAAGTGGGGAGGTGGGGAGGAGAGGAGAAGGCAGACGCAAGGATGGGTGCTTGCTCCTCGTCCTGGAAGATTGAGAAGATGTCAAACCAGAAAATGAACACCTGGGCAGCGGAAAGGGGGAGGTTGGGGGGAGCGGGGAAGGGGGGTTTTTAGTGGGCACCAATCAGGCAACTGCTCTTATTCTGCTTCTTCCCTGTCTGCCTTAGGAATTGAGAGGAAATGGAGCAAAAGAAAATGAACACCCGGAGGAAAACAGTTGGAAAACTTCCCGTATGAGCCTCACACACGCACCACCTCTCACCACTGAGCATCACACACGCACCACCTCTCACCACTGAGCATCACACACGCACCACCTCTCACCACTGAGCATCACACACGCACCACCTCTCACCGCTGAGCCTCACACAGAAACAACCTCTCTCTCACCACTTGAGTTGAGCCTCACACACGCACGCCCCCTCACCAGTAAAAGGCAGACTAGCAGAAGAATGTAAGGCGTGGAGCCCTTGGTTCTTGAGTCCACTCAATAGTCACCTCCTCCAGACTCCCACATGCACGCGGCACCTACGAACTCACCAGTAAAAGGCAGACTGCCAGAAGAATGTAAGGCGTGGAACCCTTGGGCAGCTGTAGGGGGGTGTGGACCGAGGAGGATTAGAATGAGGAGCAATGGAGTGGGGAGAATTTGAATGAAGGAGGATGGGATTGGGAAGAATGAAATTGGGGGGAGAATTGAAAAGAATGAAAGGGGGGTGCCAGGGAAGGGGGGTGGGGGGTGGGTTGGGGTGGATGGGGGGAAAAAAAAAATATATATATATCGCTTGCCTTGCAAGATATCTTGAAAAATCGAACAAATTTCTCACAGGGTGGTAATCTGCATCGAAGCACAGCACATGCGGGGATAAAAAGACGGAAACCCAGTACCTCCCCTCGCACTCGGGGCGGCCAAGGCAGAGAAACTCCAAACCTCCCCTCACACACAGGTGGCTAAGTCAGCCAGAGAAGCACCGCACCTCCCGGCGTTGAATGAGTCGTGTTTTGAGTCGACTCAAAAAACGCTCCACTCACACACCACTAGCGGCTAAGTCAGAGAAGCACCGCACCTCCCGGCGTTGAATGAGAGCGTTCCATTGCTGCATGATGGACGCGGATGCCGCTGACGTCATCAGAGCCTGCCATCCCTCTCCGTGGGCAGCGGACGCTGACGTCACCAGCTGATGCTGCCTCTGCTGCTGCTTCTGCTGCTGCTGCTGAAGAAGCGGCTGATGTTCCCAATTCCCCTGATTTCCTTGATTTCCCTGATTGTAACCCACGAGTTGCTCCTGCTGCACCCGATGCTCGTTTTGATTCCCCTGATACTCTTGATTTCCCGGATGCCCTAAGTTGTGTCCAGAATGCTGATGGTCTTGATGGCCATGCTGGTGCCTGGAACCTTGGATTTCAGATGCCGAAGGCGAAGCAGCTCGCCTGCTTCTGGGACTCATGCCGCTTCCGCCGCTCACGCTGCTTCCGGGACTCTCGGCTCTCCTGTGCGTCCCCTTGCTCTTCTCTTTCTCTCTCCCCCTTCCCTTCTCCCTCTCCTCTTTCGATCTCCCCCTTCCCTTCTCCTTATCCTCTTTCCCTCTTTCCTTGCTACTCCTCTCCCTACCCTTTTCTCGCCCCCTCTCCTTATCCCCCTCTTTCCTTGCCATCGCCTGCTGTTTCTTTCACTAGCTGGCGAATTTTGAATCGATTCAGAATTCGTCCATTCCCTGCTTTTCTCGATGCCTGCCTGTTACAACTGACAACTACTCGTGACACGGTTCTGGCCAATCAGAGTATTCATGGGAGGAACAATTGGGTTACGACGGAAGTTGATACGGAGTGCCTGCAGCAGCGTACGGAACGCCTGTAGCAGCGGACGGGGTGCCTGCAGCAGCGTGCTGGGGAAAAACCTTCAAACCGAACCGAACAGCTCTGAGCAAGTCTAAAGTCTGATCAAGGATGTCGCATTGGGAGAGAATGTTAATGCAAATCGTGAAACCGTTGCTATGGAGAGAGAAATGTAAGCATAGCAAAGCGGTGAAGGAATTTGAATGTCTGCGTTTCCGCCTCCGATTTGACGGTAAGAAAGATGGTTGACTATGTCATCTTTATTCCGCCAGCACCAACCTGGTCGGAGAATGTGAACCTAGTCACAGGACGCGGTACATGTGTTGATCGAGAAAAACTATTCTAACTGGAGAAGTCGACCCTGAGGACTCGATGACACTCAAACTGCGACCTCAGCAGGCCTCCCCTGGAGACGATCGAGCCTACGCAAGATCGATTTCTTACAATTACAAAATGGTTTCCGCCAATGGAAATGTTGATGCAAATCACACGAAATCATGTTACTCTGTCACATGATTACGTCATAAACTGAGCCTACGTACGGTCGATCGTCTCAGGGGGAGAAATTTTTCAGCAGGAGCAGCAACAAAAACACTTTCCAATGCTTCCATTTTTTTTTCATGGTCACGGGCTTGCTGGAACTTTTTGTTCGTTGCTTCGACCAATTATATGTTCTTTTCAAGGACACATAAGCTATCAGCCTTGATATTTTGAGGAAATATGTAATTCGTAACCAGCATGGGACTCGACAATTTTTTTGGTAAACAAAATAAATGGTACGGTCACTGCAAAGGGTGTTTTCACGCGACTGATAAAACGTTTCACGTAATCAGTCACTATCAACTCGTAAAAATAACGTGAATGGTCATAGATGAAACTCCCGCCAAAACAAAATGAAACCCAAAAAGAACCTGGATGCATTTTCGGATGAATCAACCCTAAACACGTAACTCGCAAGGTGTTTAGGGTTGATCCGTTCCCAAACCACATCCGATTCCGATTGGGTTTGAGTTTTTTAGAAGTTAGCATATTGGTTGAGTGCAAGCGGGAATTTTGTTGTTTCAAGTTTTTTTTGCGGGAGTTACATGTGTGACCATTCGCGTTTAAAATTTACCTGTTGTTAGTGACTGAATCCGTGACCCCACTTACCAAACCCGTCAGAAAACCCGATACAGTGACTGTACGATTGGTTTGTTTACCATTTACGTCATCGAGTCCCAAGTTGGTTACTTATGACATGTTCTCCCTGATATATTTGCCTTTAATTTAGGGCACGTTCATAAAAACAGCTATAGTGTTACTATTTTCCTTTCTTCAGAAACCTGTATCCCAAACGCACCATTGTAACGCGGATTGGTAGCCACTTTTCCTTGCTTCTTTCCTTCCTCTTATGTCAGGTGTGACGTGGCCTTCTTTCAAACAAGAAAGGACACGACGCGCAGCGTAGTACAGTAGCGCATCACGGCGGTATCGTCCCCCCCGTGAACGAGTAAGTTGTTAAAAGGAGATTACCGTATTGAATCCACACCACAGACACAGGTATCCACAGATCCCCACCACTTGTTATCCTGGTTCTGCCCGGCTATTTCGGGCGTCTCGAACCTCAGCCACTGATTCCGCGTTCCGCCGCGTCAAGCGTTCCGCGTTCGCGCTTGATGTTCCGCATCTCCCGTTTCAAAACCTAGAAAGTTCCGTTTCCGGATTCCGGGGATCTGCCAGCCACCATGCAGCACCTACGATCACGCCGCGGTGCCTCTTTCTCCGAAATTCTCGCTGCGCGGTAAGCCTTTCTCCATGTGCCTATTCCGGGTCCTACTCGCGCAAACCGCAGCGCTCCCGGTGAAGCTATTTATGAGTCGACTCACAAATCAAACCGCAGCGCTCCGAGTGAACCTGGCTGGAAGATCTACACTACTTTTTCCTCATTGGTGTAATGCATATATTATGTTCTTTTTTTTTTCCCCTACTTTTTCTTAAGAAATATCTGTTCTGCATTACTCGTCAAGTGCTCTTCTTTCTTCCCCACCCACACCCTACGGCCCGTTTTACTCCCTCCCTTCTGTTTGCCCAGCCTCTCTACTCTGGTCTCCAGTACTTTCCCCGCAGCTTCCTACCATGCATCTGTCCACGTGTTCCCATGCATGGCTGAGGAACGCCAGAGCCAAGGGGCAGGCTCGGCAGCTGCAGCTGGTTCGGCAGCAGGCTCGGCAGCAACACCAGGCTCGGCACCAGCAGCAGGAGGAGGAACGGCAGCATCAGCAGCGGGAGCGGCTGCAGGAGCAGCAGCAGCAGCAGCAGCAGCAGAGGCAGTCAGGCAGAATCTGAACAGGCAAGGATGTAATGAGCTTGGATGCTTGGTGCGGGCAAAATACAGTCAGGCGAGAAAGGCACGCAATGGCTTCTTCGAAGGAATTTATGAGGCCTATTTTTAGTCGTCTCAAAAGGCTTATCCTCCTATACTTGCACGCAGCCTGCCATCAATGGTTGCAGCAAGAGGGGTCGCTTTGTGATTGCTCTCTTTCTCTCTCTTCTGCTCTCCCATTTCTGGATGCTGGATGGTGGGTGGGCTTTTGTACCAGTCAGCATGAGCCTTTTCCGCCCCTCATGCCTCTCCCACTCCTCTCAGGCTGCGCTACCGCAGCAGGCAGAGGGGGTTCTTGAAGCTGCAGTGCTGCTGGGCAGGAAGGTGGTGATGTACCTTGTACCTTTACCCCAAGGCCTCAACCCTCTCTCTCATCTCACGCCCCTTCCGCTCCTCGCAGGCTGCGCTACCGCAGCAGGCAGAGGGGCTTCTTAGAACTGGATCTGCTGCTGGGCAAGTGGGTGGAGCAGCACCTGCCCGCCCTAGACCCCCCTCACCTCACTGCTCTTGCACGCCTCATGGACGAGGTACGCGAGGGCTCTTGGCTGTGGCGCGGTAAGTAGGAAACAGGCAGAGGGGCTTCTTAGAACTGGATCTGCTGCTGGGCAAGTGGGTGGAGCAGCACCTGCCCTCCCTAGACCCCCCTCACCTCACTGCTCTTGCACGCCTCATGGACGAGGTGAGAGAAGGCGTTTGGGAGCACAACAGAGGGACGGCTATTTGTTTCACAAGGGTGGGCATGAAAGGACATTTGAGGAGGTCTGATTGATTATCCCTCACAAACCTGAATGGCACCACTCTCAACTCTCATACCTCTCTGTCCTACAACGGGCCCGGTGATCTGTCTGACCCTACCTGTCCGACCCTACCTGTCCGACCCTACCTGTCCGATCCTACCTGTCTGACCCTACCTGTCCGACCCTACCTGTCCGACCCTACCTGTCCGATCCTACCTGTCTGACCCTACCTGTCCGACCCTACCTGTCCGACCCTACCTGTCCGATCCTACCTGTCTGACCCTACCTGGTACGTCAGTATCTGATATGGCTGTTTACCTACACCCACCCTGGCTCTGCTGCTGCATATGCCTCCCCGCCACTGCTCCCCATCCTCCCTCCTCCCTCCGTGAGCACATCCAGAAGCGTCGGGTTTTCTTCAAATGGTATAGTCGCCCTCTGCATGCATACCTCCAAAGAGAGGTATGCATGCAAAGTCGCTGCCACATAAAGAGATGGCTCCAACCTGGGGCTCCATTGGTATAGTCACCCTCTGCATGCATACCTCCAAACCTTCCCCTTTAATGCTGCAGGGTGTTTTTGAGAATCTCAAAAACACCCTGCAGCATCACGGGTTTCTTCAAATGGTATAGTCACCCTCTGCATGCATACATCCGAACCTACCCCCTCTCTCCCTCTTCCCTTCTGCTGTCCCCCCGTCCTCCCTCCCCGGTGCACAACCAGGAGAGTCCGGATCTCTTCAAGTGGTTCACGGGACAGGAGCAAGCGCCAGAGCACGTGGTTCAGAATCCTGTGAGTGCTTGAAAGGCATTTCCTGTAGCACATGGTCTGGAATTTTGAGAGTGTTTCAATCACAAGCCCAGGGGTATGTAGATTAGAATTCTGTGAGTAGGGTTTAGAACCTTTTCCCCCCCTTCCCCTCCCCCCTCCCCTTCCCCTCCCCTCCCCCTCCCCTTCCCCTCCCCGCCCCCTCTCCCCCTTCCCCACCCCAGGTGTACCTCTCCATTCGCAGCAAGGTAGACGAAAGGCTGCACCGCATGCACCCTGCAGTGAGGGCCGCGCCTGGCTTGCCATGGGTGCGGGGCTGGGAGGACATGCAGAGGCAACCAGGCACACCCCCTGCTGGCAACCAGTAGAGGCTTGACTGGAGCAACGAAAGGCTATGCTATCTGTGTGATGGATGGGTGTACTTTGTTCGAGTGTGAGGGGACGCCACGCCTAGCTTGCCGTGGGTGCGGGGGTGGGAGGACATTCAGAGACAACCAGGCACGCCCCCTGCTGGCAATCAGTAGAGGCTTGTGTATTACCCAACTTAGGGATGGGTTCATGCACCCTGCAGTGAGGGGAACATCTTGCTTAGCACAAGTTGTACAGGGTTTTTACAGTGTGTTACATTACAGTGTAGGTATGGAAGTGATTGTTTCGTTAATGTTCCACAGCATATTACTAGTATTGTGTGGCCCATTCTGTCAGGAAATTGTTTTGGCTGCACAACAAAAAACATAAAAATCGTAACAAAGATGTGCGTCTGCAGTGTCGTGTGAACTGTAACCCAAGATATACGTATATACAGTAACACAGCAATAGCGTAGCACAAGTATGCACAGCAAGCCGTTCAGCTAACTCTGTAGGTGCAGTAAGAGAACAGGGAGAGTACTAGGAGTGGCTCATGCACAAGATGTTTGAAACTTACGAAAGAAATTGATCTCCCAGACATACCGTAGCAAGCAAATAGTTCAGCTGCCTCGGTACGTGGAGTAGGAGAAGGGGGAGAGCAGCAGCGGCACATGGAAGTGCTCCCTCTGTTGCTCTGGCAGCACTCGGAACACTATCGACACACTCGGGAAGAAACCGCCACCACTGCAACCACCACTGCCACTGCCTCTCCCTGTGCCAGCTTGTGCGTCCCCTGTCCCTCTTGCTCCATGCATCCGACCAAGATACTCCCCTGTTGCAAAGCTCAGCCGGTAGATCCCAGCTCCCACCCCTCCACCTCCCACCGCTCCACCTCCTACCCCACCGATTCCCACCACTCCTCCCTCATCTCCACCCCTGGCAAGCAGCCCAGCAGCCCTGCCATCAGCATTTGTGACTCCCCCGCCCACTCGCTCCCATCCCAACCCCACGCCACCACTCTCACTCTCCCCTCGGGCTTCTATCTGTCGCTCCAGCAGCACTGGGATGCCAGCAGCGGGTCTGCCCAGAGCCACGTCCAGCACGTGCGTGGAGATAGATGGATGCTTGGCGCTTGTAGCGGGTGCGGCTGTAGCGGGTGGGGTTGTAGCGGGTGGGGTTGTAGCGGGTGCAGCTGTGGCTGGGGCACCTGGGGTGAGCATGGGGAAGCAGGAAACAGGGGGGAATCAGGAAGAGTAGATAACTCAGGGCTGGCTCAGGGATGAGTGAAGGATGGCTCAAGGGGGTCGCTCCTGCACCGCTGGGATGCCGGCAGCGGGTCTGCCCAGAGCCACGTCACTCTCCCCCCCCTGTCTCCCCCCTCCCTCTCTGCTAACCCTCCAGCTTCTATCTGTCGCTCCAGCAGCACTTTGATGCCAGCAGCGGGTCTGCCCAGAGCCACGTCCAGCACGTGCGTGGAGATGGATGGAGGCTTGGCGCTTGTACTGGGTGTAACTGTAGCGGGTACAGCTGTGGTTGGAACACCTGGGGTGAGCATGGGGAAGCAGACAAACGAGGGGCATAGAAGCAGTAGACTTGGGGTTGGTTCAGTCAGAGCTAGGAGCAAACGTTGGGAAGCGACCTGAAACAGCTATGGGCTTTTGAGTAGACTTGGGGTTGGTTCAGAGCTAGGAGCAAATGTTTGGAGATGAACGGAGGCTTGGTGCTTGAAGCGGGTGTGACTGCACAGAGCCACATCCAGCAGGTGGGACCGGAGAGATGTGTGAGTGACGCACTGCTACATGCACACACCTGGTAGGGCGATGTGTGCTGCGACGCGACTTAAGCTAGACGTTGCAATAAGTCAGTTGCAGAGACACAGACAGAAGCACACTGTAGCTAGACGGCGGATTTTTAGTCAATATATCATGTGGTGTGGATTAGGTGGATATGCAGGGCGGGCACAACAGCACACACATGCACACACCTGGTGGTGGTGCGATGTGTGCAGCGACTCTAGCCAGACGGTAGGTTGCAGGGGAAGAGACTGGACGAGGAGGGAAGATATACCACAAGGAAAATGCGCGGTTGGGAGAAGGGAAAGAAAGGAATGGAAGGATATTTACAAGGCTAATAGCAGTTACTTGGAGTGTCTGCTAGAATATATAGTGGTTGATGAGGTTAGAGAGTAATCAGATAGAACAGGACTTAAGCGAGTAGCAGGTCAGAGATGCACACCTGTGGCACCAACACCATCTGTGGGGGCATCTGGCAGGCAGATTCTCCGGCCTCAGCTTCTTTTGTAGTCAGTCTATTTTTGAGTCGACTCACTACAGGCAGATTCTCACTACAGGCAGATTCTCCGGCCTCAAGCTTCTTTTCAAGTCGACTCAAGGGACAAAACATATTTGTGGCGCCAACACCATCTGTGGGAGCATCCAGCAGCAGCTTCTCCTCTGCAGCTGCTTTTCCGGCTAGACTTGAAGGACAACAAGAAACACACTGTCGCTCTCACACAGCAGCTACAGAGCTGCTGGATGCTTTTCCTATGTGGGTGTGTCGCTCTCACACACACACACACACACACACACACACACACGCACACACACACACACACACCTGTGGCGCCAACGCCATCTGTGGAAGCATACAGAAGCAGATTCTCCAGCTTCAGCAGTCAGACTAAATGGACAAAAACCCCACTTGCTCTCACACACTCACACTCACACAATCTCTCCCACAGGCAGACACGCACATGCAGCCCCAGCACCATCCGCAGGGGCATACAGCAGCAGCTTCTCCAGCCTCCACTGGTTTTGCAGTCGATTCAAAGGACAAAACACACACACACACACACACACACACACACACACACACACAACAACAACAACACACACACACACACACAACAACACACACACACAACAACACGTGTAGTGAGCCGATTTTTGAGTCGACTCAAAAATCGACTCACTACACACGGATTATATGTGGAGAGGTTTTTTGTTGCATGGCAAATTGGTTGTAACCTTAACAGGTTACTGGTACGCGCGCGACTTCCACAGTTGCTGCCTGGCGAAGATGCGAATTCGAACTTCAACGATGACGCTCCAAGGATTGAGGACGTGGCCACCTGAGAAATTTCCAAGGGTGAAATTTTCAAGGGTGACTTCTACTGGTCCCCGGATTTCGGGCTGACCTGGTGTAGATAACCTAGAGATCAGTTTTTCCGAGGCTTCGTTTCTTCTTGAAGCGTAGCTTAGCTCTGTTTTCTTTCATTAGCACTGATGAAGGCCTGCTAGGGTAGCCCCTTAACGGCCGAAACATGTTTGTTTTACTCTACTGCTGAAGTTCTTGAGCTCGGATTGTTGAGATCTTAGTTTTACAAAAGGTTTTTACTGTCTATCTTTTGCTTTAAGCCTGAATAAGTTTGCTGCTCGCTGAGAACATGTCCCAAGACCAGTTGGCACTTACGCTTGACTCAGACGACGCCGAACTTAACGAGGGCAGTTCTGCTATTGTGATCCACGAGGCAGGTGTTCCCAAGACTTACGCGGGGTATCGCACGCACAAGCGACAACGCCTTCGCGAACTTGAAGGAGCAAAACATACTGCACCAACTCGCGGACCGACATCGCAAGACGAGCAAACATTTTCTCCTCCCGCCATGGAGATGGATCCCGCTTCGAACGCTGCTCCTGCGGTAGCACCTGCTGTTGCTTCCACGAGCGCTAACCCGGCTGTTCCTGAGCAGTTCAACATTCATGAGCGCTTTAAAGGCTGGACTGCTGTGGCGGTCAAGGGTTTTCGGGCGGATTTCAAATCACTCTTGAAGGCGAAGTCCAAGCTTCAGAAGATGAAGACGCTTGATGAACAGGGTGTGCTTCTTCACAGTATTCGCACCAAAGCAGTTGAGTTCCAGACGAAATACCCTTCTGTTCGGGAAAAGTCTGCAGCTTCGGTTGCTGCTGTTCATCTGGAGAATCAAAAGCGTATCCAGAAGGAGATGGAGGTCGAGGAGATTTTGGCGGCTTCTAACCTGCACGTGACGACTCTGGCGACAAAGCTTGAGGACTACCTGAAAAGTCTCTCGGAGAACCCTGACCTGGCGGTATCTGATGCTACCAGGGAGAAGTACAGGAAGATTAAGGGGGCTTGCATCGAGAAGGCGCAGTCCGACATAGCCATTGCCAGGGATGAGATCATCATCCAGGAGTTGGAACGGCAGAAAAAACGTGAAGCTGAAGATTTGAAGAAAGCTGTCGCGGCTGAGGAGATCGACAGAATGGAGCTGGATCCGACGGTCGACGCAATCGTTCAGAAGCACGTAAAGAAGGTCGAAGATCGGCTTCGCAAGGAGTTCGCGGCGAAGCTGGACAAAGAGCTATCTGCGAAGCTTCAGAAGATTACGTTGGAAAAGAAGGTTTCTCCGTCGACCACCGCCGCTGACTCTAAGCCCCAGAACAACAAGGCGAAGAAGAAGCGGGGGAAAAAGAAGAAATCTGTCACTCCTACCGACGGCAAAGGGAAGGGCCAAGCAGCACCGAAGCAGGCCTGGGTTCCAAAAAACGGAGGCGGCGGCCCCGCAAAAGGGCCGCCAAAGAAGAAGTCATGGCGCGGGATCTCGCACTTCGTTGGTTCGGCCGTTTGACTTCACGACAAGCCATGTCGCGGGTCCGAAACAACGGAGTGCATAACCTGAGTGCTAAGGTTTTAACGACCGATGAGCGACGAGCACTCGGGATGGGATTGAAGTTCGTGCCAACGCCTACCAGGAGCCCTTCCATCGAAGCAGATCTCGATCAACTGCATCGACGGATTTCTCTTCACTTTTTCTTCAAGGATAAAGGGGATTCATCTGAGATGTCACGCTTCCGTGTGTGCAACCCAGATTGGAAACCCGATCGGGATGTTGTCCCGGAGTCGGTGTTCAGGGAGGCCCACAACGACCTCTCTTACCTTCTGAAAGCGACGACGCCACGGCGGGGTTTCAATATCTCGTCAGGAATTCGCAAGGCGTTGCGCTCCCTCGCCGCCGACCGCAGTATCGTCATCAAACCTGCAGACAAGAACGTTGGCGTCACTATCCTTGATCGGCAACACTACATCGCCCTTTGTGAGAGTACGACGGCTTATGCCAGCTATGCTTGCTTGCCTTTACTTTCTTATGCTATTTCTAGAATAGGATAATCATATGCATGCATGAATTGCTTGCTTTCCTAGGCTAGGTGCTTTCCTATATTTTATTATAGTTATAGCATCGAGCTAGGTTGCGTGCACCGAATTCTGGCTTTTCGGTTGCCACCGAATTGCCTCCTACCGAATTCGGTAAGGATCTGTTCGGGACGCTTCGCGACCCGCGGAACCTTCGCGTAACACCTGGTTACGGGGCCTTGTGTCGAGCCTATATATAGCCTCGTGTTGTACCCAGGTGATCATTCAATTCACATTCTCTTTTCTGAGCTCGATCCTAGATCCTCACACCCTTTGTATGGAACATCTCGGAGATGCGGAAGTGTACCAGCCGATTGAACGCGACCCGACGCCACGTGTTCTGCAGCAGCTGCGGGAGTTGAAGGTGACGTGGGGACCGGCTTTTCCAGACAGTCTCTGGAAATATTTCTTTAAGGAACCACCCGGGGGATGGCGGCCAGCTGCGTTCTACGTCTTGCCTAAGCTTCACAAGAAAGTACCCGTGGGGCGACCGATCGCTGCGTCACATTCATGGGCTACGACTAATGTGAGCAAGTGGCTTGACGCTGAACTTCGCCCGCTGGTCTTGAATCGTCCTACATACCTCCGGGATTCTCTCTCTCTGCTGACAACGCTTGAACGCACCACGTTTCCGACGACGGTACTTCTAGTGACGTATGATGTAGCCGCTCTCTACCCCAGCATTTCGATCGAGCGCGGTCTTGATGCGGTCAGCAGTTTTCTGATGAGAGAGAAACCGCAACTCACCCCATCTCTCATGGCCCTTCTGGGTTGGGTCATGAGGAACTATTTTGTCGAGTTCGGCGGCCGGATCTTTCACCAACTACGAGGCACCGCCATGGGTACACCTGTAGCAGTCTGCTTCGCGATCTTGTTCATGAGCTGCCTGGATGAGTTACTGAAGGGGAAGTGGACCGGAACGTTACCTCTTTACCATGTGCGCTACATCGATGACGGTCTAATCGTATGGCCGGGGACGCGGGCAGATCTGGAAGCCTACCTGCGCACCTTCAATGAGCTTGATCCTAACATTCGGATTACATGGTCTGTTTCGGACTGCTCCATCGATTTTCTGGACGTGGTTCTCTTCAAGGGACCGCGGTTTAAGGAGCAGGGTACTTTGGATTTCGGCACGTTTCAGAAGCCGATGAATAAGTATCTCTATCTTCCCTTTGCTTCCTTCCACCCACGGCACTGCAAGGAATCCTTCGTTCGCGCAGAATTGAAGCGGTACCTGCTCCGCTCTACATCAGCTGCGACTTTCCTCGCAACGAAGAAGGCTTTCTTCGTCCGGCTTCGTGACCGTGGTTACCCTCCTGCTTTTCTGCACCCAATCTTCCAAGGCGTCACTTTCGCTCACCGTTCGTTACTCCTCGCCACTACCATCGCTAACCAGGCGCTCCGGCAACAGATTTCTCTCCCATCCCGTGGACCCCTAGTTTTGAAGACGCAGTACACTTCGGTGTCTGCTCGTCTCGGGGTAGGGGTCCTTTTGAGTCGACTCAAAAATCGACTCACTACACGCGGATTATATGTGGAGAGGTTTTTTGTTGCATGGCAAATTGGTTGTAACCTTAACAGGTTACTGGTACGCGCGCGACTTCCACAGTTGCTGCCTGGCGAAGATGCGAATTCGAACTTCAACGATGACGCTCCAAGGATTGAGGACGTGGCCACCTGAGAAATTTCCAAGGGTGAAATTTTCAAGGGTGACTTCTACTGGTCCCCGGATTTCGGGCTGACCTGGTGTAGATAACCTAGAGATCAGTTTTTCCGAGGCTTCGTTTCTTCTTGAAGCGTAGCTTAGCTCTGTTTTCTTTCATTAGCACTGATGAAGGCCTGCTAGGGTAGCCCCTTAACGGCCGAAACATGTTTGTTTTACTCTACTGCTGAAGTTCTTGAGCTCGGATTGTTGAGATCTTAGTTTTACAAAAGGTTTTTACTGTCTATCTTTTGCTTTAAGCCTGAATAAGTTTGCTGCTCGCTGAGAACATGTCCCAAGACCCAAACACACAACAACACACACACACACACAACACACACACACACACACACAACACACACACACAACAACACACACACACACACACACACAACACACACACACACACAACAACACACACAACAACACACACACACACAACACACACACACACATACACACAACAACACACACACACACACACACACAACAACACACACACACACACACAACAACACACACACACACACACACACACAACAACACACACACACACAACACACACACACACACTCACCTGTGGCGCCAACACCATCCGCAGGGGCATACAGCAGCAGCTTCTCCAGCCTCAGCTGGTCTCGCAGACATTCTCTCATAGACACACACACAACCACACACTCACACACGCACCTGCGGCACCGACACCATCTGTGGGGGCGTCCAGCAGCAGCAGCTTCTCCAGCCTCAGCTGGTTTTCCGGTCAGACTCAAAAAACAAAAAACACACTCTCTCGTACAATCACACACACTCACACTCACTGACACATGCACACGCACCTGCGGCACCGGCACCATCTGTGGGAGCATGCAGCAGCAGCTTCTCCAGCCTCAGCTGGGTGATCTTCTCTTGCTCCTTCGCTGCCAGCTGCACCTCGTAGATTGGTTGATTCGCCAGGCGCTCCTGCAATAGACGGGCACAGTCACATGGGGTGAATGAGACCTGCGACCATCTTGCTTCGCCAGCCTCAGCTGGGTGATCTTCTCTTGCTCCTTCGCTGCCAGCTGCACTTCATAAATGGCTGATTCCCCAGCCGCTCCTGCAACAGTAGAGGTGCACACACATGGGATGCTTGTTATACTCTTGTTTAAAAATCTGGGTGATCTTCTCTTGCTCCTTCGCTGCCAGCTGCGCCTACGTTGCTAAATACGAGTACCGAGTATAATACGTTAGCGTATTATACGCTTGGTATATACGCGGTACGCCAAGGCTGGCGTACTGCTGATACGCAAAAATACGCTGGCGGGCAGCTAAAACTTTTTTTCCCGGGCAGGTATACAAAAACCTGTTTCAGGGGGGGGGTTCAGGCCGACAACAACACATGTCAATATTTTATTTCATAAATATCCAGAAATACATAGTTCATCCACATAATCCCCACCCTCTAGCGAGCTTCCCCACAGCCTATTTCCTTGCGGGGCTTTTCCACCACCACCCCTTCCCCATACTCATCCGCCAGCACTGCATCATCTCCTTCCCCCCCCAGCAGGTCATCCTCCTCCTCCTCGTCCATGTTGTAGCCGCGGGGGATAGGGGCATTTGGGATGTTTCCGGGCACAACCGTGCTGGCCCCATCCTTGTTGTACCAATTGCGCACAACGTTCCAGTTGTGCGCAATGTAAACCAGGTCCGCACACTTGGCGGACCCGAGGCGGTTGCGGCGGGCGGTGTGGACGCCTTCCCACTGCGCCCAGCCACGTTCGCATGAAGAAGCCGAGACGGGCTGAGTGAGAATCCGGCATGCGAGGGTGGCAAGCTCAGGGTACTCGGTGCTGTGCCACGACCACCACTGCACCATGCTCATCTCCCCTTTCTTCACTGCCTCCCTTGCAGCTATGGCGCTCAGCTTGCCAAAACTGCCCTCCAAGTTGATGTAGGCCAGCAATGCCTCCTGCAGCACAAGGGAGGCGCGGCGAGGGGCACCATCCTTGCCGCGCCTGAAGGTGACGTGGTCATAGTGGCGCTCGATGTAGTCCTTGAACACCCTCGTGCACTCCACATCGTTCCTGAAAATTCCCTCCTCCTGGTTGGCCGGATTCAGGATCCGGCCAACCACATGCATGGGGCAGGCAAGGGAGTTGTCCCACCTGTCCTTCACAATCTTGGTGATGTCTGCCCTCTCTGTCCGAGTCAAGAAGTCGCCTGAAGCGTCGAGCTTGTCATTGATGTCCTCGGTAAGCTGTAGCATAATGTCATACAGCTTACCCATCATGCCTTTCGCGGAAGAGTCCGTGGCCCGCATGGCCTTGAATGGCACCGCCATGAGAGAGGAAAAGAACTCCGCCACCCCCCACCACTCCTCATCCATCACAGCAGCCCTGAATTTCTCGGCTGCAGTCTTCCTATCCTTGTCCCCCGCTGCCCACACCTTCCACTCGTCGCTGAGCACCATCGCCGCCAGCCCACTCCTCACCTCACATAGCAGGGCCATGGCTATGTATTGTGTCCCGAACCTGGTTCCCGCAGGCTTGAGCACCTGCTTCCCCCCCACTTTCTTCATATAGGCACGGGTGAAGTGGTGGTTGCGCACGAAGGTAATCATCTCCCCTCCTTTCTCCACAAGCCCCTTCGCCCATCCCATTTTGCCCACATCTTCCATTAACAGGTCCAGGACATGCGTGGCACATGGCACATGCTCAATGTGCGGCCATGTGCCCGCAATCTTCCGCGCTGCCGATGCATAGTTGCTGCCGCCATCGGTGCAGACCGCCACCACATTCTCCGGCCCCACCTTATCAATGACGGGGCGGAGAAGGCTGGCGATGTACCCCCCCGTCTTTGACTCCATGTTGCAGTCCACGGCCTGCTCGAAAACTGCGCCGGAGTCGTTGACAAGGAGTATGTTGGCCTGCGGGCGGCCACAACGGTCGGTCATCATGTCCGACGACACGGTGACACCGTCCCGCTTCCAGCTCGCGGCAACGGGGGCGAGCGCTGCCTCCATTTTCTGCCGCACTTTCTTCAAGCCCGCCCCTCCAACGTAGCCCCTCTTGGGGGGAACATACCCCGGTCCCGCGCGCGCAAAGCACTGGACCGCGTAGCGGAAGACCGGATCATCCACGATGCGCTCTGGAAGCTTCAGCGCCGAGATCATTAGGCAAAGCGCGTTATCCGCGTCCTCCTTGGCGCACGTTGCCTCGTCGCCGAAGAATTCTGTTATCTTCCCCTTCTTCTCCGCACAAGCAGTGACCGCGCCCAGCACGGAGTCGAGTGCTGCAGCAGCCGCCCCTCGTTTCATGCTCTTGTTTTCCTCCTTGTTTTCGTACATGGCACGCACTTCGTCACGGATTTTCGGGGACACGTCCTTGCAAAGCCTGACAGGGCGTCCATCTTGCCCTTTCCATTTGGCGAGGTGAACTGCGCAGCGAGTGGTTCCGCCCTCAAACTTGAAGCCACAAAACTTACAAAGCTTGGGATTGCCTTTGGTGTGGGGGGGAATAAGAAAATGTTTCAGAATGGGGTTCGAAAGGCCAGCCTCAACAGGCTGCGTGTTGATCGCACTACTAGACGCGTGACCAGAAGCTACATTGCTCGTCGCGCTAGGAGGGGTGGAGTTCGACGCCATGGGGCGCGACTAAGGAACGGTAAACTGCTTGAGGAAAACGGGAGATCAGAGCTCGGGAATGAAATTGAGGAGGAGAGAAACGAATGAAGGATAGGAAGGCGTCAACGAGTAAATGCTCACATGACGTGCTGGACATTTGAGAGGGGTGGTTGGATATGAGAGGTTTGGTGGGGTGGTGTGTGGTTGGGGTGGTGGGAGGTTTGGATTCTGAAATTTGAATTTCAGACGTGGGTTGGGCGATGTGCTTGGTCGCGTAACCAGTCGCGAAGCCCTAATAACCGTCGCATTTTTTTTTCAATTTCGATTTTTTTTTTTCGCCGGGCTGCCCGCGCGTTTTTTCACGAATTCAAAGCGTATTAGCGTACCACGTACGTACGCAATCGTATATACGTGGTACGCCACCCTACCCAGAGCGTATTTGGCAACGTAGAGCTGCGCCTCATAGATGGGCTGATTCGCCAGGCACTCCTGCAACAATACCACCTGAAATGGCTATAATCCCGCACAAAAACATGCAATATACACATAAAATCATTACTTGCAGAAAATTCCGCCTTGGGAAAAAGTAGTATTTATGTGTGAACTTGCCCCGTGCACTGTGTTTTGTGATGCTCATAGCGCAGAGTGCATTCAGGCACTTCTGGAGTGGACAAATAATACGAGGTGACTTTTGAGTCGACTCAAAAGTCACCTTGTTTTGTGCTGCTCATAGCGCAGATTACATTCAGGAACTTCTGGACTGGACTAATAAAACGCTACGCACCCATCACCTTGAGAGTGGAGAGCACTTCTAGTGAAGGCTTGCCTTGGGCACAATAATTCCATGTTTGAGGCGCCTCAAGCAAAAAGTACTTCTCGTGTGGGCGTGCCCTGAGCGCAGATATTCCTATGTTTAAGGCACCTGTGGGATGGGAAATACCTTGAGAGCGGAGAGTATTCCATCATCTGCACTGAGCGGAGAGTATTTCTCCGCAGGCTTGCCCTCAGCTCAGCGCAGATGATGAATTTTGAGGCGCCTCAAAAGTCACCTGTGGGATGGGAAATACCTTGAGAGCGGAGAGTATTTCATCATCTGCACTGAGCGGAGAGTATTTCTGCCGCAGGCTTGCCCTCAGCTCAGCGCAGATGATGAAGATGTGGCACATACCTTAAGCGCGGCAAGAATTTCCGGTGCGGGCTTGCCCTGAGCGCAAATGATAAAGATGTGGCCAAAGCGCTGCTCGTAGCGGCGATTGCCCTCCGCCATTTCCTAAATGGGGCAGCAGAAAAACAGGTAAGTAGGTAGGCAGGCAGGCAGGCAGGCACGGAGGCAGACAAGCAGAAAGGTTTATGATGTTGATCCGTGCGAAGGGTTGTTCTGTTGCTGCTTTGCCCTGACCGCAGATAATGAAGATGTATCCAAAGCGCTGCTCGTGGTGGCAATTGCACTCCGCCATCTCCTGACATGGGGCAGCGGTAGGGTAGGTAGGTAGGTAGGCAGGCAGGCAGGCGGGAAGAGAGGCAGACAATTTTGTAGAGAGGCCTACAGTTTTGTTCTACGCATTATTCTGTTGCTGCTTTGCCCTGAGCGCAGATGATGAAGATGTGGCCAAAGCGCTGCTCGTAGTGGCCATTGCACTCCTCCGCCATCTCCTGACATGGGTGTTGGACACGCATTACGGAAGTAAGGCAAGCAAGCAGGCAGGCGGGTAGGCAGGCAGCTAAATTGCACAGTAGCAAAGCAAAGAGCTGTGATGAGCACATGCATGAATGAATGAATGAATGAATGTTTACAAGGGAGTTGTGTCTGAGGCACACTCAGTCTGATTGACTGACATGCAGCACAGAAACACACACACACACACACACTTTAGTTTAAAAGACATGTGCTTTCCTAGAAGAATGCGTTAAAGGGAACCAAAAGGGAATCATGTTTGAAGCACACTCAGTCTGACTCGAAAATATCACAAATCATGGAAGAATGCGTCGTCAGATGATTGCAGCGCTGCTTCTTGCTTTGAGGCGCCTCATGATTGTTCTGAGGCACATTAGACAGCGTACTTTCTTTTAACTACCATGAACTTGCCTGGAAGAATGTGTCGTCAGATGATTGCAGCGCTGCTGCTTGCTCCCCTTGGGACCATCTGGAGGCAGAACAATGGCATGTGCATGCACGCAAGTTTAATCAAGATGGAAATGCATGCCAGCACATGCGAACACATGCGGATGCATGCGATAGAACATTGCTACATGTAAAAGCACCAAGATGCAAACACAGCAATGCCCATGCACAGTTTATCCCCCATGATTATCAGCAGATATCATTACCACGATCAACAATCACCCATCCCAGCCAACAATGCTTGAAATTCCAAAGCATCACCTATCTTCGTTACTATCACACGGCACTCACTGCTGTGTGGCGAACTTTCTCTTGAGCGATGCCGCGTCACCAATCCTGGGATGAGCACTGAAGGCCTCCAGCCAACCAGAGACGTCCACCTGGCACAGGATACAACGCATTAGGGCACATATAACTATGTACCTACCCAGGAATGAACTATTCCGTATTTAGGTCTCAAGGGATGTGTCGCGTTCAAGAATGCTACGAATTCGCTACTATGGGTCATAGAATAGCAAAAACGACATAAATCCCGTCAATCCTCGTTACAGCCAGCCCCCAGCAAGGACCCCGGTACAAGAACACTGGTAGCACAAGATGGGATGTCTGAGAAAGGTACGACGCTTATGTAAAGGACGCGTGGTCTTGCCTGATTCCACCACACGTCGCTGGCACCACGTTCTAAATTCTGGAAACTTTCAAAAGGCCTGCGCGCTGCGAGGATGGAGGCGAATCTCTTGGAGCCGCAGCAGCGAATCAACACCTCGCTCGCCTCGGCGTCGGAAACTGCGTTGAGCCATTGCAATCCCACATCGAGCTGCGCCGCTCTCCCTTGCTCAGACTGCTGCGGTTCAATCATTGCAATTGCGCGGACGAACGCTTTTGAGAACTCTCAAACGCGGACGAACGTGAAATCGGTAGGCGCGTCACGACTCACGACGAGAGGAGGCGTCGGTCGCGCCCGCGTTCTGCGATCCTAGTGACTAGTGTAGTGGCCTCGTGAATTTGTTTCCCGATGAAAGAACTGTCTATTGAACCGTACTAAAACCCCTTAGAAGCAAATGTCACCGCGATCGAGACACCCGCAACTCAACGCAGAAAAATGCGGTACGCTTTTGAAGCACACCTCCATCAGATTCATAATAATTTTGCGAAAGTGCTGCCCATAACTGAATCTAACTGCAACACAAAAATAAAACATATTGTTCAAAAAAACTAACCTGCTCTGGCACTCCACTTCATTCCGGAGTCCAGACGTCACCTAGCCATAAGAAATACTAACAGACACGCCAATACAGACTCCAATTGCCTTCCACGCTATGGCTGATAACTATACTGTCAATACTATTCTGGAGGGTAGCTCAAGACGGATTTGAACCCATGATCCCCCATGGCAACCCTACCACCAGCACAACACTGAGAAATCAGGGAAATTTTCCTAGCTGGCAATGATACATCAGTGCAATTTTTGTTTTTTACTGGGTCTGCCTTCAATGTCCACATCGTACATGATGTCGATCTTTGCCCACTTCACATTATGTTCCCAGTGTGGGAATTGTGCTCGCAACACGACTGCCACCCTATCTCCTGCTTGAAGCGACTGCACAAATTGCGAATCAGCAGCACTCCACGTTTTGGAATGCTTTTGCCAACGTTCAACAGCGTGAAGGTTGCGGTAGATTAGCTCCCTGGAAGCGGAGAGCGAACCGTCAGGCATCACTTTGGCGAGCTCGGCATATGTCCACGAGTTGTTGTAGGTGTTGTGGTCTTCGGGATAACTGCTCCATCTGACATTCCGAAAGCAAGGAGGCAGATGGGGAGGAAGGGGGGTTGAGAGGGGGAGGGTAAAATGCTAATACGGTAGATGTCAGAAATATGGAAATTAAAATACGAGTAAACTACCAAAGTTATCTCATGTAGAGCGCACACATTAAAGGCGACTTTTCTCTGGACAGAAATTTGGGGAAAAAAATAATTATCAACCATGAATTACTTCTGGAAAAAAAAAATCACAGATTCTGATGCGAAGAGTGACATGTCACTTACCCTTGGTCATGAGCTTCCACGATAACTTCAATCTCCTTAATCAGACCCTTATCGAAATCCACAGGCTGCGAAATCACGTAAGGCTCTTCAAAGTCCTCACCAGCCACCCAGTCACTCCGTAACGATGAATCCTTATCACCTCTATACTTCCGTTTGGAACCCGACACAACATCCTGATATTGTGAGACTGACGGCCCCAAGGATGGATCGAGCGGCGTCGAATGCGTGTCAGACATTTCAGAAGCAGAGCGGGGAGATCCGTGGCGGAAAGTAGAGTGGTAAGGAGAATCGTTGGCGAGCACACCAAGGTGGTGAAGAAGATTGAAGAAGGAGAAGTGGTGGAGAAATCCGGAGTTAGGAATGCCGAAAAGGTGATGGAGAAAATGCCGATAGTGGTCGGGAGATTCAGGGCCGGAGATAGGGTGGTGGTGAGATTCAGAGGTGGAGACAGAGTGGTGGTGAGATTCAGAGCCAGAAATAGAGTGGCGGTGAGATTCAGAGCGTGAAGGATGATAGGAGTCGTCTGCCGAAGCCATTAGTGAAGGCGAAGCCAAAAATAGATTGGCGGGGAGATTCGGAGCCGAAGAGATAAGAGAGGTGAATGGAAGTCCAGAAAGGTAGTGCAGCGTTGATTCATATAGGTTTACGAGTTCTGTCATAGACATCAGGGAAGTCGGACCAAGACCACCAGCTGCGCGTGTAACACTCGCTCGTCCGAGTGCGGTTCAGAAAGTTGTTTTGCGATGCAAAAAGGTCAAATTGATTTCTAGAAAGGTTGAAGTTTCCCGAGGCGCGTATCCCCATGGCATCGAGTTTGTTGTGCCGCTGAACAGCAGTCGGACAGTAGGGGGGAGCAGTCGGACTGTAGTGGGGAGCAGTCGGACCGTGGTGGGGGAGCAGTCGGACTGTGGGGGGAAGCAGTCGGTCCGACTGAGATCTATTTGTACCTCATGCTTTGGTCGAGTACTTCTGAGGACGGTTGGGTATGGTTCTGTATGCAGACGGTTGGGTAATATTCCGTGTGCAAGAGCCCTTAGTCACGAAAAAAGGACGTGTTTCGTTCGGATGGTCCGGCCTGGTCCGTTACAATTATGTCTATGCCTGGTCCGGAATTCTGGTCCGAAGACCAACTTGACGGACCAGCATTTGCGAATTGCAGCAGTAACCCTGGCTGGTTACGATGGACTCGTTTCCAGTCCATGCATCATGTTCCGACGAAGTGGTGGGTTCAAAGTGGCAGCCTAAACAACCTCCTCAAAATCCACACCATCGTACTTAACCGCTTTAACATCTCACCGTAACAGTGACATGACCTGACTGTTCCGTGGTGTGTTTTGTTGAACCGAGAACAGCGCCTGAGGAATACCCTGCGGTAGAGTTTCGAGCAGCGAAGAGTTTCCTTGGCGGCGTTTGGCTGTTTCGAGCATCTCATTCAATGGCCGGAGCCGCGATGGCGGGCACAGCGCGATCCTGTCAGCGCCTTCCGCGCGCATTCCAGAGAAACGTGCGATTTTTTTCACAAAGGATTTTACAGCCAGGCAAGGCCCGTGCAAGTACTGTTGATTTCGTTTCTCCAGCTGACGCTCCTCGAGAACGTCGACGTCCGTTCACCGATTGCGTTACATCATTGGCTGAGGCGTCTCACGAGAATTATCGCCGTCTGCCTACCGATTTGGTAAACAAGTTAGACTTCATTATCCCAGCCGGCGCGGCGCGATTGTTCGTTCCGCCTCTTCCACCGCGCTGCGCCGCTGACGCGAGCGGAGGCTCCGCGAGGCTTCTGTGGTGCGGCGCTGGCGGAACGCGGAGCGGCGGAAAGGAAGCAGGCGCGTCAGGATTCCGCAGATGGGCGGAGCAGCGCCGAGTGGGGGGCGTTTGGGCGGAACCCAGGGGGATGGGGGCCGTGTGGGCGGAACCGCGCAGATATCTGCACCAAATTACGGTGGAAGAGGAGAAGGTGGGGGGAGGAGGGGGGGGCGGGGGAAGAGGGGAAGTGGGGGAAGAGGGGAGGGGGATGGGGGGGCGAGGGGATGGGCGGATGGGGTATGGGGGGAAGGTGTGAATGGAGGGGGAATGGGGGGACGGGTAAAGGTTGGAGATGACGGGGGGTGGGGTGGGGGAGAGAAGGGGGGAGGGGGGGGATCTTCTGATAGTCTCCGCTTGTTCAATCTCATTGAATGTGAGCGGCTCGTTAGGGAGACATGAGATATCGAGCACAAGATATAAAGTTAGCTTTAATATCACAACAAATTTGATATCTCGTTAGGGTAGGGAGACAATGAGATATCGAGCACACAAGTATCGGGTGAGAGCAGCAGTGGAAGGGGAATTTCGCATCACCACTCTCCCTTCCCGCTTCCCACCCGCCATCATCCCCTCCCCCTTCTTTAATGCAGCCCGAGCACAAGTACCGGGTGACAGGAGCAGTGGAAGGGAGCTTTTGCCTCACCACCAACCAACTCCCTTTCCCTACCCTCCACCATCCCCCCCCGCCATCATCCCCTCCCCCTTCTTTCATGCAGCCGCAGCACAAGTACCGGGTGAGAGCAGCAGTGGAAGGAGGCTTCTGTGTCCCCACCAACTCTTCCCAACTCCCACCTACCATCATCCCCTCCCCCGTTTGAACGACTTGTTTCCTTCATGCAGCTGGAGCACAAGTACCGTGTTAGGGCAGCGGTGGAAGGAAGCTTGTGTGAATCCAGCTTTTGGAAGGAGAATCCCCTCGATCCCCCACTCTTCCCTTCCGATCCCCTCGGCCCCCCGTTCCTTCATGCAGCTGGAGCACAAGTACCGGGTGAGAGCAGTAGTGGAAGGAAGGAGGCTTTTGTGTCCCCCCAACTCTTCCCAACTCCCACCTACTACCATCATCCCCTCCCTCGTTTGAATGTCCTTTCTCTCACTTGCAGCCAGAGCACAAGTACCGGGTGAGAGCAGCAGTGGAGGGGGGATTTTCCTTCTGCAGCGACCTGGCTCCCATTAATGCCTTGGGCGGCACTGCTCCCACGTGAGACAATAAGAGCGGAGAGGGAGGAGGGGGGGGTGGGGACGTTGGGGTTAGTGTATGGAGTGAGAGCAGCAGTGGGAAGGGGATTCTCCTTCTGCAGCGACCTGGCTCCCACCAATGGCGTGGGCGGGCGGCACTGCTCCCACGTGAGACAAGAGGGGGAAGTACAAACGTGGGAGGTAGTGACACTGACTGTAGTGTACAGTGTGATAGCAGCATTTGAGACGTCTCAAACACTGACTGTAGTGTACAGTGTGATAGCAGCAGTGACCTTTGAGGCGCCTCAAAAGGGGAAACAAAAACGTGGGGGGTCAGGGGAACTAGAAGTGACTGTAGCGTACGGTGTGAGAGCAGCAGTGACCTTTGAGGCGCCTCAAAAGGGGAAACAAAAACGTGGGGGGTCAGGGGAACTAGAAGTGACTGTAGCGTACGGTGTGAGACCAGCAGTGGAGGGGGGCTTTTCCTTCTGCAGCGACCTGGCTCCCACCAATGGCGTGGGCGGGCGGCACTGCTCCCACGTGAGTAGGGTGTTGCGTTGATTATTAGTAAAAAATAAGAAAAAAAACAAATCATGTGAGACCAATAGAGAGTAGAGAGAAAGTTTAGGGACGAGTGGGGGGACGAATGGGAAGGGGAACAGTGTTAGAATTTAGCACTGGGTTTTCCATACAGTAGTAGCAGGCAATGGTAAACTCACTGCCTTGTGACCAACACTTAAGATTTTCTCCTGCACCCTCCTCTGCTGCACCCTCCTGCCTTTTTCGCACCACTTGGCCCTCCCCCTTCCACCCAACCAGCCCCATGGACTATGCAGCAGCAGCAGTCGCCATGTGCACAGCTACCACTGTCAGACTGGTACGCCCCTTCTCTTTCCTTCCTTCCACCCTTCCTTCCTCCCAACTTTCCTTCTCCCACCTTCCCTGTTTCCCTCATGCATGCACCCCATGTGCACGGCCACCACTGTCAGGCTGGTACGCCTTCTCGCGACTTCATTCCTCCCCTTCTCCCCCACTTACACCTGCCGCCACCCAACCCACTCCACCCCATGTGCACGGCTACCACTGTCAGGCTGGTACGCCCCTGCCCTGCCCCTTCCTTCCCCCCACCCTTCCTTCTCCCCCCTCCCCTTTTTCCCCCTCGCATTCATCTCATTACTGCCACCACATTCAGACTGGTACGCGCCCGCGCTTTCCTTCCTCCCATATATGAGTCGCTTTGTAGCGTGACGTGCCCTGCTGCTGCATCTGCCTTGGTTGTGAGGCACCTATAAAATAGACTCATGTGCTTGCGACGCGACCCAAAAGTCGCCTATGAAACAGACTCATATGTTTGCTTCCTCCCAAGAGTGTGTGATGTGCGCTGCTGCCAGCCTGTCAATCCCCAACAGACGTTTCAGTCAACCCAAGAAAGACTGTGATAGGCAGGGTGGTTAGGGTGGTTAGGGTAGAGTTTCTAGGAGCCCGCAGAATTTTAGGTAGGGTTAGTAGTTGGGTATGCAGGGCGAGTAGGGTAGGCAGGGTCGGTTGAGTAGGCAGGGTGGGTAGGGTAGGCAGGGTGGGTTGGTTGTCTCTGCACCTGCTGCTGTCTTGTCCCTGTGCAGCCAACGTTTCGCTGTATTCACCCAGGGTGTGTAAACCTCTCTTAAATCCCTCTCTCTCGCCCCCACTGTGCCCCCGTCCCTCCTCCTCCTTTCCCCAAGGTGGAAGATAGTAAGCAGTGGTATCTTGATAAAAGTAACAATTGGAGACGTCTCAGTGGTATCTTACACACATCCAGCGTTTTCTCCCTCTCCCTGCCGTGCCCCTTCCCCTCCCTTCCCCTCACTCCCCCTCCTCCTTTTCCCTCGGTACGCCGACAGAAAGCAGTGGCGGCTAACACACGGCGCTGTCACAGTGGGACCAACGTTATAGTCTTCACCCTTCCCTCTTCTTCCTTTTCTCCCCTCCATCGCTCTCAGTATGCAGACAGAAAGCAGTGGCCGCTAACACACATAGCTGTCACAGTGGAACAAACAACCCCATTGCCTCGTGAGCTGCTTCCCCCTTCTCTTCCCCCCTTCCATGCACCATGCACCATGCGCCACACCGTGCACCATGCGCCATGAAACATGCGCCACGCAACATGCACCATGCAACATGCACCATGCACCATGCAACATGCACCATGCACCATGCCCCATGCACCATGCACCATGCACCATGCCCCATGCACCATGCACCATGCACCATGCACCTGCCCCATGCACCATGCACCATGCGCCATGCAACATGCACCATGCACCATGCGCCATGCAACATGCACCATGCACCATGCACCATGCGCCATGCAACATGCACCATGCACCATGCCCCATGCACCATGCACCATGCGCCATGCAACATGCACCATGCACCATGCACCATGCCCCATGCACCATGCACCATGCGCCATGCAACATGCACCATGCACCATGCGCCATGCAACATGCACCATGCACCATGCGCCATGCAACATGCACCATGCAACATGCACCATGCACCATGCAACATGCACCATGCGCCATGCCCCATGCACCATGCACCATGCGCCATGCAACATGCACCATGCACCATGCACCATGCCCCATGCACCATGCACCATGCGCCATGCAACATGCACCATGCACCATGCGCCATGCAACATGCACCATGCACCATGCCCCATGCACCATGCACCATGCGCCATGCAACATGCACCATGCACCATGCGCCATGCAACATGAACCATGCACCATGCCCCATGCACCATGCACCATGCACCATGCACCATGCACCATGCACCATGTGCAATGCAACATGCACCATGCACCATGCACCATGCCCCATGCACCATGCACCATGCACCTGCCCCATGCCCCATGCACCATCCACCATCCGCCATGCACCATGCGCCATGCAACATGCACCATGCACCATGTGCCATGCACCCCTCGTCCGAGCTGCTCTGTTTCAGGTGCATTTTGAGTCGGCATCAATATACACATGCGCTATGGGCCATGGCCTCAAGTATACACATACACAACTCTGTTCTTTCTCTCCTGTGTTACATTCCATTATCCAACCTTATACTACCCTTATGCTCTCCGCTCTGTTCCTTCCACCCCACATCCGTTGACTTTGTCTCATGCCACAAAACAGATGGGAGATTACCGGACGGCCTTCGCTTGTTGTTACGCTTGGAGGGACCCCTTTCCACAGAACAAAAGGAGAGGCTTTTGGAAATAGCAGGTAAAGAGCAGCCCAAATATGGTAAGCATTTACGTTGCTCCGGTTACTTTTGAGGCGCCTCAAAAGAGAGCAGCCCAAATATGGTAAGCATTTACGTTACTCAGGTGGAAGATATAGTATTCGGATGTCATTTGTTGTGTGTGTCCTGTGCGTGCATGTGCGCCTGGGCCTGGGCGTGGGCGTGCATGTCGTGCATGCATGTGGCTTGGCACATGTGTGTGTTGTGTGTACAGGGAAATGCCCGGTGAAGCAAATGATGCTGGGTAAGATGCCTCAAGCCATCAAGACGACACTAGTTGATACGTAGCCATTAGGGATAGTGTTCCTGTGCATAATTTGGCATTATTTCTGTATATAATACCCGTGTAAGCTATTCAGGGTTTGTGCATCTGTGTGCAAGGAATTTTCCCGAATTCCTTATCGGGGTTGACCGCTTTGCGTACAGCCCCGATTTTCGGACTCTGCACGTTTGGCCGACATCAACGATGCCGGGCCTCCTCGCGTCGCCTTCGGCTTTTCTCTTCGCCAAACCTGCACCCAACCTCACTCACCCGAAATTCCCTCCTAGCTAGCCTACTCACTATATTAGCATGTGCCTTCATTTTATAATCAGTCTCTTCAATCACTTCTCGTTATTCGTTAAACTGCGCACTCTCTTTTACAACTCATAACAATGTGCCTTGCTTCAGCGCTTACACTTGTTCTGGTACCATAGAAGGTGTTAGATTTTAAGCTGTCTGAATAGGATCGTAGTCTTAGGATAGTAGCTTCCTGTAGCAGTGGAAGTCTTATATGCGTGACTTGTAACAGGATGAATATCTCTGAAATCAAGTATATTAAGAAATGACAAACATACAGAATATATACTAGGATAAAGTACCTATTCGCTTAATGTACCTATTAGCCTGAAACGGTACGTGACTATTCGGGATACCTACAGCTACTGCTGACGTCATCCTAGAGCGCGTAGCGCTTTGCTGACGTCAGCCTATCGGTACTTTTGCTGTACTAACTACACTACACGAATTCCTTGAAGTGCACAAGTCTCGATATTATCTCAACACTCCCCTTCACTTCTAGGAGTTCGGTGTAGTCACCCTGTTGACTCGGAAATGCCACTGAGCTGGTTGCAGTGATGAAATTTCTGACGTGTCAGCTTCTTAGTAAGCGAATCAGCGGCCATGTCGCTGGTGGGGCAGTCGACAAGGCGCATTCTCCCCTTGTCGATCGCGTCTTTTACTAAGAAGTAACGCAACGAAATGTGCTTCGTGCGATTGACGAAACCAGGCTTGTTGGCGATGGTAATTGCACTCTGGTTGTCGCACTGCAACGTGAACTGATTCGGCGTGACGAATTTTGCTTCGTCAAGCAATTCCTGCAGGTACAAACCTTCGCGAGTTGCAGCACAGGCGGCGATGAATTCTGCTTCAGCCGATGAAAGTGACACGAGTTCCTGTTTCGAGGAATTCCAGGAGATCGGACCAATCGGCTCGAGACGAAAAATATAACCCGTGCGTGACCGTCGATCTGACGTGTCGCCAGCGTGGTCCGCGTCAACGTACCCGCTGAGGTACATTTTGTCGGTTGGCTTCCCAGCGTTGAAAATCAACCCGATTGTTGGTGTAGAGACGAAGTAGCGTAGCGCACGCTGTAAGTCGAGAGAGTGTTCTTCTTTCGGGCAGCGTAGAAACTGCGCAAGGTGACTTGCGACGTAGGCAAGATCAGGGCGACAGGTGACTGCTGCGAAAAGGAGACATCCCAGCTGCTGCTGATACAGTTGAAGACCAGCTGCTGACAGATTTTTCAGGTTGGGAACGTGCCCGGTGAGTGTAGACCGATAAGGTGTAGCAACGAAATCCGTGGAGATGTTGAAACGCTTAGCGAGTGACTCCGCATACTTCGAAGCCGTGAGATGAATAGCGGAAGAAGTTCGCGAAACGTTTAACCCCAGAAATTGAGTTACTTTGGTGGAAATGGTTAAGTCAAGCGATTTCTTCAGATCGGCTTCGATACGATCACCCAGCGAAGTCGACGAACTGACGTAGAGGATGTCGTCCACGTAAGCCACTAACAACGCATAGCTCCCCTTGTCGTCTAGCCGGTACATCCCGGGATCGTGCGGCAGTTGTCGAAACCCAACCTCCGTCAGCTTCCTGTTCAAATGTTGCTGCCACAGTCGCGGTGCTTGTTTGATTCAGTACAGTGACTTTCTGAGCATGCAGACACTCGGCGGATTTGTCGGATCGGTGTGCGGATATTCGACGTAGATTTCGGCATCGACGTCGGCGTACAGAAAAGCGTTGGAAACATCGATTTGTCGAAGTGGAAAATTCTTCGCGGCTGCTTCGCAGAGAACGAGTCGAACACTCGTATGTCGACTGACCGGGGCGAAGGTAAGCGTGTAGTCGATCCCATGAGTCTGATCAAAACCGCGAACCACCCACCGTGCCTTGTGTTTCTCGTAAGTACCATCCGCTTTCGTCTTCACCCTAAAGACCCACTTACCGGTAAGAACATTTTTGTTTACCGTTTTTTCAATGGGTATAAGATCCCAAGTTTCCCTTTTCTCCAGGGCAGCCAGTTCGCGATCCATCGCTTCACGCCATTTTTCGCGATGAGGCCCTGAGAGAGCTTGTCGGGCAGTTTTCGGCTCCAAATTCACTGTAGAACTGTGCTGTACCGCTGCTGCGAGTCCCAGAATTTGCAGTCCGGTCTGATAATGCGGATTATCGTCGGTGCGACCTGCGAAATTGACAGAATCATTCTGGTCTCCACTTGCCCCCCCAATTTCGTCAGGGTTGACACGGATGCTGCTATCGAAAACCACCGGCATTGGTTGGCGCTGTTCATCCACGAGGTAAGTATGATGAACATCGCGAACATCCTCAGGTGCCGCGTCAGCAAGAGGAATAAACTCCGGAATTCCGGAGGACGTGACAGGGACAGGTGGGTCGGGAACAGCTTCACGTGCACCGTCGAGGTCAGGTTCTTCGCTGGCAGCAAGTTCGGCGTCGGCGCTAGCGAACGAACGAACACCGTGGAAAAGCGTGGCAGGGTTTTGCTGCGTGGCAAGATGCTGTTCGAAGACGGGCAGCGTCAGATTCTCGTAGAAAATACAGTCGCGAGCAGGAACAAGGAGACGACTGCGGTAATCCATGATACGCCAGGCAAGATATTGTTTTTCAATGCCGAGATGCAGCCCCCACTTAGCACGCTGATCGAACTTCCCGAGCGGAGCGGTAGGAGGACGGTACTGAACAACACACCCGAAAACACGAAGTAATTTAGTGGTACCCAACTGTCAAACTTATATGATCTAGCCTGTGTAGGCTGTAGCGGGTTAGACACTAAGGGGTACACAATTCTAGGGTTTGATATTTGTATCACTCTCATTCCTTAGTCATTCATTCTCGTTCTAGTTTTCTCATGGTATCGAGCAGGTTCCCTAGTGGGAACTTTTCCTAGGGCCCACCGAATATCGAATTTTTTTTCCTGCCCGGAGCGCGCTTAGCCCCTACCCGAGTCGCGCCATCTGACGGCCCCTAGCGGCCCCCTCTCACGGCCCCTCTAGGCCCCCAACGGCCCCTCTCACGGCCCCTCTCACGGCCCCTCTCACGGCCCCTCTCACGGCCCCTCTCACGGCCCCTAGCGGCCCCGTCGCGCCGCCCTCGCGGCCCAGTCGCGCCGCCCCCGCGGCCCCGTCGCGCTGCCCTCGCGGCCCTGTCGCGCCGCCCTCACGGCCCCGTCGCGCCGCCCTCGCGGCCCCGTCGCGCCGCCCTCGCGGCCCCGTCGCGCCGCCCTCGCGGCCCCTCGCGGCCCCTCGCGGCCCCTGACGGCCCCGTCGCGCCGCCCTCGCGGCGCCTCGCTGCCCACCCTTGCGGCCCCTCGTGGCCCCTCTCTCGGCCCCTTTGTGGCCCGCCGCGGCCCCTCCTCAGCCGCCGCCACACCTGCCCCGGCCGCAGCAGCCGCCACCACCGACGGCAGCCGCCGCCGCCGCCGACAGCAGCTGCCGCAGCCACCACCGACGGCAGCAGCCGCCGCCGCCACTACCGTGTCCGCCGCCGCCGCCCCTGCCTCGACTGCAGCAGCCGCCACCTCCGACAGCAGCAGCCGCCGCCACCTCCGACAGCAGCAGCCGCCGCCACCACTACCGTGGCAGCCGCCGCCGCCGCCGTCAGCAGCAGCCGCCGCAGCCGACAGCCGCAGCCGCCGCCGCAGCTGACACCTTCAGCCGCCGCCGCCCCTGTCCGCCGCGGCGCCCTGGACCCTGGAGCCGCTGCCACTGCTGCAACTGCCCCTGGTCTCTGGAGCAGCAGTCCCTGCAGCAGCTGCGGTGCCCTCGCCCTGCGATAGTGGCGGCCTCACCCCTGCCGCTGTCTTACTCCTACCCTTCTTGCCACTGGTGAGCACTGCTGTTCCTGCTGTTACTGCTACTATTGCTACTACTGCTCTCCCTACTACTGCTACTTCTCCTGGCCTGGCCAGATGCAGCTCCAGCGCCGTCTGCGTGAGTCCCTCACCCCCCAGCAGCTTCGTGAGTGGTACTCTACTTGGGGTTGTCGGAGTGGCCGTAGTGAGAGTCGTTCTGATGTGAGTAGTTCGGGAGCTGCTTCGCGTGCCCAGGTGCAGGTGTCGCGTCGTCCGCGCGCGGTCCTTTCGCCCCAGCAGCTTCGTGAGTGGTACGCTCAGCTTGGAGGGTCACGTGGTACTGCTCGCTGTCCGTACGTCATTCGCACTGGTGCTCGGACTGGCCAGCCCTGCGGGACGCCTGGTCACACAGAGTCCCGCTGCTTCGCCCGGCTGAGCGACGCCTGGCGTACGGAGTTTGGCGACGAGGCTGAGCTCCCCGACTGGGTGCAGCTGCTTGGGCAGAGGGTAGATATCTATGGTCTTGACTATGATGCCATTCTCACTGCCATGTATGCATTGCCTACTAGTGATGGGGGTACCTGTTACCTGTGTGTTCCGCCTGACCCGGGCATTGAGGCTGCTGCTCTAGG